AGGGGAAATCCAAACCATTGATCTTGTTGGAGTCGTGGAAGTCGACATCAGGTTTCCATTGCTCCACTGGCGGAATTTCAATTGGTCTGCATGTATACCCTTCGTTGACAGTGGAACTTGCTCCCGGGGATGACATAGGCCTCGGCGATCTCGGTGTAAAAGGATGACGTTGAGGTGCAAAGTTGGCATTGTTGGGAGGTGTCTGGGAAAACGGAGGCGGTGTAGGTGGGAAAGGTGCCGTAGGTGGAGTCCATGGTGGGCGTGTTGGGAACGATGGAGATGTAGGTGGCGGAGGTGGTATCCCGGGCTGGCTCCAAAAAGGTCGATGGGTCGCATAGTGCATCGGGCCACGGAACGCAGGTACTGCTTGGTGCCATCCATGTTGGTGCCGGGGAGGTGTGCGAGAGCGATCCGGCTGGGAAGGAGGAATTCCGTTCACGTCAGAGCTGAACTGGGAGATCAGGTCCTGGGACGCCATGATGTAGACGGGGCCACGAGATAATAGGTCAAAATAAGCTCGAACTGCCGACTGAAAGCTGCGGTGAAATATCAGGGTGAGACGGGGATGGTATGCGATTGAAACGGTGTGAAACATGATACGTGGTCCCAGTATGTGAAACGTAAAGTGAAATACGAAGCTGGCGCAAGGTTCAAATATCCTGAGCATGCAGCGGTTCACAAACCTTTTGAGGGAAGAAGTGGCATCAATACCGAATGTCGGGAGAAGCATTGTTACTCCAAAAAGATCGGGCGGGGCCACTAGGCTCACTGGATCGCTGTCGTAGAATAGTCGATACTTGTTCCGGTACTCCTCAGAGGTAAAGAGTTCACCAGCGAGATCTGGAGTGATATGTCGAGTGTCGAGAACGAGGTCGGCCTTCACGGTGCTGGTCTCGAGAATGGCCTTCGTGATAGGAGGAACGGCGATCTCGACGGCTGTAGGTTGAGTTGTCCCAAGAAGCATTGTCGTGCCAAGATCGGCGAGCATGATCTCGAGAACCAGACGCAGTGGTCTCGTGGTGGCCAGTTGTGTCTCGAGAGTCGTCTGGAGGTGGCTCCGAAGGTTCTGGTGTGTCGGCAGGAGGGTCAGGTCGTACTGGACGTGCAGGATCATCAGGAGGTTCCGTGGGTGGGTTTGTCTCCGCTGTCTGGTGTGTGATCAAGCCCGGGAAAACCGAGTGAGTGGATGCAACATAGCATATGGATGCGGCGCTGGAGTTCATAGCCGTTGCATTGTCTTTGCCCTTGGCGATGCCCGCGAGGTTGCACAAGCGTTGAATTTGGTCATTTCCTCCAGCTAGTGCGCGGATGCATTTGGGTGACCGACAAATGGCCAGTAGGCCAGATGGGTTTTGTCCTTTCCCTATGCGATAGAGCTGAGAGGTGCAAATCTTGACAGCATAGCCTGGTAGGTTGTCAATGTCAGCGATCTCAGAGGACATACCGAAGAATCCGTAACATGGGTATTGAGTTGGCATGCCGGCTTCGTTTTTTGTCCAAGTTGCCGGGCGGATGCAGTCTTCTGCGAGAATTTTGGCAACTGATTCCCAACTCGTTTTGTGGTAGATCAGGTAGGTGCCCATGTGTTCGCCGCGATAGATCGGTTTCTTCCTCAATCCAGTGGGGACCGTGATGGTCAGCAGGTTCTCTGGCTCGATGTAGAATGCTTGGGTTTGCCTCGCAAGCTCGATGTCCAGTAAGTTGGATTGTGCAAAGGCCCTGGCAATGTTCTTGACGGTGGCTTGGCTTGCTTTGATATAAATACGTTGGTTGTTGACGGTGCGATATGGTTGAGCCAACTGGTGGAACATCTCGTCAACGAATTGGTTGAAGAGCTGCGAGATGGCCGGGGTCAATGATTGGCGTAGGGGCACGACATGGTCGGGGCCAAGCTCAGTCAAGCAGCGGACCCTAAGGGGATCATTGGCCGCCTCAACCATTTCACTGAGGTCGATGCCATTCGTGTCGAACTTTGAGATCGAAATTGTATCTGCCACCTCAGAATTTTCACTGTCGCCGTCAGGGACGCGGAAGGAAACAGCGCCAAGTGGTGCTGAAGTGTGGGCTGGTGGGTTGGCAGGTGGTTCCGGTGGTGGTGGATCGGCAGGAGAGTTGGGTCGAGCAGTGTTGTGGTGGTAGTTGTCGGTGTAATGGCTGTCGTTCCATGTGCCCCAGGTGTCATCAGCGTCGGGAGTGGGGATGTAGGCTGGATTGAATCGATGGGTGTGCAGCTGGTCGAAGTACGACTTCACGGCCTCTGGATCGGTGACGTGGTGTCGCGGAACGTGGTCTTGGGTGAGATCGATGACGTCGAGGAACCACGGGAGAGCGGCGTCTTGGTGGTGATCTTCGTCTGTATGGTGACGGGGTTCTGCGGTCCTTGGGATGTTTCGTGGATGACCGATAACGAGGAAGAGGAGAACGAGGTCGGGCTGCACGTTGGGGAGAATAGCGATGATGATGGGATTGTACAGAAGGTCGACGGGAACGTGATCTTGGAGTCCTGGATCGTGGTCGGCGCGTTGGTGATGGTGGAGCATGTAGGTGGTGAGGAGGAGCGACGGCTGGAGCTGGGATGATGCGAGGGTCCGGAACGTCAGGTTCGGTGGGTCTGGCTTTCAGTGCAGGTGGAGGCATGGCAATAGGTGGTGGAGCTGTTGTAGGCAATGGTGTCGGTGGAATGGGGTTCGGTGGAGGTCCATCGTGTTGGAGGAGTAGCTGACGTTGTTCTTGGGCTCGTTGGGAATCCATGATCAATTGTTGTTGAGCTTGAATAAGTCGAACCGATTCCGCAAGTTATTGTGCAGTGGATCCCAGCGCTGCAAGTTCAGGTGAAACGGATGAAGTCGGTGCCGCCGTTGGTGCCGGTGGTGTAACAGGAGGAGAGGCTTTCGGAGCTGATCGACGTGGTCGGTCCGTTTTCTTGTCAGAGCGAAGCCTGGGAGCTGCCTTAACTGCTGGTGGTGGAGGTTCATCTGGAGGGACCATCGCTGCGTCCGTCGGTTGTGGAGGTTGAATGTGGTGAGGTGGGTATGGAGAACTCGGCAAAGGTGTCGGTGGCGTAGTCGATGTAGGTGGTGTAGTCGACGTAGGTGATGGAGCCGGAGGAGAATGCCACGTGGGTGGAGCGGCGGGTGCCGTGGGAGTCGGAAAAGTCGGTGGAGCGGTGTGCACCAGAGTGGTTTCAGGAGCCATAGGTGTAGGCATAGTTGGCACAAGTTGTGGGCCTGGTACTGCATGAGGAGCCGAAGTCAATGAGGTAAATGGCAGTGAAGTTGGGGCTGATGAAGACCATGCAGGGTGCAATGGCGAGGGATGTCCGAATAGATGTGCGTTCTGCGATGATTGCGGCCACGTCGAGGATGGGGTCGTAGGCTGCGGTGGGGCAGGCCATGACGTCGGAGGAGTAGTCCACGGATACATCGCTCGAGTAGAACAAAACAGAAAGGAAAATCACATGCAGGATTCAGTCCCTAAATGCCTAAAGGTCGTGCGATTATTCCCTTCACCGGGACCGTGGTCAAGTCAAGCCCCAATTGGCATAAACGGCTTTCAAGTTCCAGCGAATTAGGTGCACAACATGTTTCACCTCACCAGAAAACCAAAAGGAAGAATACCACACCTGAAAGTCGTGTGCCTACCTGGTCCACTTGCATGTAATGTTGCAAAATGTCGCTGTGAAAGTGCTGCAGAATAAGAGGTTTCTGAATGTTCAGTATGGCGTCACTTGAAAGAGCAGAGCACTGGGATCCCTGGGACATCCGGAGCCGCGGGACATTCAACAAGGCTGGTAAACCGTAAGGCCAACTGTTGCAATTTACGTAAACGAATTACTAAATTGAAAAGTGTAAATTCGGCAGTCAAAGCAGTCATCACTCACCCTAAAAAGGGTTGCCTCAAATGGCTCCATGGCACCATGTCGGAGCCACCATGGAAATCACACTAGACAAGAATGGATCATTATATGATCCGGCAGGAACTGAATCCTGAAACATGCAAACCAGCCTAGATCGTTAGATTTATAAAGGAGCCACATGAGGTACTTCACGAAAACGATGTAGGGTATCCAATATTGTCAAACGGAGTTTTAACCAGAGTCCACAAAGTCTTGACCAGCATGTTGAAAATCCAAAATAAGAGTGTTTCGGCGATGGTTTCCCAAAATGACCCAAAGTTCATCGGCGACAGAATCTCGGCGAAAATAGGTCAAAAAATCATAATACTGTCGGCGACATGGTTTCGGCGAAAATCTGAGGAAGGTTCTGATGCAGCTGAACTAATCGAAGATAACCAAAATTGATTCCAGATTGCGACAACGGTGCAGCAACATGACAGCTTGTTCAACAGTTCAAACCAAATTCTGCAGGTACACAGAGTTGATCAGACTCTGCTTCCAGCACAAGTGGATAGCTTCGTTGGGTGCAGTCTCCACTGTGCTCTGCACCCCCCTGCAAATGTAAAAAGATTCCCTGCAAATGTGAAAAGGTTAGAATCAAAGAAGTTTTACATCTGTTCAGATGTTACACACACACACCACCCGCCCACGATAGTGATCAGGAGCAAGTAAACATGGGATAATCATGATTAACCTTGATTTATTCCATCCAATAATCCCATATCCGGATAGATAAAGCCATAATTATGGGTGGTTATATTATATACATGCCTAACTTCCCAATACTTGAAACCTCCCCCCTCCAAACCAAAAAGATTGAAGATTATAACTTCCAATCATGTTGGTAAATCAATGCCAGAAGCCATCCCCCAATATATAAATCACAATTTTTATAGGTGGTATGTTGACAATTCCCAGTCATGGCTGGGGTTTACCCTCTGGTTATGTCAAAATAGCTATTGAAAATGGCCCAGTCGAAAAAGTGGATTTACCCATTGAAAATGGTGATTTTCCATAGTTTTTTGTATAACATCGTTTTACCCATCAGTGGTGCCCCATGGCCATGGCCCGTCACCGGGTCCAGCCGGGTCCAGCCGGGTCCAGCCTTAGCCTCCACGGCCTCAAAGAGCTCCAGCGCTGTCGCCCAGTGGTGCGCTGGCAGGCTGCTGATGGCCGTGCTGAGGCCCACCGCGTCGGGGGAAAACGGAGACCTGGTGGCTTCAATGCTGGATGGGTACAAGTTGTAAACCCCGGAAAGGGATGGAAAAATATGAAAAAGGCATTTGACATATACTTCAATCATCTTAGAATTTAATGCAGTACAAGGATGTACAAGGTACCTAGTTCTCATCCAGTTACCAACTCACATGTATGTCCAAAGAGGGGTAGCTGTCCTATTTGAAGATCACCCTGTGTGGGAAACATCTCCAACAAGCATCTGAAGATTGTACCACCCCTTGAAAATGTGGTGAATTGGATGGGCGAAAGCAATGAGAAATTGAAAATTTGGATGTTGGAAGCTGGTTTATCCGGAAAAAGCCCCAAAGATTCCTGCGCTTTGGAAACTTTGACTGCTGTAATTACGACTTTTATCGGGTATGGTCACAATGACTCTTTTCCTGACCCTCCGGACTCGAGCCAACAATCCGTCCACACCGCTGGGCTGTGCTAGGGCGCTCAGATTAAACTCAAACCATCAGAGGGAAGTACATAAACCCCTTCACTGAAGAACATGAACCTCCATAATATTCTGACTCCAAAAATTCTAAAAATTGGTGGATCTTCAACGATCTTCCATGAAAATACCCAGTGACCATTCTAGCTGTGATCCTACCCCAATAGTTGGCTGCTATTTCCCCATTTGATCATTAAGGGAAAATCCCCCCAAGGTGCTACCCGAGCTTCCGCCCAACAATTCTTGGGGGCGCCACATTTGTGCAAATGTCTCCATCTGGATAACCTCTAGTAAACTAACACAGCTATTTTATTTAAAAGAAAATCTTAAACCAACTATAAATAGACAATGCTCATCCATTTTCCATAGCAAACTGTTAGTTTACCATCTGGATATCTCCAGGCTTAGGCTTTCCCCAGGGGAAGCTCACCATCTTCCCACCTGGTTTGGACTTCCAGCACCGACAGGACCTGCTCCCAACATCGCGCCGAGGCGCAAGCGCTCAAGGCCTCAGTGCCAGTGCCGGTGATTTAGGGAGCTTATAGGCCTAAGTTCAATGACTGGGACAATCATATCATATCACGCAATTTCCGGGAAATTCATGATTTTCAATCATGACTGGAACGCATCTTTGACGTCCGTTCATGAAATGCCACTAATCTACGAGTTCCATGCATTAGTTTCCAATACTTTCCAGTAATATGAATGGAACTAATCTGTGAACGACCATGTGGTTAACCAGCTGGGGACTAGGTAAATACGAATGGAATATATGGGTCTGCTGGAAAATGGTGTATGAGACAAGATGGTAATCTTAGTACAACGCATGCTGATTAACCCCTTGGTTTAGGATAATCTGTATGTTTGGGCAAGAATATCCAACCAATCATAACATAACCCATCTGAAACCCTGCAGGAGCTGCGGCCAAGAAACAGTGTTGAAGGACAAGAGGTCTGGCTGCAATTTCTGGGCGGAAGGACCCAAGTGCTCTTAGAGGTGCTCTCCGAGCCAACAACATGGCAACATATGGCAATGGAGCATCCTCCTACTAATTTACATAGATTCTAGAGAAATGCTCAAGATGTGAATTTTCGGTTGCCCATGGTTCCCCAGATGTGCTTATTCATGTCCTGCCTTGAGGTGAAGTCGTTGAAAGACAGCCAGAGCCATCTGCCATTGCTCCTGAGCTGGGGAAGTGCCCAATGGATCCAGGAGTAAACAAGTCCCACCCAAAGCTGATTTCAGGCATGTTCATCAATGGATTGGTTTAAGATGTTTAAGGGGAAAATTACCGGAAACCCCCATATTTCACGGGAAAATCAATGGTTTCTTGTAGATTTTCCCTGAAATCAATCCAATGAAACTATGATTTCTCCACGTTTCTCCCTACCAGACCACAAGCCAGGTGAGGTCGGCAGACCCCAAATCTCAACCAGACTTTAAGGGATAACGGCACCTCACCCCCTGCAGCTGGGGATCATTCTTCAGGATGGCAATGGCAGCATTGTACAGCCCGACCTCACTGCACCAAAAGACTAGATGGCAACCGTGGATGCAAAGCGTGAGCATCCTTGAGCGGATGCTAATTATTTCAACCATTTTCAGTCTCCATTTGGATTTTACAATCTCCCTCTCTCTCTCTCTCTATACCTATCTATCTATCTATCTATCTATCTAGATAGATAGATAGATAGATATACTGATAGATCGATATATCGATAGATTAGGTAGGTAGGTAGGTAGGGAGGGAGGGAGGCAGGGCAGGGCAGGGCAGGGCAGGGCGGGGCAGGGCAGGGCAGGGCAGGGTAGGGTAGGGTAAGGCAAGGCAAGGCAAGGCAAGGTAGGTAGATGTATCTTGGGCAAGCCAGGGACGTTATCATTGGCACTGGATCATATTACAATCCTGCTTTTCCAAGTTTGATCCCCCTCCTATAAAATGAATAGTCCAGTGGACGATTTATATATCCACCAAGAAAGATTACTCCATTCACACTGCTGAAACTAGGAATTCATTCTCCAACCGCCACCTTGTTTTATCATCTTCTGGATGTGATATCCCAACCATTTGCCCGTTCGCCCAAGACCTCCAGGCCATCTTTTTAGTTTATAGTATAGCCAAATTAGCCAAAACACCCAAAAAACGCATCACAGTTCTATAACTCCTATTCAAGGAGCAATCACTGCTTTTTGCAGTCCACAATCCTGAAAATCCAGTCCAGTTAGATCCAGTTTGTATAGCATCATGTAATCCATATATATATATATATATCATGGCAATCCCCAAATATAATACATTACTATTTAGTAAATATATGCGTGTATATATATATATCCATATCATGAAGCATCAAGCACCAGGGATTCACCGCCACGGCACATCCAGCTCCACCGTTTCCTCCGCCCGGTCCAGCAGCCGCAGCGCCCTCTGCCAGTGGCGCGCGCAGGCGCCCAGCGCTGCGGCGAAGGAGACGCAGTCCACGTCTTTCGAGAGGAGGGAGATGGCCTTGATGATGAGATTGTGGTGTTTGGGTTGTTTTAGATAATATGATATTCTATGACTCTATGATATGATATAATATCATAAAAACATGAACTTATGAACTTCCGTAATTCTATGACTATGATATGAGATTTTATGCATATATATATATATATGTGTGTGTGTGTTATTACTATTGTTATTATTACTATTGTTATAACTGATCAATGTTCTTTGGGCTCTATATATCCAGCAGACTTGGTTCCATTTCCGGGATGAAGGGCCGCGCCTCCTGCCATCGCGCAGCGGCACTGCAAGCACTGATAGTGCAGTTCAGGGCCACTCTGTCGCTCTCCTGACCCAGGTCCTGGGTACAGAGTCATCAATTCCTGTAGCCTGTGTGAGCCATTATAATACAAATATAATATATATATAGAATAGCCTGTGCACGTGTTTGTGTGTGTGTGTTTGTGTTTGTTTGCGTTTGTGCTTGTGCGTGTGCTTGTGCTTGTGCTTGTGTGTGTGTTTGTTTGTTTGCTTGCTTGGTTGTTTGTTTGTTTGTTCGTTCGTTCGTTCGTTTGTTTGTTTGTTTGTGTGTGTGTGTGTCTGTGTGTTTCGGGTATGCTCAAGTAACATATCCCATCACCATTAGGGTATCCGGGGGATTCTGTTGTAGAATTGTGTAGATCTATACCTTGTTGTGGGTTTCACCATCCTCGGCCGAGCGTCATCCAACAGCTGCACAGCTTCTTTCCAAAGCTTCTTCCTTGAGGCTGGGTCAGCTGACAGCAGCAGCGGAATATATCCGAAAATGGGAGGAAGAACCCAAAGCCATAGTCATAGTCTGTTAAACGGTTCTTCCGCATCAAATCGGACAGAAAAGCAGTTTCTGGGATTGCCTTTGGTTCTCCAGTTTTGCAGCCTAACAGCCTAACAACATCTAACAACCCCAAGTCTGACAAATTGAGATGTACAGTTACATACTTTACGTTTCTTTACATATCTTTACATACTCCATTTCTGTGTGTTTCCCTGCTCCCTCGATCCCATCCCGCGGCGCCTGCGGTAGTCTTGCAACAAGTTGTGGCATCGCCGCAGGACGTGGGTCATCCACGTGCATGGCTGCAGATCGCTGTGGGCCGAAAGCTCTCTCTGTCCCGTCCATAGCTATGGAAGCCAGTGGCCCATAGATATACATGGTTTATAGATATCTACAGAAAATCTTTATATAAATTACCAAAAAAATGGTGATTTTCCAGAATAACCCAAGGCTTTTAAGTTTTTAAGGATCCATCAGGGTCTTTCCAGGATAGCATGATTCAAATGATGACCTCGGCCATCTAAGTTCATCCAAGGCACAAGACCCGTGGACCATAAGTATTCACCGTGAAGAGAACAAAGCCTCAATGCGGAGAGGGACTTGGCGAACATGTTGCTGAGGGGTGCGGACAAAAAGCATTACATCAAATGAGTTGCTGTATATCTGCAGTATATCATAGTATATCTCTATTGCGAGTATCTTCATGCTTTGAGGGAAATAAAATCGGGTTCACTCTCAAACCAAGCCAAACAATCCTCACAAACCGACGGTCAATCACTGCATCCCAGCCTAAGTTGAGGGTTTGAGCCAGGAAAATCTTTTGCATCATGGAGTAGTTGAGTTCGTTGTTCGACAAGGACCGCTCAAACTTGGCCATCGCGATAAAGACCTCGGGGGTCATTCCCTGAGGCGGTCATTCCAAACAATGCCATGGATGTCGGACTTCCGAAACTATCTGCAACACTTTCTTATCTATTTCAGATTTTATCAGCTGATATAGTTAATTCATAGCTAAATTGATCGGTTGGGTCGACACCTGAGTCTGGCCCAAACGACTCCAAAATTCCAAAACAGCGGATTCCCAAACCAGACTGGGATAGCTGAAGTCGTCCTCGACGACTAATAGTCCCAAAATCCCCGAACATCTCCAAAATGGGAACTGACATGATATGATGTGTGCCAACCAAGTTCCAATAGATTCCCCAAATAAATCCCCGTTGGAAATGTGTTGGAAATCTATTGGGAAATTGAAAATATTCTCGTTTTCCCCATAGTTCCCCTTACGAGAAGCAAACGAATCACCTTCAGCAAGGCCGATCCAGTCATCGTCCGGGTCCAAGGGACCCATTGCAGGACCAAGTTGATGACCACTACCACCGTGGATGCTGCCGTCATGATACCTCGCACCGAGCTAAGAAAGGTACGTGTAGGGATGGATTTAAGTGATTTCCTTAGGAAAATCTGGAGGAAGCTGTGACAGGATTTACCTTCAATTATGGGGGGGGTCCTGAGAATTGTCCCTTCAACCAAGTGTAAAAAAACAAGGACATGTTGGATTTTTACTGGGCAAGTCAATGTCGGCCCCCATGTGCATTCTGCTATTTATATATATATATATTTAAAAAAAAAAACTCTCGAACACTTTCATGATGAGTCTATATCTACAGTATCTATATCTTGGTATGGTTCAAATTGAGCAACAATTACCATTAGCCCGACAATTAATTACATGGTTATATAGTCATAGGCTTCAACAGACTGATACATAAATATATCATTCTGAACCAAATCACCAGACAGAGCAATGAAAATATCTCTACTTCACGGTTCTGAAAAATTCCCCTGACGTTCTTTTCAATAAAATCCAGTTACAAACGCGTTCGAAAATATCAGCCATTATCAATTTCATCAAGTTACGTTTATAATTCCGTTTTATCCCCATTCTACCCATCCAAGGTTGACTGATGGTCCATTATGGTTGATAATCTCAATGATATCCCCTTTGAATTCCCACGAAAAACCGTTCTAAATTTGTATAATACCATTATAAGTCATTATATACACCATTATTGTTGGCTAAATCCAGTTAGATCCCCATCTTTGATGGTTAAAAATTTAAAAAAACCTTCCTTAAGAGATCCCCTCCAGGCCATTGTTGTTCCCTTCAGCTGAGGAGCCCATTGACTTCCCCAACTCAAGAAGCCATGACGAACAGGTCTCGAAGAGCGAAGGGTCTTCCACCAAGGCAGCCTCGGCTGGAGCTGCTGGTCAAAATGTCGGCCATGGGAACACTAGGAGAAAACTCTAGGAACTGCCATACATCATGATCATCATGGATCATCATTGCATTTTCCGGGGTTTCTCATGGTTTTCTCACGGGTGTCTAGTGTCTAAGGATCAAAATGCCAGCATCTAGGAAAACATCCTGCCATGACTCAAGAGCTCAGGGTGAAAATTTGCCCCGTTCTGTGACGTGATCTGACCGAAGTGTTGGCCCCTTTTAGCCCCGAAAGCGCCATCACTGCCGAGGTGCATATCCCATGGACTCACACCAGCAGTTGAGGATATCCCCACCCTCTCCTACGGTCAAATGTCTTCAGGTCGTCAATGCGGAAGTCACTCAGCCGGGCAAAAAAACGAGGCACCCTCCGGTACTCAAACATTGCAAAAGAAAATTCTCCCTGATATACCCTGATGATCTTCCATATTTTTTTTGCCTTAGAAACATTATGAAACATTTCATAGGATATTCAAAGGGCTAAATCTTCCAAAAGTTTCGTGAGTACAAAAGAATTAGGGGCGCCAAAAAGTGCCCAGCCTACTGCATACTGCTTGGTCCAGTTGGCGGCCACATTTACCTTGGCTGAAGGAGCCAGCTGTGTTTCTGAACCACAGACTTGGGGCCGCTTCCCCATTTACCTGGACATACTCAAACTCCGAATTTTGGTGACATGGTGATGTTGTAATCTGGGTGCATCCTTGAGGACATTTGGGGAAGTGCCCAGAATGAAAATACATGGAAATATCATGAAATATCTATTGTCTTGACTCTTGACCAATCTCAATGAGCCGCAGAAAGTAAAAAATAAGCTGGTAGGCAATGGTTGGCACATATCCCCCATTCATGACAAAAGATTGAAGTAAAGAAATAGTCATGCTTCCAAGTCATGAAGTATCTGGGGCAGGGTACCCTTTTAACCCTATCCGGAAATGTGCCCCCAGCGTTTTGTGAGACATGTCCCTTTTCTCGCGGGCTTTTCCTCTTGTGGTCCAGTTGCGTAGCAAATGTACTGGGTCGCATTCCCTGTGGTCTCTGGCACCACGGGGTCACAGAGTTCACTTCCAATGTAACCTCGCCGCCAGCGCGGCTTGAACTGGATGATGGCTCATGGTAGGATCCACAATGTCATAACCTAGTAACCCATTCCCAGTTTGCGGCTTACTTGTTGGGCATACCTTAGGACCATATTGACCTACAAATAGGCAACTTTTGGGCATGGTTTATCATTGGCCCCACCTTGCTGTACATTCTACGCAACTTGGACAAGTTCTCTCCAGGGTTCTCTTCCAGGCATTAAATGTTGATCAATACGAAATACACACACACAAATATATATATATAATTAAACTTAACCGCTGACTTTATGATCTTAACGCTTGCACGTGCTTCAATACAACGCCCAGAGATTGACCAGTTCCATACTTTCGTTGCAGTGATGACAAAAAGCAGAAGTACAGCGTACAATCACAGCCTTTTTACAGCATGCTGAAAAGCTGGTTGATGCCTGGTTCGACAACTAAAACGGGCTTTGTTCATCTTTGTTCCGTATCCGGTCATAGCGCATGGCTGGTTGCATCCTGGAAACTGAGCTGGTTTCCAGCCTGCGACTTTCCCACCACAGTGATGACATAGATGCAGATCTAGGATTCCAACGAGCGCGGAACGACAAGGGTCTGCTTTACTAGGTGGGTAAAAATGTATTATGTTTATATATATATAATTATATAGAGACAATCTATGATGTCTGAGTTGATCTGAGTTGTATGATGCGGCCCTGGTGAAAGCAACTAAATGAACCACGGTTCATTTTAGGAATACAGACACCTTGAGACAAGCCGTGGCCTGTCTCCTTGAGGAGTCTGAGGAGCTGACCAATGATATCACCAGCAGGACAACGAAGGTGAGTAACCTCAACTTGGGATAACTTGAGCTGTTGGTTTCTTCATACAGGGTTATACTATGTTATACTCACCGGGGACATGGGCTAACTGGCTAACTGGCTAACCTACGGATACCTATTCAAAAATATTCACCACCCAGTCTTTCTTGGGATGGGGCAGGGACATATTGTATCCCATATGATTACAGTAAGTGGGATAATCGTAGGAAATACCCGTCATGGTGTGCAGTATCCCTGGTCATATATGTCTCTCTCCATCGCCCTGTCCGGGAGTTCAGCATCTTGCTGAAGGCGCGCCAAGGACAGGTCATATATGATCATATATGTCTGTCAACCCATTTGCTTGCTGGGATACACATCCAAGAAGTATGGCGGCTCTTTTTGCTCTATGTAGGCCATTCCGTAGGAATTCAGGAAACAATCCAACCATCAGACATGCATTGGAAGTAGAATGATGCTTGTTGGGAGCTTCATCCCGCTCAAACAAAACATCCCCCCTTTGGAGATTTGTTCATGGTCGACCCTTCCAACGAATACATTAGGGTCCAGTAAGGAATCCCAGCCATAATTGCTCATCTTGTTCCGCCAGCGCATCCCCTGACCAACCCCTGAGCAAGGTGCATACAAATCTGCCTGGAGCCAGAGCAATGATACGGCTTGCCATGTCTTGTCATCACTTTCACACCAGCTACTAGCAGTACCAGCTACCAGTTGGGTCCCAAGAGGTAGCTCAGGCCTATGGACATATGTTTACTCGGCTTTTCCCACCCCAGGTTGCCAGTGGATCTCTTCATGGTGACTGTCACTTGTCTGGGCCCAATCCAACCTTCTGTGTTACCAGTCATATCTCCAACACACATTCTCAAACATATCCGTGACATTCTGAACTGCCAATTTGCAATGCTCAAATAATTAGATGTCAACCAGCCAAAGCCACAGCGCAACTGCATTTCTGCAGACTCCTTCCCCCCAAAAGAAAAGTAGAACACACACACATCACATAACAGGAAAAATCAACGGAAACTCACCTCGCAACACACCCAAATCCTTGGGCTTTGGATGGCTTTGGTCAATTCTTCAGATTTTCTAGGGTTATTCTACACATTTCTACACCATTGGACCATCCAGGCTTCGCCATGGCACCTGAGGAGTCGGGACCACCAGGGCACGTCCTGGTTTTCCCAAAGCACTTCCGTGGGCTGCGGAGCTCCGATCACGCGGATGCCATGGCCTAGGCGCTTTTTTGGGAAAATCTGCGGCAAAGATCTTACAATCTGGTAAACATACAAAAGATTATGGAAAATCACCATTTTGATCAGGAAAATCCATGGAAAATCCACTATAAATGGGCCATTTTCAATAGCCCTTGTTGACCAGAGGGTACCAAATGTTCTCCATTTAATTCCATACAATTACGGCATCCAGGATTGTCGATCGGAAAATATCGGAAACACATGTTCAATGGGGTCCACCAATCCACTTCAATGGTCGTTTCTGCTTCGGGGAGTGTAGCATTGGGCTCCAACCCGTGCAGTGAGACAAAATTTATCAAAATTTGCCGGATGGAAATTGAAAAGTCAAAATCAAATTGAACCATGAACATGTGTGAACAAGAAGAAGTTCATGCGCAGAGATGCCCATAGTCACTTACATAGCCACTTACACATCTTGCACAGTAACTTGCAGAGTCTAATATGATCTAATATGCATTTCATTCAAACGAATTTTGCAGAATAAACTAATATCTTCTCACTATGTGTTGTCCACAATCTTGGCCTTCGAAGCCGACTTAGAACCCCACAGCCGCGCACTACGTTGTGGGCTCTCCATATCTCTCCATCCAAGGTGCCGCAAAACCGCTTCCTCCGCGACTGGCAACATCTGAAGAGTGAAAACTTGGCAAGGCCTCAATGGGATGACCATTTGGGGGGATGATGGGGGATGGAAAGGCATCCCGACCAGCCGTCACTTGCGAAAGGTCAAACATGTCAGCCGGGCAAACTGTTTTTTTTGAACGACATCTCTTTATGTCAAATTAGGTCTTGAATTTCTGAATGTGGCCTGATGTGGCCTGATGTGGCCTGCCAAAAAGAAGCCATGCCTGAACCATCCTGATCTTAATGTTTGGGGGGTTAACTGATGTCTATTGTTCTTTCTCAATTCTAGTGGATCATATGTGCATCATAGCCCGGAGCCGCCGAGCGACGGTAGTCGTACAACAGGCTGTCCACATCTGCCACTCGGTTCAAGATCACAAACGCGCGAAGGACCGGGAGCCTCACTGAAATGTGCCGCAACGAAATGCGACGAAGAAATTTCTCCGGCTTCGTACTACTTCTTACCTCACCTGGAGGATGGTGCTATTATAGAGTTATATATGATATTATATGTATTTATATGTTATTATATAGTTACAAATGAGATTGAAGATGATTGAAGCAACAGATTGCCCAAACTCGGCCGCAAACTCATTGAATCAGCGCAGCCTAAAAACCAACTTGAAAACCAATTTTGAAGTTTCCCCCCACTGGAGACCTGCACCTTTGTATTGTACATTGATATGGCCAACTATAAAACAAAGGCTCCATCCGGGTATGGTCCAACAATATCCATCAGAAATAAGAATGATGGACTCATGAAATGGTTTCCCATATTTTTGCTGCAGTTTGGATATATGTATATAGAGATAGAGAGCGAGAGAGAGCGAGAGAGAGAGAGAGAGAGAGGGAGAGAGAGAGAGAGAGAGAGATACATATATATTTATATATAGTCTATGATTTAAGCAACTCCTATCTGGTCACCTGCCGGTTTCCGCTTTGCAAACAGGTTGCTCTTCTTCAGCTGGCAGCTGCATCTCGATCTTTTGGTCCAGCTTGGCCTGGACGGTCAGATTTAGGGGCAGATTTAGGTTGGAACTTGGGTAAGGGCTGATGTTTATTGCGAAAAACAACACACAGATGTTCATGACATATGTTATAACATGTTGTACATACTTATAAATCATCATGTAACAGGTCTGGAAGCATTAAATGATAACCATTGCAAGATATTGAAAGCCACTGAAAATAACCTATATTATCCTATATTCATATACATCAAACATCATCAAACAGGAATTCTGGTTCTAAAATGCCCCTCCCAGCCCGAAGCAGCCGTCCTTCTTATTGGTCAACTTGGCAAGTTTCCTCTCGTTGTGGTAGGCTTTCCTTACCCCCGGACACACCCCAGCACTCCCTGGCACCGGTGACACCGGTGGCCGTCGGGTGCCGTCGATCCAAGACACTGCACTTCGATCTGTTGGGTGAGGCGAGCCTGTTCTTGTAGGGCATCCAGCCTGCCAGATTTTTCCAGTGACTCAATTAGTCAGGAAAGTACACATTTTTGATGTGTCCGTTCAGTGGGGGTTCTGCAGGTTCCCCCTGAGGGTCGCAATCCCAAGTACAGTTTTGCCCCAGGATAGGACTGCTGGCACTAGGATGGAACGTCAAATTATCAAAGCAATTGTCCCGGCACAGTTTTCTCCCAGAGCTTAATGTTTAATTGAATGCAATGCCTGAGTCATGCACAAAGTATACTTGTATAGCAGCTATAATCAATAAATCCATCACAATTCATAGTTCAATCCGATGAATGGCCTCACGTAAATCAACACAAATACGGAACATCTGCCATGCGTGGACCATTTTGCTTAGGGAAACAATGGGCTTTCCACATCTATGTTAGTTTAGGGCACTCTTCAGCGACAACTTGGGCCTGCCCTTGAAGTCCCGAACCAGCGTGACTTCGCAGACCTGCGGATTTTTCCTTGGTGCTCTGAGGAATGTGACATCAATATCTCTGGCAGCGTGTCGGTGGACCCCGGAAAGCAGGATACCACTAGGAAAACATAGAGATTTAAGTAGGATAAATGAGGATATGCTGAGGATATATTTAACATGATTTAACCAACAATATTACGATATGGGCATTATGCGCCTATTTGAAAACGCGGTCTACACATGAAAAATTGCAATCTTAACACGGAAAGTGAGGACTGACCAGCGGATTTGGGGGCAACCCTGGCAACCAAATAATCCTTTGCTGCACCGACATTGATGTTGGAGCAATTGGGCCCGGATTGGTAGTCCAAAGATTCCAAAGGGACAAATTATCCCAGTTTCCGGGATGGATCAACGATCATAGCTTTGGAAAAGGCAAGTGGGTCATGTCAGTGTCATCCATTGATCTCCCCATCGTTGCTGGGGATCGGCTCAGCCCATAGCTACCATAGCTATCAACCCCCCAAGCTGACCTCCATCTGTCAGCCATGCATCTTGTCCCCATGGGCATTCTGCACTGCCCGCATGCGACTCTCCAAGTGTTCCGTGAGAAGACGTTCGTAGTCGCGTTGGTTCGGGATCCTGGCCGATCACAGCTCCATCATGGAATCATGGTTGGAATCATGGTCAAGCGGTCAAGCTGAGTCTGCTTCGAAAGCCTGGAAAATTTCAGTTCTTTACTGTTCCAACTGATTCACACTTTGGCTTTCATGAAAATGATCTATATATAATGATCTATATATAATGATCTATGTTTTTTCCAGAAGGTTCGACTTTTGGTCTTCATGAGGAAAGAAACGATAAGAAACGAAAGTCGGATTTTCCCAATATCATGCCAGGGGTTATTGGTTGGTCAATGACCCCGGTTCATACATCTATATAGCATTTCCATGCCTTTCGATTATGTCATGAGCAGCTGGCGGAAAACCGAGGCATTATTTCTGGGATGGACGTCCAAGTTTGGCCAATTGGACATATAGCTAATGGCCCTCGGTGGATAACATTACCAACAAAAAATCTGATATGGCAGTGTGTCAAAACCTTGTACCCCTGGTGAACCCCAAAATAGCTGGTAAATGGATGTTCATCCCCCTAAAAATGGTAGTAATAGGTATTAATATGAAAACCCAATCATGAAAACATCACGGTAGAGTATCGGAGCATGAGACAAGTTGGATGATACGCCCGGGATCGCCCGGGGCCTGGCTGGCAGCTTTTCCTCAGCGGCGGTCAATCCCTGGGTTCATTCTGGATGTGCTGGGCAATATGAATTATATGAATTGACTTGAATCTGGATACTTCATGATACTTCATTCAAAACAAGCCGCACAAGCCCTCATGATGGTTCGGGTCGATTCAGGTCGCACATGTAGCTACCACATATATCCACATATTATTAGGCTTTGTCTGAAAACGTGGCTCACCAAACTCTTATGATTGATCATTGTTCGCCCAAAAAAAACAGCCTTATGCCACCACATGTTTTGACCATGTAACTAAGTCATCTTATTACAAACCATCCAGCTATTGGGGTACCATTTCAGGAAACCCCCATGTATATATGTATCTTATCCAAACATGAGCGCTTGGAAGTCCACGGCACCATGCCAGTACCCCAGCTTACAATTTTCCCAACGTGATCTGCTTTCACTATCTTGGAAAGTCTCAACGATAATATGTATGTATCTATAATAATTATATTTCATTATGCATACAGCATGCATATAAACTTATATCGGGATTTGTATGAATTTGTGCCGTTCAATGCAAGTTTCATCGTGTGGCTCCACAATCCGCAAAGATTCTGCAGGGTAGCTCTAGCACAGATTCGCATTTCTAAAACATGAATTCATCCGTGCTCAGCCGCTGCGATTGCAACAATGCGCGTCAGCAAAAAAATGCGTTATGGGCATATTGAATACCATATTATTGATACAAATCATTATAATATTGTTGATATTATATTGATATTTATTGATATTTATGGATATACTTGGTCTTCACAAAGTACTAACCGCTACTAACCATTCTTATCCCATGTCATTTCGTCTTCACCGACCCCTTGATCTAGGCGCGATGAGCACCGAGAAATCGGAGACCGAGACCTGCTGCAGGTCGTCGTCTTCGATCTGCTTGGGGATGTCATAGAAACCTCTGGTGCTGTACCAAACAATGGATTGCTTTGAGGGAAAATCTTAACCGGAAACATCCGGAAACCATAGATTTTCCCATTAAATATGGGGTTTTCCAGTTTTCCTGTAAATTGTCCCTTAAACCAATCCATTGAACCAAAGAAAGCAACGCGCGTAAAAAACTGTTGGGCCTGTTGGGCCTGTTGGCTATGACTTTTTGGTACCATTGAATCGAAACAGAATGGGCGGGACACGGAGGATCGAGGCCTCTGGGGATATGACATGATATGACCAGATTCACCAGCCATCGATTACGACTACATATGACGACTAGCCAACCGATGAGGCCAGATGGCACACCAGTCGCAGACAAATTTTGGCATCATTTTGTGCCCGATTACTTTGCAACCCATGACCGGCGCTCGATCCATTCGACTTCTTCCAAGGGGCGAAATCGCACGAGGTAGACAAAAAGAATGAACCTGGCGGCCATGAAATCAGGATCAGGAGCATGAATGTGAACCAAAAACCCGGTATGTCCTGCAGTATTCCCTCTTTGGTGGTTTCAACCCATACCATGCGTTTGTTTGACGATGTTGTTTTAGCCTCCAGTGTCGGGGATGCAAATCAAATCACCAATGAGTTTTGGGTTGCCCTGCCATGCCAGACGAGTTTCAGGCTCAAGGACACGAGGCAACTATTGGTGTACATCAGAGAAGTTATACAGCATACCCTCTTTACTCAGCAATGAAGATGTATGTCGTGCATTTCGGGCACCTCCATGTCCACATACTGTACACACACATATATTATATATACACTATACATATACAGATATCTATCTATCTGTCTGTCTGTCTGTCTGTCTATCTATCTATCTATCTATCGATGGATCTAATTCTCATGATCTATCTATCTACCTATCTATTATCTATCTATCTAGAATGATATAGATACACAAACATATAGATACGCACACTATACGCTGGTTGCGCTGGTCCCATTTGCCCCGTAGTCTCCCCCGCGTCCGAGGCGAGGCGTCCAAGGCACACTGCTGCGAAGTCTAACCAGGCGAAGACTGCGGTGAGGTTCGACAAGCTGGCACCATCGCAGTTCACGCGCACAATGCGCAGCCTAGGCGCAATTATGGTAGCTTCACCATGATTTTCAAGTCATCTAATTATAATCTACTATAGACTATAGTAGTGTTTCTTGCGGACAAATATTTTAGTTCAACATGTCATATGATATTTCAAGATGTATTTGGGGGTTTGTCATTTCATGCTATTTCATGCTATTTCATGTTATTTCATGTTATTTCATGTTATTGCATGTTCAATGGTAATGTATCCCTTTGATATCGACTTAAACCTTGACATGCGTGACAATACTCAGGCATCCGGAGAATCCATTCAGAGCCAGCCGTTCTTCCAAAGACGCCCCTCCGGCTTGCAGAAATTGAATCCACTTGGCCGAAAGATTTGGAAAGATTTTGGTGGACAAGCCGACAAGCCCTGAATTTTCCACCGAATTTTCCCCATTTCCTGGACCTCCAACCATCCTCCAACCCCGAGCCATGACAGCCCATGGCCAAGTGACAAAGGATCCAGAACCTGCGTGTCCTGAGCCATTTGTCCAGAAGTGCAACAGCTGCAATCCCAAAACTGGACAGTTGCCAAAAAAAATTGGTTGAAAAGGAGAAACCTGGAAACTTGGTTCCCAAAAAGCTTTCTGATCTCTGATCAAAGTGGAACGAACAGAACGAGTTCAATTGGAAAACACTTCTTCGACTCATGGCCCCACTGGCCCGACTAACAAATCCCATCCATTCCCAAACATCTTAATTAGACTTAGACACCCCGTGCAGCCTTGGTGGATCATGATGGATCAAGAAAATGGGATCGAGGATGCCACCGAGCGACCACATAGAGCCCCAGATTTCCGATGGTCGTGCGGGCTAAGAACTGCCCATTGTCCGGAGCGAAGGTGCCCAGCAAACAAAAGGCCGTGGTGGGAAAGGTGATGGCTGCCTCGAAGGGGGCCCAACAAGGCCCAAGGGGATCCCTGGGGTAAATTAACATGTGGAAAAGCCATGGTTTCCCGTTATACAAATGGTGGCTTTTCAGCATCTATGATATCTATGTTTGGAGGATGATTCTTGAGATGAACACGGCTGGAGATGAGGATTGAAGGTACTTCACTGTCATGCCCGGTTGATCCGCATGCCCAGCTTGGGGGTTCTAACCACCCCCATTCCGATATCCATTATATAGTAGACATCGCTAAACTGCAAGAACTCGTTGCTTACCTTAGCTGGTCAGTACATCTTACAATTATCTGGTCATAGATTAAAGTCTTGAAGTACCATAAAGTATCCATCCAAGATTTTCTGCGTAGAATAATTAACGGCTATCAACATCTACAAACCACCAGGACGCTGTCCTGAGCTTCATCTTTTCTTGCCCAGGTGCCATGGTTGCAAAGAGGTAGCCCATGCTTCGCAAGGTTCCAAAGTACAAGGAGGTGCCGGTGCCTCCGATGACGCCTCGGCAGTAAACCCAATCGTAGACCTCTAATCTTGGTTTCTGCGAACCAATTCTGCTGAGTCATTGGGGGTTGGTGTATTGGGTGTACCTCATTGGGAAAAATCCATTGAAACCCTATCAATCATGAGACTCCCATTCCCATAAGCTTGCCCATGCTATTGGGGGTTCTTTTGGGATTAGTATCGGAGGCAGATGGGGAGGTCCCATGATGTGGGGCCCCTACACATTCCATCAAATTCCAATAAAAATAGTCTCAAAACATGGGCCATGGGACATTTCCCAAAACATCTAGGGTCACGGATGCTTATGTGGCATGATTTTCCACGGCCTTGCTGGAGAATATCACATATAGGCTTATATATACACACATATATATATATATACATAGGTAGGATTAATTTTGGGGCGCGGCATCGTGAAGAAAGGTTCGAAATGAAACCGTCATTTGACCGCCCTGATCGTCCTAGGGCCCCCACACATCTTGTCGAGGCCTGCGGAGCAAGGACTCAACCACTTGCCATCCTTGGTGGCGCTGACTTCATGCTACTTGGAAGAGAAAGAACACATGTGAAAATCAGGGCAGTTGGAAGATCTTGAATCTCATATAACTTTTATATGTATATTTATGATGTAAATGTATACATATGGTGTGCAGGATCTCCTCAAAGCCTTTGATATAGGCGTATAGCTGATATGGGGCATATGTGGGGAAACCAACTCATTATGTAAATCCATTTGGGACCCAGCAAGCCACCAATTTCCAACTTTAGGGATCCACAATGATATATAATTAGACAGGATGCTGACTCACTGATGGATGCTGGTAAAACTAGCCATATAAATTTGCATGGCCCAGCCGAACAGCACGCTCATCTTTCCAGCTCACTGCTCTCAAATCTCATCAAATCTCCATCAGTTTGGCCGATGTGCGTCATTGCAGGCTGATTTTCAACCTTTCATGTGAAACAGCCTGAAAATGCCTGAAACTATATGAGCAACCACTTGAATTTGGTACATGTGACAAGGAAAGAATTAAAAGAGACCCCCCTATATTGTGTTCACACTTAGTAGCATTCCGAGCACAATGCTTCCAGTGCTGATCTCGTTTTGCAATGCTGTCATACAATCATACTGTCACCTTTTCAGATAGTGTCACAAGAATTCCTACCTCGTTCTTGGAGTCCCCCTGCATTGTTTTATGGATCCTGAGCAAAACATTCTTACTGCCTAATCCTACTTTCCCTTGTTCCAAAAGATGCGGCTGCTCATGTGTCAAACCATAAGCTCCATGGCATGGAATCTCCCTCATCTTCAACAAAAACTTGGAAGTTTCTTCCAAGTTCGCCCATCCCCTCAAGTTGACCCCTCGACTTGCATCATCCGATCACCACTTTCCAGGCTGGGACTTACTGTGGTGGCCAGTCTACACAGCACAGGTCATGTTCGAATGCAGCTGGTGGCGGCTCACTCCATTCGCAGCTGTCGGGGTTCATGGATCGTAGCGTCTCGCAATTCTGCGCCGCCGACAGCAGGCCAAAGGCCACCCAGGCCCCAATCATCAGCAGGAAGCAGGGGAAGCAGGTCAGGCAGCAGAACTTTTGGGATGTCTCTGGAGGTTTCCCCATCGCCCAGCAACATAGAATCAGGGTGGCAATGGTGAGCATGACGCCACTCATCAGCATGGTCAACTGACGATGGCCATAGTCACAGCCATGGCTCCAAGGTGTCACTGGTGAAGAAACTGAGCGATCCGTGAGGAGAGCCCCTGAAAGCTCTCCTGGATCCTCAAGCCAACAAATGCCGATGGAATGACGTTGTAGAAAGAACGCAGGAAATTTGCGAAGGCACAGGCACAGCAACAACCCAGAGACCTACACACACACACAAGAACACAGAACATAAAGTCATAGTTGCGTAGCGTATCAAGAAAATGCGAAACACAGAGGCACGAGTTGCCAAATATACAGAAAGCAAGCTCAGTTCAGTTATCCCTTTTTTTGCAGAATCATCTCCGTGCAAGAAAACCCTTCTTCATTTCTGTCGTCTGGAAAAACGAAGAAACTTCGCCCATTACTTTGCACTCATCAACGAAACATCACTGCAGCACGCATCCTTGGGCTTACACATAACTCATGGTTCCTCCAAATAGATGAGCAACGTATAGTGATAATTCAAATTGATTTCAGGTACAAGTATATATCTGCTATACATCAACTACGGATTTTATTGACATATTCTGGCATCCTGAGTTTGATACTATACCCGACTATACCACTATGCTCCAGCACAGGTGTAATCCCCAACCGCCGAGTGACCACCGTTGCACTCGAACGCCTAAGTACATCGCATTTTGGTCGGGCACCGAAGAAAGTGGTGACTTAACGAATAGGTTACCTATGGCAACCCCCAAAAAGATAGAAAAGTTGGAAACCTGGAAATGTGAGGGAAATATCATCTATACATATCTATACTACAGTAATCCTGGCTACTATAAAGGTATCTAAGGGACAGGGATCTAAGGGGTCCATGAACTTTTTTTTCCAGCTCTTTCTGCCAGACTTTTGGTTACTGAGTTACTGAGGCCATTTTGGAGCCTGATCATGGCAACACAGCAACATGACCAAATAATGTCCGTTCCAACTGTTAAATCTACCAACCCCGAATTCAACACAAAGTTGGGAACCTGAAAAGTGCATGAAACTGTGTGGTATAAAATCACGCCTAACATCATCCAGCACAAGTTTGTTTCTCTCTATTTCGTATTCATGTCCCCAAAGAAGGCCCCATAATTGCAGCACACAGAGGTTTACACAGAGCACAGTAATTGTGTAATTAACTACCATCGCCCCCTCTTGGGGTATCTTTGGGGGCAGGTGTCCATGATGCTCTAGACAAGGTTTTGTCCAACAATTGGGTGTTCACTGCAAGTGCTATGCTCAATCATTTATGCCCCACGAACATCTGCCATCAAATTGAGGATCTCTCTGTCTCTCTCTATCTTGACTGAAGGCGATCTGGCGGCCTAGCCATGCCGATGTTTTCTCGATTTTCTACACATGGTTTTGTCTGAAAGTAGGGCAACCCATTCCGCCATTCCATACACTGGTTCATCATCATTGCCCCCATTAACATGGCAATCTTCGGGTGGCTATCCCATTGTTCAGATGCACCAATATCATATTAGTTGCATTATATTCCATAAGATCCCGGCTATACCCATCCACAAAGTCATTGTTGGTTAAATCTCAAAATATTCCACTCCACCCACTACACCCACGATACCCCCATTATATTCCGGAAAAATCCATATGTTTTCCCCTTACATCCCCATTATATCCCCCAAAAAAAATCCAAAAAAACTTAAAGTTCCGTATATAGTTATTCCCACTATAATTACCAGTCTATGCCCCCTTTTGTAGCCCCATGTTTGCTTACATTACCATGATATTCCCATCCGATTTCGGATGCTCAGCTTACGCCGAGCTGATGCCGAGCTGCACCAGATGTCGCTTGGCTGCAGCCAGATCGGGCTCTGACCGATTCAAGTCCGCCTCAACCTGTATCCAGATCACCAATCATCAGGTCATCTGATGAACATCATCTCAGAGAGCATTTAAGATGAATTAATCCAATTGGAGGTAGTCTTTTTCATATTTTTTCATTACATTGGCTCACTCTATAAGTATCCGCGTTTCGAAGACTTTTTTCTTAGGATTTGAATCATCTTACATACTCCAAAATGGAGAGATCCAATACAGGGCGTCAGGGCGTCTTGCAGAGCATTGAAGAAACATATATTGTTCTATATTTACTTATTTGTAGCATATATATATATATATGCAATAACTAATAGCAAGAATAACAATAATAATAATAATAGTAATAATATATGTATCTATATATCTATATATATATATATTATGCATATATTAGAGGAAACTGATTAGAACTGGCAAACCCCACGTCGTACAGTACCATGGCTACTCATGGATACTAAGCGCGAAAAATTGACTTGTGAGCTTTTGACATGAACATTTGCTGTTAATGTTTGAAAATATGCTCATTGTCTAATTTACCTACCCAACTGCGGGTTTAGAGATTCCACCTATGGGTGATGTCTGCGGAAAATGTCTAAGTAAATACTGGTACACCCATCTATGAATGAACTGGGATTTGTGGGATCTGAAAGAGTAAAAATATGATAAAATATGGGGATGGGTCAATACCTATAGATACATTTTTAGTGGGATGAACATCCATTTACCAGCTATTTTGGGGTTCACTAGGGGTACAAGGTTTTGACACACTGCCATATGTAAAAATTGTTCTTGCGGTCAGATCCTTCTCCGATGTTTTTTCTGAGATGTCAGGAGTCAGGAGATGTCAGGAGATGTCAGGATCAGCCCCGGCACCTCGCTCGCTCGAGTCTTGGTTGCACCTGGCTGGGTAAATAAGTCCTGAACCAAGTGAAATCAGGTGAAATAAGACGATATTATCGATATTGATGTGATTTTGATGTGATTTTGATATGATTTTGGATGATGTTTTGTTCCATCCATTGTGGCGCTGGAAATCCTCCTGGGCTTGGCACCTGTAGGAGACTCATCTACAATTCCTACGCACGCGTGGCAGCTGTGAAGTCCCCCCGAGGGGTCCCAGGTCAACAAAACAGGACCTCTTGGACTCTTGGTCATGAATCTGTTTCCAATGTGTTACAAATGTTACAATAAGAACTCCTAAAATCATCTAAATCATCAAATATCTCCCCAGTCATTGCTTATCGCTTGATCTATCGACTCAACATGACAGTGCCCCATTTCAACATGCACACTACATTAGTTCACGGATCAACCTAGACCAGCCATGACCGACAAGCATCCCCCAAGCCATGGCACAACGGCTTCAAAACTGGCTCCAGGAACCCGCTGAGGCTACGAATCCACTTTCACCCCAACCCCCAATGGGCCCAAGCCCACTTTTGATGAATCTGTATCGTAAATTATTGCATATAAATCTATACAAAATTATACAAAATTATACAAATACATTGTACTGTAATAAGCAGTCCACTGTTATAGATTGTAGTACTTAGGAACCCACCGGTCATCGTTAAATTGCCGGTCCCAATATGTTCCTTTTTTTTGCCAGGGCTTCTCAGAGGATTTGCCCCACAAAACTGTTCCTGATTGGAGTAACTATTCTTGGAACTCTGCTCGTTGGTATGATTCATGATCTTTGCTTATAATCAAAGTGCTTGCCTGCAAAGTATAGAAACGAAGGCGGAAAAAATTATATGACCCATTATTGTGGCCCGAAAACGTATATGATCATGGATTGTCCTTCTGGCACCACCCGCGCGGCCCGTTTGCGACCTGGGGGTCAGAAAGGCTGGACGACAGGATGCAGTATCAATATGGAGCAATTAAGATGTATCAATATGTATCAAACATATCAAATAAGATTAAGATGTAGATTAATATGCGATCAACGACATATGGGTTCTTAATAGATGCCCCAAACATCTCCAAACTGGGGCGATTTTCCAAGGTTGAACTGGGTAAGCATGGTAAGCTCATGCTGCCTCATCGCAAATGGTTTGGTGCATGCTGCCACCTGTTTGTATCTGTTTGTTGCTACAAGATCTACAAGTTACAAGGTCGTTTGGACTGATAGAACTCCCTTTCATGATTCCATTCTTGAAAAGGCTAGTCTGCTTCACTGATCCCTGGGAAAAAATGAAACAGCCTTTACCCTTTACCTATCCCTGGGGCTGGCTTGTAATTGCAGCTTCGCAACTTCTATAACTATTCCCGATAATTGTTCCCGTATCGTAACAGATTCAATCCCTGAATGGAACCCCAAAAAGGATCAAAAAGGATAAAAAAGGTGTCTTTTCTGGGGAGGTGTTCTTTCTTTTAAGGGAGAAGGGATTAGAAAGATACTGCTATAACCGCAGCTACCAGAATTGTGAGGCCACTGCCGCGTGCTTACCACGCCTTCAGCGTTCTCGCCATCATGTTTCAAACAGCTTAAGCCATCACCGGGAATCATGTGCAGTCTAACGCCTCTTGAACATGGGAGTCAACAATATGGGCCTCAAGCAAGAAGAGTTGGGGTGCGGCAACTTGTCAGAGTTGAACCTCATAAGTGGTTAAATGTGGTTCATAACCATATAGTTATATGATTATGTTATAACCATAGTTATAACTCATGTATATAGACGGGTTAATCCACGAAATCGGGGACGAACCAGATCTAACCGGTGGGTGGGATGATCCCCATCGTATCCCATCGGATCCAAGCCAAGGGGCACCAAACGAAGGGCACGATGAGCATTATGAGCAAGCCAACCGAGGTGATGGCTGAGAAAACCCACACCTTGACCAAATTTGACCACTGGGAGAACTGGGAGAACTGGGAGAACCAGGAAAAAAAAACATCGCACCCTTAGCACCCTTAAAGATACAGGGGTCAGGGGTCTAAAGATCGCATAAGATCGCAATATTTTATCCGACCCAAAATCCATTGGTTATCGTTATCTTAAACAGCATCCAAGAGGCTCGTGCGAAGTCGGAGACGCCATCCAAGCTAATTTCCGAGCAATCGGCCTCTAAAGCGCGCGATTTCTGATGTTCAATCGGAAAATCATCGAACATCATCATAAAATATACATAAAATCATCATATAAATATAAATCATCTATCACTGGTGGATTTCTCAATGGCAATTGGGAATCTCATTATCGGAAGACTGGTGAATCTATGGTTGGATTTGTTGGCACACCACCTGTGATATGTTTGTGGTTGTGAAATATGTCTTTGATGGACCAGTGCTCAGGTGCATCCCAACACCTTTTGTGGCAACTGGGAACTTGAAGAGAATTGAACTTTCGGCCAGTCACAAAGTTGGCACACCCAAACCGGAAAAAACTGGTCAAGGCAAGGATTCGTTTATAATTCACCTATGATCACACATTTGCTTGTGTAGGTGTACATCACCTACATTTCCCATAATTGCATATTGCAGTGCCCATGTTTTATAACCGTGAAAACGTCAAAACGTCGAAGATACAGAACTAATTATTTTGGTGATCAATCTTTATGCTTATGTCCATGGTTTATCATCTTGAAGAATTTTTGTAAATGGCAACCTGGAACTCCAGGCCTCAGTGGCCCAGATTTCGAGTGCCTGATCCATGGCTCAACCTCGGCACCGGGAACTGTTTGGGCCCTGGGAGGTGTTCCTCAAGATCAATGGATTGGTTTAAGGGAAAATCTTAACCGGAAAGCCCCATATTTTATGGGAACATCTATGGTTTCCTGTGGGTTTTCCCTTAAACATCCTTGAACCATCTTGAACCAATCCATTGACAATATCTCAGAATTCAATCTAGAATCTAGCACGGCATCCCATTGAACACAGCAAGGGGCTGTCTGCATGTGTCTGTGATCGTGTATCTCTGTGGAATTCTGTGGGTGTATAATACGGCTCCGAAACTTTATTGCGACTACAATACGGGGCCTACAGCCTACAGCCAATAACGATATCATGGAGCGACAAATATATCAATGTGCCTAAGCATGATATTGACATTATATGACATTATGAGGATAGGCCTGCAACGTCCACAAATGGATTATATAACTGTTGAAAATTGCACACAACCTAGCCTAGCAGCCGCTGAAATTGTCAGTTCAACACAGTTCAGCACACACAATCAGTCAGCTTCTTGAAATTTCTTGGCGTTACAAAACATGATTTGATAGCAGTGCATCAAAGCAAAGCCGCTGGCACATGCCCTTGGGGTATTCCATCATGATTGCATATAGATCATATAGGTTCACAGTTCCGCTGTCAAGACCGCATGCAAATGCAGCGTGTGTCACACCGTTCGCCCCAATGCTGAGCTTAGACAAGTCGCAAGCCTTGTGCTGGGAGCCACTTTCAAGACCCGGCCGGGGTCGTCAGCGGATTGTCGCTTTTTTGGGGTACAGAAAGTTTGACTCAGCATCAGTGACCTACCTGCATAGCAATCCCCAACCGTCTCAAGAAATAACACCAGCCATGTAGCATGTAAGAACGACATCTACAAAACATTGCAATGTCACACTTCAAGCAGTCTATCACAATAGACTATAGATGTTTAGCACCAGCTACGCTTTCGTCTGCGCGCCCTCCTTTCGGAGCAAATTGGCTTCGAGTCGGAGGTTTCGCAAGCGAATGCTGGAGTAATTATCCCACTTGGTGGTTGTAGAGTGAACCATGCCGAGAAATCGTTCGTTGAGGTAACACTCTGGCAGTATTGTAATATATCGCTCATTTGCAATCAAAAAACAGGTTATGATCCTTCATTCTTCATTCCTATCCTTTAGCAAGCAGAATATATGCACAAAAATTGAACAATATTCAGGACCGGAAAATCATCCTAAATACCCTGAATGTTGGGCGTGTTCTATGCACTCCGGGATGACTATCTGGTTGGTTGAGATGCCCGAAGAATATCATATTATAGAGAGAGAGAGAGAAAGAAAGGGGAAAAAAATGGTTGGAGTCGGAATACCGGGGCGGTGTAATTACACCCATTTGTTGCTACCCATTCGTGTTGGCTCAACCCAAAAAGCATTTCAAGCCCAGCCACCTAGAATCACGCTTGTTAGTGGTGATGGGCCCATAAATGTTGGTCTTAAGGTAAAGAGCTTTAACTACTGGCTGCATTGACAGCAATAATTCACCAGCCTGATTTTATGTTGGTGATTTTGGCGTTTACTATCGTTTACTGCCCATATCTGCCCATATAAAACATCATTTACTGTGACGTCATGATGAAGTAGCCGTCCTTCTTCCACGCATTATGCGTAGAGAAAAGTAGAATTCTTATTGTTGAAGATCCAAGTGTTTCGTCAAATCGTTGATGAGAAAACTAAATTTTTTGAAGGCAAATATTGTGAAATAGGGCGAATCCTCATTTTGATTTGTATAAAATCCTGTTTCATATAAGAACAATCAGGCCGAAATGGGATTTCGAACGCCGCCTCTGCAGCGCCTCCCGCGCGTGTCGCTTGGCGATCAGCTGTTGACCCTGCTGTACTCGGCGGTTCAGGGAGGCGAACCTGCAGCGAGCAAGTTTTTTGAGCCAAAAAAAATTGGGGATTCACATGATTCATTGATTCATTATGAACATCCAAAAATTCATCATCCAAAATCATCCAAGTATGGATTGGCCCTTCTTTTCGGAGATCTTGAATGGTTTTGAGCCAACATCAATGATATCAATGGACCTAAGACCAGCAACAAATAGGTACGCAATGCAACAGATCCACTAAGGTATCCACTTGTTGGCAGAGGGAATGGGTTCAAAACTGGCGCCAGCTCTTTGGGGTCCAAGAATAGATTGAATAGATCCAAAAGTTAGGGTGTACCCAGAAAAGACACGTGTTTTTTGGGGTTTACATTCAAGCATGAACAGCATAATACATAAGATTATATAACCTTTAACCGTCTTTCAAATCTTTCACTCTAAAAGTGTGACATATACATAACATTTCACAGTCCTCAACGGCTCAACTACCTAAATTCGGCACAAATTTCACATCTGGAGGCGTGCCTCACCCAAGTCGCCAGGCTAGAGAAGAGACACCGCCGAACGTGGCTCTGCCTCCGCTCCAAATTGGAAAATTCATAGGGTTCCAGTGAAATGATGGGAAATTCCCTGAAAATTACGTAGGAAAATAACACTTCAAAAAAGTTTCTTAAGTAAAAAACCATGGGATAATATAATAATTATAATAGAAATCTCTAGGAAAAACATGTGGAAATATGCCGCTTACAAAAAATCAGGAGATTGAGGAACATCTGGACTTCAGTTTCCATATGTCCATGCAGTTTCAAGAAAAAATCTTGGAGAGAAAACCATAGGTTTCCCCAGCCAAGCAGCTGGGCCAGCATCTTCCTTTGCCTTTGGATCTCCTTGCCATGGCATTTGGATCAGGTTGGATGAGGCAGTCCACCCCAGATCATCCCAGTAGGCAACCATTCGGATACTAAACATCATCCCCTATTTGGGGGCATGCCCGGGCATGCCCAATCAGAAAATTCGTATTGGGGATGGTTTATACTTGACTTTACCTGGCTACAATTGGCTATGGATTAGATTTCTGTCTTTGGCAGTGACATCTGCGAGCACGTATCCAGAACCATGAAGTTCTGAAACATCACCAAGCGGGACATGTTCTAAGCCCTTCTCCTCTCAATCATTGGGGTCTTCCTGCAAATGTCCCCTTTCTCCGGTCAATGAAAGGATAATTTACAGTTGAACCGCCTTTGCTGCAATACACCCAGTAATAAACCTCGGATTTGAATGTTGCATACTATACTACTGTCTTACCCTCTGGTAATTTAACATGACTACCAAAAATCACCATGGTTAATCGACCCATATAAATGGCCCACGGCTTCCATCTATAGGACCTAGGTACTGTGGAAAATGACCGGAGGGCACCACTCCCTGCCTCGTCTTCTTTGAGCCCCTTCTGCCCTCGCAGCCACTGCAGCGTTCGACGGAGGGCGGAGATCCGGAGCAAGGACATTGCCTTGGGTCGGGAGCCAATGTCAAGCCACCCATGCTGGGTTCAAGGAACAGATACATGTATTATATCATAATACATATATCTTGTGTGTGCATAGTTGCTAGTTACATATGTAAGTATGTATGCAAAAATATGTATGCAATGCATAGTGATAAGTAACAATGGTCTGTTATGCTTATATGATTACATTATACATATGCTATATCATAAATGTGTTATACGAACATGTATGATGTGTATATATATGTGTGTGTGTGACAATATTCTGTAAACAGGTGCCACTGAAGCTGGCGGAGCGGATGAGGAAGGACGAGCAAACAAATGGATTTGGCGGGCTGATTAGGGCCATCCTTTCCTGAGAACTGAGAAGCTTCATGAAACACCCTGCTGTACGATCAACAAAGTACGACCACACTGCTGTTGTCAAAAAAGATGATAGGTCGAGATGGTTCAGTGAATTTCAGTGATATGGATTCCCCTCAAGTTCACACAGTACAGTATAGATACAATTCAGAGACTTCCTATGTAAAGGATCTGTTAGTGAGTCCTTAATCTCATGATGTCCTGCCATATCATCCCATCCACCGCTGCCCACCTGGTCGTTCATGGCTTGCCACTGACGTTGTGACTCCACAGCACTGCGCCAGCGTTGCAAGGCAAGACGCCGAGTGCCTCGGAAATGCCATCAGCCATGGCAGTGCGGCAGGGCGGGATAATTACTAGTGATGTTTCAAGTTTGTAGGCTCCACATCGCAAAACACTTGTGGTTTCAAGGTTTCAAGGATCCTTTTGGTTGCTTATGTTATCAGCACCTGTGCGAGTGTCTCAGCTCCAAGCATGACCGAAATCGGCGCCGATCGTTCCTCAGGCGGCCATTTAAAGCTACTCATAGCTTGCTCTGAAATTTGACAGGGGGGCCCCACATTAGGCCAAACATGAGCCACAGCTCAAACAATTTGAAAACCGGGTTTGGTGCAAATCCACACCCCTATTGAGAGCCAGGAGCCACAACATCGCCCTGGTTCCTTACTGTTTTCTCACCAATGTTCAGGTAAAATTTGGCAATCATATCCCATAAAATCCCATGAGCCTTACTGATAAGCTCTCAAGATACAATTCCATCCAAAATCCAAGAACTATCCAGAATTATGACTAATTCGATTTCTACCCAGAACCAAATGGTTGTACCATGGTTGTCATATAATATGATAGTGTTTGTACCCAATTTCTATACAATTCCGCATGGTTGTACCCAAAACCAAACTTCCACGTTCCATCGCCGAGCCGCCGTCCGGGCCTCCGCTGGGCCCAGCGGTGCCAGAAGCTCAAGGAGCGGCGCTGCGAGCGGGCCATCTGCATGTGCAGCAGCTGAACCTCAGAGGAATTCACCAACAGTGATTCAATGAAAATGAGGAATTATATGGGTTACCCCCAATTTATGATAATAATTGATAATATATGATAATAGAAAATGAATATAGGGAATTATGGAATCCTATTGTATGGGTTTGTCTGGAAATAGGATAGGTTACCCCATGTTACCCCCAATTCCAATGGATATGTTTTTTATCCCCATTAAAATTGCCATTTGGATCCATTTGGTGGTCCAATTTTCAGACAAACAAATATAGGGATGTAACGGGGGCATTGTGGAATATATAAGTTTTTGACTAACAGCATTTTTTTTTTAAGATGATACAATGGTGATTTCTCCGCTAGATATAGGGATTTTTCCATGCTTTCCCATAAAAAACAGGTGCATAATGGTGATATTATTGGTTGAATGGATGATCCACCCAGATCGTTGGAGAAAATGTGCTCCAAGTTACTGAGACACACACTGACCCCTGGGATTGACCATTTTGGGATCCTCCAAATTAATTACCATGTTTCTTAGTACACGCCTGCTCCTCACACTTGGCTGGATATGTGTATGAAATATGTATTACATATGTATGTATGTATGTATGTATGTATGTATGTATGTATGTATGTATGTATGTATATATATATATATCTGTGCATGTGTGTGTGTGTAAGGTGACTGGGATACCAGTGTGTGTAGACATAGATGTACACTTTGATTTTGCAGTATGATCAGATGTAATATATGCAAAACACCGGCCTTTCCCCCAGCAACGCTATCTCCCATTGGGCCCCCCACTGAAAGCTCCAACTCTCCAGCGTGATCTGTCTGCACCAATCGCCTCCAGGCCTCGGCGCTGTGAGATGCGAGCAGGCCCAGCTGAATCAATGAATTGGTTTTATGCTGTTTTATGTTTCAAGATGCTTTTGAAGACTATTTCCCGATGAGAATGATTGATCTTAGGTTGATGGAGATATTTGGGGCTTGGTTGAAGGTTGGTTGAAGGTTATGACCTCAATGGATTGATTTACGTTTTTTTTTGGAGGAAACTGTGATAAACTGTGTTGTTTACCACTAATTATATGGAGGTTACGGAGGTTACATGGGGTTGCTACTTTTCCTTCCTCCTTGGAGCAATTCTGGGACATGGGGTGTCTGAAAACGGTCCAAAAGCATCATATATCATCCTTTCAACGGGATACCAATACCAGGGTCCACTGTGCGCCTGGCATTTTTGTTTTCTCCCACATGGCGCCAGGATGTGGAATTCAAGTTCGGGTCCTGCAAGAGTTACAGTAGGTGTGGCTTTAACTCCAACCTGCAAAAACCATTGCCAATAACTTCTTCTACCAGAAATGGCTGGTATATACTGCGCACAATCCCAAACCAAAAAGGTCTATGGCAACGGTACTTCGACACATCCATCCCCAATGCGGTCTGATTAGCTATGGTTGTTGTTGTTGTTGTTGTTGTTGTTGTTGTTGTTGTTGGGAACTGTCCCCATGTTATAGGCTTATAGGGATATTAGGGATATTATTAATTATTAATTATATGTTTTTGGTGCGGTTGCTGGTTGTGTCGTCTTGGTGAATGAGTTGGGTAGTTGGTTTGTTAATTAGTTTTTTTTTGTAGCTAGTCAATCAAGTAGTTATATAACGTTAGTTGGTTAACGGTTAGTTTGTTATCTAATCAATTGTTGTTAGTTATTAGGTTCTTTTTGAGAGTTCACCCCTCTGCACCCAAGCGACCCACGCCGGGTTCCCCACATGCCAGCATCGATCCAAGCGGGAGGCCGCCGATGGGGCCATTGCTGGTGGCAAGTGATCTTCGCCTAGCTATGAGGGCCAGTCATCCAGGGATTGGAGGTCAGGAATCGGTTCAGTGGGAGAAAAAGCATATGACATACCCCAGCTAGACGTGGAAATATCCGTTATATTCATATGGATTCATAGGTCATAGGTTATCACGTCATAAACCACTGCACATACATTCAAAGACTACCTTGGACTATTGGGATATCATTTCTTGGAGGTTTCGGTGAGGCAAAACCGTATGGTTTGGACAGTTTACAATAGAAAGTACCTCGGGGTCAGGTATCTCACTGTCTTCATACACTATCCTAGCAGGCGACAGGTGAAGGATGGGTATGTATGCCATGACCTTCTAGCCTCTAGCATCAGAAGCGGGAATGGGCGCGTATCAGAAACACTTGCCATGGAAAAAGCAAAAACAACCCTGCAAAATCTGGGGGAAAACACATAAGTTTGTCTACAAAATAGTGCCTCGCCCCCAAAAAATACTAGTTGGTCTTCAGGTTTGCATTAAATGATAGTTTTGCACTAGTCGCTGCCTTTGGGCTAACCCATGTTATACATAGCAACGTCTTCCACAAAAAAATCTTGCATCACAACTCCGGCCATTTGACCAACGTCAAGAACGCACTCTGCTGGAGTTTTGCTTTGCAAAGCTGGGCAAGGCCTCTCCACCTTCGGGAGGGAGTTTCAAATGCCAGAGGCGTTGCCCTGAGGCAACGGACATGAACTTCTTTTTTGGAGTTTCTCCAATGTTTCCTTTGGAAAACTTGGAAGAAAAGTAACTGTAACTTCCTTTTGGTCTGCCAGGCGCCCCATGGGCCCTGGTGTCAGGCTTCGCCATAAATCCTCAACAGCTCCGCTTCCTTTTCCTCAAAAGTCATGCTTCGGGAAGGGTGGGGGAATGTGGGGGAGACTGAAACTTGAGAAACTCTTGTCATCAGTTTCAATATCTTCACAATAACTAGGATCCGCTGTTACCATCATCATCTACCACCCGCCTTCACTTGCAATCCATAAATTTTGGATGGTTCCAGCCAGGAGCAACTTGGCCTCCATTTTGGGCGGCCAACTATGTGCTAAGAAAACTCCAACATCGTCCAACATCTCTCCAAACCCACCATCAACAACCATCAAACAACTGCAATGCTACCTGCAAACTCCGCCTGCCAAAAATGATCACGTTCGCAAATGATGATGGTTTCCAAACTGGAGGGGGAAAAACATACTTTACTTTGCATTCTCCTCACCATTTAAATAAAAGAAACCTTCTGACACGCACACACATGCATATGCAGATATAATATACCATCATATTGTACATTTATTTATTTACATGCACATTTATCGATTCTGACATTTATCATGGGACATATTCTGACATCAATTCGACCTCCACCCTGACATTTACTCTACATGTAGTCTCGCAGTTTTTTCCCTGACAACTAAATTGGCATATATTCTGACATGCAGTCCGGCATGCAATTTGAGTTGGTGGGAAATTTCATGTCCCACCTGTTCTGACAATCTAAGCCTGATATATATTTTGACATATGTTGACACTTGTTTTTGTATCATTATGTATCCTGACATGTGTCCTGGCACTATAACATTCAGACCTACAATTCTTCCACAGGTCGAGTCCAGTAGCTTTGTATCGGGTCGAGGTCCAAAACACACAGAGTCCGGCGGAGCTTGCTATGAGAGGAGGCCAGGAGAAGAAGAGGAGGACTAGCTCCGGCTGGCACATCTAGAGACAGGTGACATGTGGGGAACACCATGTCAGAGATCATTTTCCGCACAAAAACGCAACATATCTATGCGGCGCAGTTGTGCGGTCGCTATGTATGTATACATTATATGTACTTGTGTATTTATGTATGTTCTTGTGTTGCTTCAATCATACCACCTGTCCTTCATAAACCAACTAGCACAGCAGATACCCTCTGGTAATCAACCAAACAAAAATCCATCATCTATAGACCATCTTCCCATCATAAAATCATTCAGAATCATTCAGATATCTAGGGAAATTCCATAGATATCTTAGATTACCTCCATTTTTTCTAGGATTTGGGCATTTTCCCATCATTTTCCCAGCCAAGCTTCCGCTCCAATGCCATTCACCAACTCCTTGGCACGTTCCTTGGGATATCCCAAGACCTCCATGCCCTTCTTCAGCGCCTCGAGAACCGGACCCTCCAAGGCCCGGCCGCTCAAAGCCAGGCCGCGGAGGCCCAAAATCACCACGTTCCTAGTAGCGCGGAGGCGCTGTGAAAACAGCGGAGGTGTCCTCAAAGAACCAACTGAAGGTGTAGGAATCATGGGGAAATCATGGGAAAAAAATTGGGAAAATCATGGGAAATAATTCATGGAGAGTTCCATGAGACAAAATTGGAGGAACGTGATGGCATTTCTGATGCCTATGGGAATGGAACCAACATATCTACCAACATATGTAACATGTGCATCTCCAAGAAGGTTGCTCAAATGTATGCAAGTATTTAATCCATGAGCATGGATGAAAATGGATGAAGATGGAGCATTTGGGCTTGGGCCAAGCTGACAGCGCTCAAAAAATCGGACACGTCTTTGTGTGCAACCTCCAACCATCCACAAAAATCCCTTGGACCCTCAACTGAAACAGCATGTGCAAATATGTGCAATATGTGCAAATGCATCCAGGTCTTACCTTGTGGTGGCCGGCACTACCAGGTCCTAAACCAAATGTTGGGATTCGAAGCTGGTTGAATAATTGAAACAGAACGTTATCCTTTTCCCAAACGTTCAATACCTTCCTGGAAACCCTGGCTCTGCATTTGTAGAACTGCACCCTCTTGTTTAGTCTTGGATCTATTCATCTTGGGTTCCTTTCTTGGGGGAATGGGTTTGCCAGCTCAACCCCAACTAAACCATTATCCAGTAAAGCCCTTAACGTATGAAAGTGTGCCACCGCATTCTTCACATCAATCGCCAGGGATGAACTGGGCATTCTGAAAAAATTGCTCATCTGAATGGAAATCCCAGCCTCATAACCCCAACAACATAGGTTTCGTTAATGAACCCAACATGGTTCATAATGTGGGGGGGATAAACATCATTAAACATAAATCCCAGCTATGATCTGAAAACCAGGGGATTCCGTGGCTATTGACCCACTCCGATTCCAGGCTCCGGTAGTTGGGCTCTCCCAGGCGTTTGTAGGCCATGGGCCGCAATTGAGAGTCCACGACTTCGCAGACCTTCTCCCAGTTCTCCTTGCTGCCAGCTTCCCACAGGACGTGGTGTTCCGAAATGAAGTCGTGGAATTCGCCTTCCTGTGACACTAGGAGTCACTAGGAACTGGTTCTCGCGGAAGGGTTGGAAGGGAACATGGAGATGATTCTCCTATTCCTCTTAGAAGTCAAAGGATGTTTGAAGGAAAACTCAGGATTTGGATACAATAGTCAAAGCCCATGGGTTTATCCGATCCAGTAAGCTGTGGCAAAAAGCCATTCCCACGGAAGGCAAAATACGGAGCTGCTACAGGATATAGAATTCCACGAGTGTCCCTGGAAATAGGCGGGGAGCCAGTTCTTCCAGAAGTGCCTACATCATGTTAGGCAATGGCTTCAAATCCACCTACGTAACTTTTGAGCATCTTATATATCTTATATGTTCACCACATTACCATTGACACAGCTCCCTCTTTTGGCTAACATCTCCTTCAATTTTGATTGGATTGTTTTCTGTACCAATCTTGACGCCTTTTGTGGATAATTACACTATTACACCCTCCGGAAATCCCTGGAAATCAAACCCCGCAAAAGAAAATTCACATGAGTTCCAACACAGTTTCCCATCATATAAAATCATATAAATAGGATCGATTTATTCCCACCCGGGATCCCAAAAACTACAGACACAAAACGGCAACATCGGCAAATCTCGGTTCATCGGTTAACATGTCGCAGCACCTCGTCATCCGCCACGAAGGGTTGAAGCACTTGGTACATCTTCGGATGTTGCCCCAGCAAGTCACGGAAGGTGCTCAGAGGCCTCGCTGAGGAGGCGATGGGATGGCGAAAAAAACCATGGAAAACACCAGGTTCAATGGGAAAAAACGGTTAAGGCTAATAAATAACATGAGTAAGCTAATAAATAAGTAACACATATTTAAATGATTTATAGAAACAACACAACATATATATATAATGTGTATACGCAGTCTTATGTTGCAAACTGGGACACGCATCCAAGCAAGCCCTTGCCACCATTGGCATGTCAAGGCACCAGCCCGTGAGCTCCATTCCTTTTCGCAGTAACTCCACTGCATCCTCCACGTCTTTGGGGCTTACTTTTCCATTTCCTCAGGGACCCACTGGGAAAAGGAGAACAATTCTGTCCTGATCTGAGAATGAATACAACCAAAGATACAACCAAAGTGCCTCATTCACATGGTTCTCATATTTGCATGTGTTGTAATGGCCATGCGAAGCCCCAGCAACCAACAAATGTCATGGCTGAAATGAAACATATCGGGTTCAAAGTTCCATGATGTTCCTCCCAAACGCTGTCGAGACGAACTGATTCGCTCAGAGTAGAGCTCATGACCAACAATTATATATCTCCATGTATACATGTATGCATGGAAGTAAGGGTGCCAAAGAAACGGAAAACACATCACAATATGGATAATTGTATAGATATACCAAAACATATATGTGCGCATTTATTACATTAAGTATTATTAACCATTATTAACCATTATTAACAATTATTAACCATGGTTAAATCACCATTAAATCACCATTTATAAACAAGTGAACATACTCCAAATTTGTACTTCAGATTCTGTGGCCCCCCAGGGAACCAGGTTCCATCGAGGTGCCGATGGCTGCGAAGGACATGCTGAAACAATTCCTAGCGGCGCAGCCAACAGCCGTTTTTGTGATGCGAAAGGTGTGTTTTTTCAGTGGGATACCCTCTGGTTATGACTAACATAGCCATGGTATAGATGACCCATTTAGTTCGAGGATTTTCCCAGCTATAAACCTCCATTTATTTTGGGGATTTTCCATGGCTATGTTAAATATCCAGATGGTCAATGGAAAATCCAGCGAATCAGCTAATCCCAACAAATGCTCAAAGCCAAAGTGTATGGCTGGCGAAAAAAACCATCCAGTCTCATCCAATTCTATCCCCTAAACCACCACAGATCCGATATTCCATACTCTATCCATCATTTGCAGATCATTTCAAAAGGAAGATGGTAAATTTCTGCTATGTGAACGTGAATATTGGAGGATATCCCCATGAAACATCATGAAACCGAATATTTCTCCATATGTTTCCCAGGAATTCCCGAATTCTTTGATGATTTCGCCCGAAGATGGCTGAACTCCGACGTCCCCGCCTGTAGTTCTGATCTCCTAACCTCTCACGGGCCTCGGTGGTCACCTGCAGTGGTCTCAGTTCAGGATGTTGCTATGTCTACCTGCAGGTATAGAAACTAATAATGGTAATGTTTACCTAATAATGTAAATTATAATGATAGTAGTGTAATAATATGGTATAAACTATAATAATATCAATGGGATCAATATTACTATAGTCACTAATAGTTATAGACCTGATATATTATGGTATAAATGGGGAATATAAATATAAATGGATATAACTGGTATATAAACATTTGAAACTCTAGCAAATAAGTTAATGAATTATCACTCTCTGGGGTGGTGTATGAATACTGAGCCGGCATTTGTGAGGTAGTAATGGGGGAGGCCATCTTTATTTAATGCAGGGCGATCTATTTATTTATCAATATTCATCACTGTTTGGGAGGAAAGGGACATGGCCTCAGTATGTCAATGAGTCGTTTCGTGTTTGACTGTTCTGTAAACAGATTCCGGGGGTTCATCCAATTTCATAGCCTTCAACAGGATTTGCCAGCGTGAACTGTCTTGGGGGGCTGGCGATGTTAAATATATAGATATAATAGTTGATGATAGCTGCAAACTCCCACAAAATGACCGGGCTATGACACACAGAATCACGGACCACGGGCTAGCATGACCCACCTGCGTCTCCACGTGCTCCAACACTTCTTGCCAATCTTTCTCTCTGTAGGCATCCCACATCTGATGATGGTCATCAATGATGCTGATGGGTTTGCTCTGCTGCTCCAGCTTCTGCCGCGGCCGTTCCTGTGCTTTGTCTGATTCCTTGTAGAGCCGAAGGAGTTCCTCTTTCTTGTCACCTCAGAATCATTCAACCACCCAACTGCAACGCTCTGAAGTGGGTCACACTTGTGGGCTGCTATAGCTGCTATAGCTGCTATTCTCAACAGAAGCTCCCGCCTGGAATGTTTGCGATCAACTCCTCGGCCCTCTCCTGCCGGCTGTTGTCCAACTTCACCATTGGAAAATGATGGAAAATGGATGGCAACACATGGCGATATTGCATGATACAACATGTTTTGAACCAGGATTGGACATGAAAAGTCAAATAGTCATGGCATAGCATAGCCAACAAAATGTTGGTGACGTACTCCTGCTCTGAACGTTCCCACATTCCTAGCCGGATTAGCTACCAAGGCCCATGGCACCCCTTTGACACACAGGAGGTCTTGCAGTGACCAAACATATATGGCGACCACCCATTGGCCCCCCAGGGGAATCGATCAATTTGATACAAACCATCCCAATTACAGTCATTCACCAACCTAAAAAGTTCAGGGACTGGGGGATGATTCCCTACATAACCATCGTTCCAGTGACGTCGCGACGTGAGGTCGCTTTAATTCATCCAGATGCCATACCCCCAACTCCCTGCCTCTGGGTACTCCAACACATCCATCCCACGTTTTAAGGCAGACAAGACCGGGCCATCCAGCGCTTGACCGGTCAGCGTCAGCCCCCGTACCGCAAACGTGACCACGATCCTTGCAAGCCATGACTTTCCGTAGGACAATTTTCTGCAAATGCTGGGCTCTCCATATCTATAACTTATATACTTGATCGTAACACACATATGAGTTTGTCAGATAATATAGATAATAAGGCACACCCAAATCTAAAGGACTATCTTCATATCATAGTTTCTACTTATATAAATATAATAGTTATATATATATATTGAAATCGTAAAATTGGGTTTTTGATTTTGGTCTGTCCAGCTAGTGGCAAAAAACTCAACTCACAGGACAATTTGGAAACACCTTCGCCTTTTTCTTTGGAAAGAGATATTGTTGGGGCCACGTACATGCTACCCTTCAACATGGACTGCAGACAGCCTACACGTATAGCCATGTGATTTGCATCTGTCAGTGTTACCCTTTCTCTGACAAGTGGCAAGTACCAAAAAAAGTCCATAGTCTATAGTCTATAGATGCTAGAACATGCTAGAACCATCTAGAACCAATAGATTGACAGCTGTGAACAGTACAACTAGATTATGTAGTAGATTGATGGATGGATGGAAAGTTGGATGGATGGATGGATGGATGGATGGATGGATGGGTGGTGAATAGATAGATCGATACATGATAATATACATGATTAATATATAATGATAGATTGATACATACATAGATGGATAGATACGTAGATAGACAAATAGAATCAAATAAATGAGATAGGTAGACTAGGTAGACAAACAAACATACACATCGCTTTGTGCCTTCAAATGTCTTAACAACATGTCGGCCAAGCTTCCGGTAGTTGCCTTCCCCCAACTTTTTGTGACACATGGGGCGCAGTTGGGACTCCACCAACTCACAGACTTTCTCCCAGTTTTCATTGCTGCCGGCCTCCCATAGGGCGTGGAATTCCGCGACCTGGGCTTGAAACACGGGATGAAAAATGGCTAGGATTCCTTCAAATCCATCAACAAAATCCAAAGATATGAAGAAATTTCCAGGGTGAAGACTTGAGTGACCTGAGGGCCTTTGTTTCCTGATGTTTCCTTCATCTTGGGGGGCATTGACTGGCATAAGACACTGCTGCCACTTTGTAGTGACTCCAGGATGGGACTCATGGGACCCTGTTGCCGTTGCCAGGTCACAAAATCGAAGTAGCCACCAGCAGCATCAACCTCCTTACCACCCCACCAGTTGGTCCAGTAGTCCTCCGAGAGCAAAGAAAAGTTGGCTTTGACGCGGTCTGTCTCACGAAAAGGGGTGGTGTTCCACCAAAGAAATAGCAATCAAAAACTAGGAAAACGAGGTTTCAAACCTTCGATCGAATATGGTGCCCAATTTTGAGACAGCCCGATTTGACACAACATAATTCAATCCCTTCCCGCTAACGCTACCCAATAACCACACCATGAACCCTGGTGGAATGTGGGAGTGCGATTGGCGGGAGGGGATTCGTGTTGATGGTTACCCAATCAAACATGGCAAAAACGAATCCCCTTTGGTCATAGCAAAATCATGCAAAATCATGTCTATAAATGAGTAATTTCCATTGCCATGTTTGCCCTGTACGGTATGTTTGCTCCACCTTTGGCCCATGCTCTAAATGGATTCAATTTAAGGTTTTTCTAAACATATTAGTGTATAAATTGCATAGACTTTCACGCATCTATGTATATATGCTATATATATATATGAATATACACATATATTTGTTTAATATGTCTATGTATATATATATATATATCCATCTAATACATACATAGAGACACCATAAATGGATGATCTGGATCTTCTTCTCCATCCTTGACCGGTCTTTCCTGAATAGGCGGGTCTGCTAGCGTATTGAGACGCTTGGTGATGCACTGCACGTACCAATCGAACTCGCTCTTGCCGTGCCAATGTTCCCCGGGGAAGAACTCATTTCCACCTGGCAATAGGCCACTTAGGGGTGCAGTTCTGGTGAACAAATGGGTATAATATAAATGGTTATATAATGCTATATTTATATATGGTTTATATTTAACTAGATTATAACTCTGATTAAGTTGGAACATTGTAACATGACATGACATAACCATCAAAATAAAGTAGTGGCCATATGCCATATACCAACTGTTTCGAAGTAGGCACCAATGGCCCAACTGTGGTGACTTCGATGACTTCAAAGCACGGCCATACCGAAAAATCCAATGACGTTTGGGATGGTCTCAACATGGGAAAGCACTTACTATCCAACGCTTCATCATCAGTCCCCTGATGAGATTGCAATTTTGAGATGCTCTGTTTGGACAAATCCATTTACCAATCCCTGAGGACAAAAACTAGAACAAATAGCATGATGGCTAATGGCTGAGCCAATGCGGCGCAGCTCATGCTTGGGGAAACCAAACTCCACGAATAAAATACGGCGCACAAGGGTTGAGACTACTGCACTGCCTCCAATGAAAATGGTTGACTGAACACACGTTGATGGCATCCGGTCTCAAGTCAAAATCATTTTTCTGTTTCATGTCCATCAGTGTCATGGAAGGCTATCACCAAGAAACCCTGCTACTAAACTAAGGTGTGATGGCCGTGATGACCACATGCGCCTTTGAATTCTTCCATCCAGTTGTCCAAGTTGAACCTGGTTTCAAACAGGACTTGTCAAAGAAATATGGGTGGTGGTGCCTGTAGGATCTGATTAGTTTCCGATACTCAACAGGTTTTGGCATGGAGGGCTGTTCTGGCGCTCCATGTTCGGACATGCTTAAGGAAAAAATATATATAAGAAAACACAACATTTGTCCGGTCCCAAACATCACGGTATCCACTGCATCTCCGTCTGAAAATCTGTCACTTTCCGAGATGAGAAAGCACACTGACCCCCCCAGTTAAATACCTGGAGCACCGCATGCCTGCACAGAAATGAGCCCAAACCCATACCTCCCCGATCAACGAAACAAGCAACATGGGGTGGTCAGTCTTTTTGATCAGCTCAGCGAAGTCGAAGCGCTTTGTGAATTGACCCCTCGGACATGCCAGCATGGCTGCACTGAACTTTCAGGGAACTTGAAGCCTTTTTGGGTGGTCAGAACTCCCAAAGGTTGGATAGATACCAGTAGTGCCGCACAAGGCGGTGGCGGAAGTTTCCAACATACGAAACCTATAGGAGAGGTTGGTTGTTGTGAATCACGGATGGCAGAGCGAATCCACTGATGGCCAGACAGGTGGTTGGAGTTGTGTTTTTTGGGGTGGTTGCAATGGTTGCAGTGGTCACCTTACCACAATTGCTGGATGTAGCGTGGCGTCGCGCAGTCGCAGTTGTAGTTGCAGTTGTAGCTGTAGTTGTACTGTAGTGTAGCGTAGTGGAGCTGTAGTTGTAATGTAGTGTGAGTAGTGTAGTTGCAAGCGCGGTTGCAGTTGTAGTCGTGGTGTGGTGTAATTAGTGTAATGTAGCGTAGTGTATTGTCGTGTAGTGTAGTGTAGTGTAGTGTGGTATCGTGTAGTGTAGTCTAGCGTAAGGTAGTGTAGTTGTAGTTGTAGTGTAGTGCTGTGTAATTAGTGTAGTGTAGTGTAATGTAATGTAGTGGTAGCTGTCGTTGCAATTGTAGTTGCAGTTGCAGCTGTAGCTGTAGTGTAATGCAATGTAATCAGTCTAGTGTAGCGTTGTGTAGTGTAGTGTGGTTGTAGTTGTAGTTGTAGTTGCATTTGTAGCTATAGTGTGCTGCAGTGTAATTAGTGTAGTGTAGTGTAGTGTAGTTGTAATTGTAGTTGTAGTTGTGGTGGTGGTAGTAGTAGTAGTAGTAGCAGCAGCAGCAGTAGTAGTTGTTGTTGTTGCTGTTGTTGTTGTTGTTGTTAGTGCTAATGGTGTAGCGTAGTGTAATTAGATGTAATTGGCGTAGTGTAGTGTAGTTAGTGTAGTGTAGTTCGTGTAGTGTAATGTAGCGTAGTATATATGCATTTGTAGTTGTAGCAGTAGTGTAGTGTAGTGGCAGTTGTAGTTGTAGTTGTAAATGTCTATCTATCTATCCATCCATCCATCCATCCATCTATCTCTCTATCTGTCTGCCTGCCTGCCTGCCTGTCTGTCTGTCTAACTGCAAGCTTGAAAACGCAGCAATTCTGCGAGACTTCCTCAATTTTTGAACTTGGCAAAATCCAAAACAAAGCTATTCTGCGAGACTTCCTCAATTTTTGAACTTGACTTGACAACGTCAAAAAAGAAACAAGTCTGCGAGACTTCCTCAAGCTTTGAACTTGACAACATCAAAAACGAAACAATTCTGCGAGACTTCCTGAATTTTCGAAGTTGACATCATCAAAAACGAAACAATTCTGCGAGACTTCCTCTCTCAGGAAATCAGCGCCCGGACCTTCTAACAGCTCTGATGAACATGTCTCTTGTACTGCGCCTGCCGCAGGAAATGCATCTTTGCAGATCCTCTTCAAATGTCCCAACGCGTGCCATCGTTTTTGGATGTTTTTGGAAATGCCACAAAACCCTCACGTTTTGCTCACTTTTGACCAGGTGCACAATCCCTTGCGCCTGCCACGCAAAACGACATCTGAACGTCCAAAAGTGGTCCGAACATGTAGTGCTTTTAACATTTTGACTCGAAATGTGCTTCGCGCCACAACGGCTTGCACTTTTTCGACATCTCAACTTCCAAAAGTGGTCCGAAGCTGGTGTGCTTTGTACATTTTGACTTGCAAAATGTGCTTCGCGCCACAACGGCGTGCAATTGTTCATCTCTCATCTGGCCAGCTGGCTCCGCACCCGCCGCTTTAGCGAGCCTACTCTTCGACCCTCCGGAGCCACAAATCATTGGAAAAACACAGTGTTTCACGACTTCCCTACCTTTACACGCACCTGGAGCTTCTTTCTTCTGAGACTTTATCTTTTTTGATCTTCTTTCTTCTTCTCTTCTCTTCTCTGACTCTTCCCATCTCTTCATCTGTCCATATTGTCGGAAGTTTGACTTCTAAACTTCCTTCGATCAAAACAAGTAAGGGCTGGTTCTGGTTCCAAATCGTCTTCCACATCACATATTTAAAGCTCTTTAACCGTTTTCAAGTGGGTAGCTAGGTTCAAAAAAAAGTGAAAGCCTTCCACCTTTTGCGGCGAATAAAACAGTTGCTGCCCTCTGCTGGGGCGGACTTGGCTGCTTGACCCCAATCTCTTCGACTCTGACAGTGCTGTTTGATATGACCCTTCAGGGATTTGGGGTCGGCCTGGATCATGACAAGGTGACAAATACAATATATAAATCTAGGCAAACGATGATAATTCCGTTGAATCCGTTGAAGACAAAATAAGCCATTTCTGAAAAGGATGAGAATAATTCCGTAAATTCCTCAAGAGTCAAATAGTCAAGAGCAGTTTTTGGAAGGAATCCATTTACAATACTGCCTATCATCTAGTGCATGTTGAGGTAGTCAAGACTACCAAGGCTCTCATAGAGATGGTGGGTCTCATGGAACATCCAAAAGACACGGTGATGATGGCTCCACTGCAAGCCTTCGGCGGCAGGTGGGGGTGACCAGTACAGTTGCTGCTTTCCCACCAATGGTCACGAGTTTTCACTTGAATCCACTTTCCAAACTTCACCACTTTCAATCTAGATGTTTTTTACCTTGAGTTTCAAGACGGAAACTTTCCGACATCCCAAAATCTATGATTGTCAAAGTCCTTCATGTGAATCTGATAAAAAAAAATGTCTGATGCCCTTTCAGCCACCACCCGTGCCTTCGTCCTGATACGCCGGGCGCCCCTTGAAGGCGGAATGCCACAATGTGGATGTGCAAATGCCGCCTGGCAAGTTGCATCAAATCGATGTGACACTGTTGGTGTTGGGGGGTCCTGAAGCTACTGCGTATTCCTACCGGGTTCCCGGTATGTATTCCATTCTTCACGTAAAATATCGGATCATCCCCTCATTCCAATGGTCTCCTGGGTCTATTGACCAATCCCAGCATAAGCACAAGCCTGCAGTCAATTTTCCCAACTGCACCTAATAAATTTGGTGGGCACGCCTAGTTTGTACTTTATATCTGCCCGTATACCTGGCCGTCTACGTATCTTTGTCTGTCCACACAGCCATCTAGTCAGCACAACCATTCTACGTTTCTCTCTCTCTCTCTCTCTCAAGCTATTAAGCATTATTAGGCTACCTATCTATATATTGTCCCTGTAACGCCACCATTTCTGAGCAGCACGGTGGATTGCCTTGGTCGCACAGCCAACATACCCTTGAAATGAATATGAATGACACATGCTGCACATGTCACATCAAGCTAGACATGGGTCTTTGAAACCTGCGTCAAGCCCCAGGGGCCCTATCCATCATCCCAAGACATCACCCAAGCTGACACCTAACAACTACCAACCTTACCACAATTCCAGCTATTCAACATCATCACGGGCAAGAATGCCAAGCACTTCATAAGACTACAACTCTCGGGGCAAAGGTGTCGCCGTCCCTTCTCTCAATGCCCGCCTACACAAATATCCACTTTGGCTTCTTTAGGCTTGAGCGCGGGGAAGAGGAGATGGAAGAGTATGATATCAGACTCCTAAGCACCAAAATGCATCAAAAGGCCCACCATTTCTTCATCCAAAATCAGGATAAACCAGGTGTCAGTCAACCCCGGTCATGCCTGGTTTCTTTCATTGGAGTCTTTGAAAGAATTTCCGGGCAGTCTCAAGAAACTGAGCAGTAACGTGGAAGTTCAACCCCGGATTTCATAAACCCATGGCTTATCTAATTAGGGATTCATGATGATGTATAAATCCAGGGTTGACATTCGTTTGGTTGGGGTACCCAAAGATATCAACCGCCAAATGATATGGGTACATCCGGCACATCGATCCAACGTGGAGGATTCCCCCAACCCCATGGATTCTCCCCTGCTTGTTGCTCCACCTCAAATGCGTCCAAGTAACTCCTCCATTGGCTTCCTTATATCCTTCCTCCCACGTTTGCAGAGCCTTCAAGAACTCCTTTTCACTAAAATTGCTGTGCGAAATGCAGCGTTTGTACCTTGGTTCTCTGGGCCTAAAATCTGAGGAACCTAACAGACAGTCATCCGAGGGCTAAGCTACACTCTGCAAGTAGGCCATTCAGTTTTGCAAAAAGTGACGAAAAGCAAAGAGCAAAGTCCCACCCATAGTAGATTCACCCTCTTGGTCGCAAGTCAAGCAAGATGATGAGGCTATAGCCACTGTGGTTCACACAATGCTGGACCAATATGCTGTAGAAAATGCCACTCTCATTCAAAACCGGTTGCAGTCCAGATTGAACTTGAAACCACGTCTCTTGAAAGCATGCTGGAAAAAAGTTCAAGCAAGGAAATAACAAAGTCTGACATGGATAAGTAATTGGTCACCAATTTAGACTCGCATTTATCATGTCTCTAAACGTGTCTGCAAATCATGTTCTCAACATGTTCCCATTGAAAATGCTGGTTTTTTGTATGTTTTCCCATTAGAAGTGCAGGTCTTCACCTTTTTCCCCATCAACAAATGAGGTTTTTCATGGTTTTTTCCATTGCTCATTTGACTCAGCCAAGGCCTCAAGGCCTCAAGGCCGCCAGGCCAACGGCCAAGACACTTGGAATCCCAGATGGGGTTGAAGGCCTGCGGCCAAGGCCAGCTGAGGCATGTACTGCCTACAATATATATATATAGGGATACATAGATAGATAGATAGATTAGATTAGATTAGACTAGACTAGACTAGACTAGATTAGATAGATAGATAGATACAGTAGATAGAGAGATAGATAGATAGATAGAGATAGAGATAGAGATAGAGATAGAGATGGAGATAGAGATAGAGATAGAGATAGAGATAGAGATAGAGAAGGAGATAGAGATAGAGATAGAGATAGATATAGATATTGATATTGGTAAAGATATTGATATTGATATAAGATTGCGTGATGTATTGGGTTGTAGCACATGTGCATATATACATGTAATTATGTGTGTATATATATATATATATGTACATACGATGTATGTATGCATGCATGCATGCCTGCATGCATGTATGTATGTATGTATGTATGTATGTATGCATGCATGTGTATGTATGTGTATGTATGTGTATGTATGTGTATGTATGTGTATGTATGTATATGTATATGTATATGTATGTGTATGTATGTGTATGTATGTGTATGTATGTGTATGTATGTGTATGTATGTGTATGTATGTGTATGTATGTGTATGTATGTATGTGTGTGTATGTGTATGTATGGGTATGTATGTGTATGTATGTGTATGTATGTTTGTGTATGTATGTATGTATGTATGTATGTTTGTGTATGTATGTATGTATGTATGTATGTATGTGTATGTATGTGTATGTATGTGCATGTATGTGTATGTATGTGTATGTATGTGTATGTATGTGTATGTATGTGTATGTATGTGTATGTATGTGTATGTATGTGTATGTATGTATATGTATGTATAGTATGTATATGTATATGTATGTATATGTATGTATATGTATGTATATGTATGTATATGTATGTATATGTATGTATATGTATGTATATGTATGTATATGTATGTATATGTATTTATATGTATGTATATGTATGTATATGTATGTATATGTATGTATATGTATGTATATGTATGTATATGTATGTATATGTATGTATATGTATGTATATGCATGTATATGTATGTATATGTATGTATATGTATGTATATGTATGTATAGGTATGTATATGTATGTATATGTATGTATATGTATGTATATGTATGTATATGTATGTATATGTATGTATATGTATGTATATGTATGTATATGTATGTATATGTATGTATATGTATGTATATGTATGTATATGTATGTATATGTATATGTATGTATATGTATGTGTATGTATGTGTATGTATGTATATGTATGTATGTATGTATGTATGTATGTATGTGCATATGTCTAATATGTGTGTGTGTATGTGCCTGTAGGATTACATAGGTGTGCATATACGTGAAAAAGCGAGCGAGAGAGAGAGAGAGAGAGAAAAAAAAAAAAATGTGTATATATATATATATAAATATACATTTAACCACATATTTTTCTGCGTGGATGCATTTGTCTGTGTTGGATTATCAATGCAAATATACAATATAATTACAAAGGTCCACAGGTCCGCAGGCTGATCTCACACAGCACATGGAGTTCCCCAATAATTTTTGGACTGTGGAGGATGTTACCTCCAAAAAAAACTTTTAAAAAAACACATGCCAGTGAAGATAAATTAAGTATGTGCGACCCTAAGATTGGGCCTTGAAGTTTTCACCATGGCACCCCTCAGCTGCAAAACGTTCGCAGTGCCTTAGGGGTCACATCCCAGCAGCCCTCCACGACGATTGGTTCGAATCCAATGGCACCATCCGTCAGGAAGCACATGGCATCACCTGGACAGCCAGGGGTGCAGTTTTTCGCCAGGCAGGAGATCATCCCATGGTTTCCCTGGCACAGCAGGATAGCATTGCCCATGGTTTCCCTGCGGTTGGTTTCCCGTATCTATGTTTAATTTGCTGGAAAGTAAATTGAACTCCCTCCACTCCAGGCCCCACAAAAGAAAAACACGGACCAGAATTCTGTGGGTGCCATGGGCTGCTTCCTACCAGTAGTCCTTGCCTTCCTGCAAGCAAGTGGCTGAAAAGCCGCCAATCTCTCATAATCTCGGGTACCTCAATGCTTCAGCAAGGTGCGAAAACGAGCCAGGGTGAACTTGCTCAGACCCACCGGAAAAAATCATCAACGTCAAGGAGCATCTCGAAACACGAGTGACTTGACCAAAAGCCCCCAGGTTGCTGATTACATTCCCTCATAATATCTTGTTCTTTTCATGTTCCAAAACCTTTTGGCTCAAAAACTCGTTCTCAAACCTGTCAAGAGATAGTGCCGCTTCAGACCAGCCACGGTCTCATTTTTCAAGACCTCTTCGTCCCAACTGCTGACGCCAACATCCATCTCTGTGCCGTCATCATCCACAACGATCTTCCTGGCAAGGCTGGGCTGGCGTGGGGACCATGTTGGTGCCGGCTGAATGGTCTGCCTACTGCAGGTCTGGGAAACTATAAATTGGAGATGTATCCACAGACTTGTCAGGGTGTGTATGAGAAACGCCTCTGAGATTGCCAGATGAAAACAGATGTAGCAGCTCTATGCCCTGCGAGGATGGAGATGGCAAGCCATGGTGGCTCATAGTGACACTGAAGATTGGAATATAGTCATATTTGATGCTAAGACTTGCCAATCAATCTGAATATATGTATTCCTTTTGTTGTTCATGTGGGAATCGTGTATTGTTTTTCGTATGGTATTCAGGGGTGCCCGGAAAAAATTGATCCGTCACAAAACCATCATGTTGAGGTGTCTATGATCTCACCCGGGCCGGCATATGGGTTCGTCCAAAAACATGATTATTGAAGCAAAATGCAGTAGACAATCATGTTGCACCTAGCCTGGAAATACCATAAATTGATGTTATATTTGGTAAATTATGTTCCGTTATTATACCCCATTTCTGCGCAAACCCCTCTGGATTAATCAGGGCCGAGATTCATCTCATGGCTCTTAAAGAGAACCAACGCTGCCTTGCGGACCACCTTGGGTTTTCGGCCGCTTTTGCGCCACTGCAAGGCATACCTCAGCTACCCTGCAAGGTAGTAGGAGCTGAGAGGTTTTTGGGGTCTCAGTGGTGGGGAGCCATTTTGGGATGTGATGATTGCTTTTTGGTGCTGGGATTTTGTGAGGATTTATCATGATCAAAATTCATCAAAATTCTACAAACATGTCCGGTAGGGTTGTGGCAGATAGAGACCCATCCAATGCATTTGGACTTCCGATCTGAAATCCCCAGATGACCTACGGTACTCTTCAAGATCTTCAACGCCACTGTCAAGTGACCACAAGGCAAGAAGGTCTCCACCGTCGTAGGGGTCAGGAGGACGATGGAGCTTCAAATACCTCTGGGCGTGGAAGGGCCACACAAAGATCCCTGTGTCAATTACAGTTGAAGTTCCCGAATCTTTACATGCTTTGGCTAAGGAAAATGATATAAACATGGGACATATGATATAAACCTGGGACACCATGGTGTGGCTCAAAACTTGTTGCCGAATGGAATGGTTCAATAGCAAAACTGACCAATTTTGAGGCCGTTGACCATTGGTGCCAATTTTGATCAAGACCCACATCATGCCATTAGTTCTGCACGACATCCCTGTGGCCATGCCATCAAAGGATTACTGCAAAGGAAAATCTGCAGGAAACCATGCTTTGTCCCATCAGGAAAATTGGGTCATGTGGTGAAAAAGATGATTCATCAGCATGGATTTTGGGGATCATGAACTGGAGCCAAGACAGTCTCAAAAATGCCCCAAATGTTCAGTCTTTCGTTGAGATTGTGTTAAGATTGCGTTAAGATTGTGGCACCCCAACAATCGTATCCAGGGTTTCCTGCTCACAATTTGGTCGAAGTGACTGCCCTAGCAGTTGTTCCATTTTCATGCTGATTCCGAGAGGGGGGAAAAACACAACAGCATCACAACAGCCATCTTCATAGTCGAAGGAAGTTTAGAAGTCAAACTTCCGACAATATGGACAGATGAAAAGCAGAGCAGGGAAGAGGCAGAGAGAAGAGAAAGACTAGAAGAGAGAAGATCAGAAGAGAAAGAGTCAGAAGAAAGAAGATGCAGCAGCGCGAAAAGGTAGGAAAGTCGCGAAACACTGTGTTTTTCCAATGATTTGGGGCTCCGGAGGGTCGAAAAGTAGGCTCGCTAAAGCGGCGGGGTGCGGAGCCAGCTGGCCAGATGAGAGATGAAAAAGTGCACGCCGTTGTGGCGCGAAGCACATTTCCAAGTCAAAATGTACAAAACACCTCAGGTCGGACCACTTTTGGAAGTTGAGATGTCGAAAAAGTGCACGCCGTTGTGGCGCGAAAGCACATTTCCAAGTCAAAATGTACAAAACACACCATGCTCGGACCACTTTTGGAAGTTGAGATGTCGAAAAAGTGCACGCCGTTGTGGCGCGAAGCACATTTCCAAGTCAAAAGTGTTAAAAACTGACGGTCTCGGACCACTTTTGGAGGTTCAGATGTCGAAAAAGTGCACGCCGTTGTGGCGCGAAGCACATTTCCAAGTCAAAATGCTAAAAACACCAGGGTCTCGGACCACTTTTGGAGGTTCAGATGTCGCTTCGCTTGGCTTCATTACACTACACTACATTACACTACACTACACTCCACTACACTACATTACATTACACTACATTACACTACACTACACTACCTTCCACTACACTTCACTACATTACACTACACTACACTCCACTACACTACAACTTCAACTACAACTACAACTATACAACTACACTCCACTACACTCCACTACACTAAATTACACTACACTAAATTACACTACGTTACACTACACTACATTACACTACACTACACTACATTCCACTACACTCCGCTACACCACACTACGCTACACTACATTGCACTCAATGACACTGCACCACAGATAGACATGTAGACAGCTAGACAGATGAAGGAGAGAGAGGGAGATAGATAGATAGATAGATAGATAGACAGATAAAAAGATAGATAGATAGAAAGATAGATAGACAGATAGAAAGGTAGATAGATAGATAGGTAGAAAGATAGACAGATAGATAGATAGATAGATAGATAGATGGATAGATAGATAGATAGGTAGAAAGATAGATAGATAGGTAATTAGATGAAAGAGAGAGAGAGAGAGAGATAGGTAGATAGATAGATAGATAGATAGGTAGGTAGGTAGGTAGGTAGGTAGATAGTCAGAGGAAGAGAGAGAAATAGTGAGAGAGATCAAGCACCTTTCGGTCCGTCAGTGGATTCGCTCTGCCATCCCTGATTCACAACAACCAATTTCTCCTATAGGTTTCCTATTTTTGAAACTTCCGCCACCGCCTTGTGCGGTACTACTGGTAATCCATCTATTAACCATGGTTACTGATGGTTATTGACAATCTATCAAGCAACTTTTCATGCTGAAAAAACATCCAGATCTCGGAATGGCCCAGGTGCTTCTCAAGCACGGCCAAGGCTTTCTCCTCCTGGTTCCCTGCAGCCAAGCAGGCCCGGACCACTGTCAGAACCATAAAGCCGTAGGCTTCGGCCTGGCTCGTTCGGTCCCGGCAATCATCGCTGGGGACCCTCCAGTAGTTTCACAGTTTCCTATGATAAAAATTGCACTGTCATAGATTATTTCAATTTATTTCATATGATTTACCCTGTAAAAGTGGTGCGTTTGATGGTTTTCCATGGTTTTCCATAGCTATGTGAAATTGCCGGAGGGATCCAGAGGGTAGTAACCATAGAAAATGATTTGGCGAGATAGCTGGTGGACTATGGTGGCTTGCCAGCTAGTGGTCCAGGACTAGACTGCCAACAATTGAGCCTATCGGAAAATAATGATAATAATGGAAAATATCGTAAACTTGAATCCCATTGGATACCCTCGTGGTTCAGATTTAATCCGATAGGGTATCCATTGCCAGGTGCACTGGTCAAGTCACAGCAAAGTACACATCATAGATGTACAGTACACATCATGTGCCGTACCTGCGAGCTAAGCAATTACCTCCCATAAAATCCCATAAATATATCTAAATAGATTTAATAGATTGATCATATTGTATCTATACTTATTATTAGTAGTATTATACTATAATCATTTTAAGAGTAATCACATACCTTACGATGACGCCTAATTTATCCATTGAATAAGCCAACATGTTTTGCCTGGAAATATACCTATCTGATCCTATCTGACACATTCTGACACATTCTGACACTAGAATGATGAATAACTCAACATGGCACCTGGTCGTCGATCATCTCCATGATCTGGTCCGCCTGTGCCCCCGGTTCCGCTGCTGCGAAGTCGGGGGCGGCGACCTTGATGAAGGCCTGGCTGGCATCCAACGGTGGATGGTGGAGCCCAAAGGATAGGTCTAGGTGCTGGAAGTTGGTTGAAAAACTTGGCTGACTATAGATGTTTCCAGGATGTGTTCGGATGTTTTATCAGATGGTTTGTTAAAACGACCTGTTTTTACTTGGGGGCACCGCCTTGAAGGAATCCAAGGGGAAATCGCCAAGGATCCAATAGGAACATAAAACATAACCCGCGTGACCAAACCACAGTCCAACATGGCAACGGGAAAGTCTAGCTTCGGTAAAAACATCATCATCACTCATCACCAATTGAAGGACCTGCTGGTTTCCTGCCAAGAGTTGCCCCAAAGGCTGGAGGCAAGTTCAAGAAAGGCCGGGTCAAAATAGCGTTCCTATTGGAAGTTGGAGGCGCTGACACAAAACAGAATCTTGGATTTTGCTTGACTTCATGGCTACCTCAATTTTGCTAACGATGATCCGTTTAGCCAAAGATTAATTGGCTACATCGCTGTGTCTCTGGTGTCAGGAAATTCCTGCCCTCTTGTTGCCTGAGCCAAGGCTGTTCCGGTTGATGTTCTTCAATGTCGTTAGCTAAATTTCCAGGTCACAGCCCACAACGAGGGGTCCAAATGTGACTCCTCAATATAATGAAATGCCCATTCTCCAATACATATATATATATATAATTGATGTTTATACTTTATACTCTCTCCTAACTTAACATAGCTATGGAAATCACCTATTTCAATAGGTAAATCATCGATCTAAACGGACAATCGTCCATAGCAGGCTTTTGAATTACCAGAAGGTGTATAGTATAGTGTATCCAATTTGGATCAATTTGACATCTCACATTCCAATCAAATATGGATGTTTTGGGACCATTTGGATCCATATGGTGCGCAACATCCACACAACCAGTACATTCATTCTACTCCATTATGTCAAATTATATCCCCATAGAGTGGCTGGTGTCCTACCCATAGCCATCTTCGCATGTGAAACCCCAAATCCCAGGGTTTCAAACCTGATTTGGGTTCATCCATTACACATATTACACCCTACCCGCAGAAGTATCCGTGGTTTTTGGTATCTATGCCACCACTATACCTCGTTCTATCCCATGTTGCCCACGTATTTTGCTTCGGTCTCGCTTGACATCAGCGCCTCCACGACCTCCTTCTTCTTGGGATGATCAATGCAGCCCACCACCCGGCCCAGCGACCACTTGGCTACGCTGCAGGCACGGCACAGCACAGCAACGGCCTGGTCCACGTCCTGGAGATGGTCAGGTGACGTGAAGAAACATATGAAGGATCGTTAGATGTTTAGATATATTTGTATGATGTATATAAGAACTATATACTTAGGCACTCATCTATTTGTTTGGGATGTGCATGTCTTTTATATATATAGGACATCATCTATGGAAATATCATCATTCTTGGTACAAGTATATAGTGTGCCCTGGTTTTTTATATGTTGATATACAACTCAAAGGACAAATTGAGCATGCTTCCAAAGATCCATTGCCCTGTTCAGCTGATCCAACTTAAAGTCCACGCCCTTATTGATAAGGGTTCCGGTTCCCAAAATTGGATCCCAATAGATACATTACATAATCCCCATTAAATCAATGGGAATTCCAGGATCCTAAAATGGAGGTACTGTACCATATAAGGCCATATTTTGTGGGGATATTCCGTTACATAGGCCTTACATAGGCCTTGTATATGGTAGGTACCTCCAATTTAGGTTCCTGAAATGGCCATTGATTAAATACCATTGAACAAGATTGAGGCGCACAGTATAATGAAGGTTAAATTACAATCATTCAGCACCCTGAAGGCCATTGGGGGATTCCCCGCATATCAAGCCATTGTTGGCCGTCATTTGCAGTGAGGACGCTCTGCTCCTTGGGGCTCTCCTGGGTATGGCCAACGGCCTTCACAGAGATGCGCACGCAGTTCTGGAAGTTCGCTTCCTCGCGTGCGAACTGTGGTTCGTTCACCGGCAAAGTTGGGATTTAGTTTAATGGGTCTTAACCAAGAGACATAGGGGGTGGTATTACACTTAATTTAAAGAATGGGTCTTCGTCTTAAAAAAATAAACCAAGAAACACGGGTTGCTTTTAAACAAAATCTAGAGGAAACCATCCTTTTGCAGTCAAATAGGGGGGGTCCTCCCTAAGTCAGTTCGGTGATGAAGTGAAAACTCCAGTCTCCATCACCTCACTTAATCACTAGACTTTAGACTGAATAGTGTATGACTCGATCCCCAGCCTCTTGAGAAGCTCTTCACTTGGAGAATGTGAGGCTATGAAGCGTTTCAGAAATGAGATGTCATCAAGTCACAATGGGGGGTATGTTCCACACGGGGGACCCCAAGATCGTCACTTTCTGGTTTCACTTGCCAAGTCGCAGGTTGCTCTGATGGCAATGCTGAACCCGTGGTTAAGATCTGGTTGGTGGTCTCAACCCATCTCAAAACACTGGCCCATTGGGGTGGAAAACTCAGACAGCAATCGAACCAATGTGATGAATCCACCTTGAAAACATCTCTTCACCGACCCTCTTCGCACTACGTGCCGTTGCGATTGAGAATATGTAAAGTTTTTTCATGAGGTTTTTCTCATCGGGCCAGTCATGATATCCCCATTCACAGAAAGGCACGTGACGCCTTCCTCTAGCTGAATGGTGTGTCTGCCGGAACCCCCTCTTACAAGTCCCAACAGCCCACGGCCCTTGACCAAAAGTACCCAGCACGCCAGCTGCATCCAAGCTTCTCCCAGTGCTGCCAACGCCCCCTCGCTGGTCTGCGAGGCGATGTGCCTCAGCGTGGCTCATGCCATATGCAGCTGAAACGGGGAATGGCGACCTGGAAGTGGAAGAAAACTCACACGGCTGAGAGTCACTGATAATATCAAAATATATCAAAATCATTATCAAAAGTAATGTGTCAACCATGTTCAACCGTTAAATATACTCATAAAATTTGGAGTTGTATGGAGTTATATGACTTAGATGGACATGGTTTTGTTCGCCATAGTCCTCTCCCCATGTCCCAGCAGTCCGCCAAGGTGCTCATAGGCATCAGCCCAGTTGTGCTTGGAGTAGTCATCCCAAAACCTCAGCTGAGATCACCCGTTGACCCCAACCCTGCTGAGAAAATATGAGAGTCATGGGGAGCATCATCCTGATATGTTTGGGGATGGGGAGCAAATATGTTCCTTGTTTTTTGCGGATGGAAAATGAAGAAACATGGGACAACAGCAAGCAGAAAGGCAGCAACACAAGGTCCTGTTGAAACAATCCAACTAACTGTCCAGGTGGTCTTGCACTCTTGCTGCCAAAGGCTCATGGTTGTAGGACAACGAGCACCAATCTATATAGAAAGAACATGGGGAAACCGTCAAAACCCTGTAGCCCCTGTAGTTAACATCAGAATAGCATTAAATAGCTAGGAATTATGGATGTTAATTCCTAAAAAAAAATGCTATTTATTATAGGTACTAATCCACAGATATCCACAGAAAAACAACTTGAAACAATGCAAAACACCATTGCTGATCTGACCATGTCGGGTTTGATCCACTGGTTAATCATCATTGCCCCTATTATTTGATGATAGAGGTTGGAAATAGTGAAATAGTTGCTTAATTACATATCCCCTTAGAATTATCCCCATCAACCCATTAAACGACCATTTTGAATTGCTTTTCCCACCATTTTCAGACACAGCCAGTAAGTGTCGTCTGCAAAGGGCTTGTGGTGCTCCGTCACGTACTCCTCCCGTTTCAAGGCCTCCGGCTCTGGGAACTCCTCTCCTCTCGGCACAAGAGCCGCCAGAGCCCATGGCGACGCGATGCGACGCGGCGGAGGAGGGCCGTTCAAGCTTGAGCTCTTTGAGCAGCGGCGAAACAAGGCACACAACTAATCCACCAATCTGACCCCAAAGCCCAAAGCATTTGAACCTTGAGGCCCAAGAACCTATGGACCAAATGCGTAAATTTGAAGCCCGAATCCATTCAATTGATCATAACTCATAACCCCTGTTCATTGAACGAAACCCCGATCCCTCAACCAAACCCCTTCCGCAGTGAGATCGTTGCACCCAAGTCACTGGCAAAGGCCCGGTGCACGCTGGCGCTGCGGCTCGGGCCACGCACCAGGGCGCCCGGTCTGTGGCACTCGGCACGCCATTGGCGCAAACACCCTGCGCAAGGTTAGGAAGATCTTGGGATGCGCGAAATGAAGGGCGAATTGACAATATCTACAATCCAGCTGGACTAATTAGATCACAATCACTTGGAGTACATAGACTATGGACCAAACTGAATCAAACAAAATCAAACAAACAATTTTATTTTTCCTCTAAAATCATTGCTAGCCCCCTACCTGAGGGATCAACACTAGCTGCTATTAACTTCTACCAGCCATCTGAGTAAATCATAATATTTCTCTAACCTGACATAAGGATACATAAGGCTTTTGGGACAGATACTGATACCCCTTCTTCACCATCATCCAGGCTCCCGAGCGTCGCAGCTGTCGTTCTTCCCACAGCCTGAAACATGGTTTGGTGCGCCATCGAGCATCAAACATTTCAAATGGAAACAAGCACTATTACCATCCATTACCCATATGAATATCATGAATGATGCATGGGACTGGGCTTACCAGTTCTACGTAAGGGTGTGCAATTTGTGCTGGATCATTTGGAGAGTGATGAACATAACATGGTATTTACAAAATACTAACCAACAACTGAAGACATGGGGACACTATCAAGAATTCCTCCGCCCAAAATCCCCACGTTGATCAATGCCAAGGCGCGTGGGCCGAAGAGGCGACGGACGCCGAACAGGGCTCACAGGCACACCTCGGTGCACGGTCAAAGTCTTCTGGACCTGGCAGATTTGGCACCCCTGGCCGCACCATTTCTTCTATCTTCAAAAGTCTTGAAGGATGATGATGATGATATCATAATAGTAATATAATTATAATAATAATAGCAATAAGTAGGAAAAATATATCAGATCTCTCAATCTCTTGAAAGCTCTCCTGTGGTGACAGGTTCAGCCCGCGCCAAACCCCGGTTCGAAACCAAGCCGGGACCATCCATCATCAAAAGGCAACTACGATACATTACATGCGCGACATGTGCAGATGCGGCACATGTGCAGAGCATCAACAGGAGACCAACCCAACTTGTTGAAGACAACCCGACCAGAAGATGATAAAAATGGATCATAATGGATCAACATATTCGCTCGCAAGTTGGTATAAGTTGGCATAAGAGTTTATGTAAGTTCATGCTTGTTTTTGTGAGTTGATGTAAGTCATCGCTGGTTCAAACATATTCCAACTCCATTCACCCCACCGACGCTGGGTTTCCCAGCGCCGCGCCCGGTGGCTGGAGGCTCCCGGTGAAGGCGTAAGCCACTTGCTGTTGGACAATTCCGCACCTGGCGGGCACAAGCAAGGCTGGCATAGTGGTTGAATGTTGACCTGCTAGGGGATTTGTTTGGTGAAACTGGGTGCACAAGATGGGCCAAAATCATCCAAACTTTGAAACCACAATGCAAATTTGGCAGTGCGGAAAGGTTAAAAGCACGATTCAACCCGGTAGTTTTGGCTAAGCTCCTGATCATGTACAGTCATCACCAGTGGTTCCCACCTGATGCTGCAGTGACGTCAGAGCCCGGACTCAAGTGGAAGTCCTGAGGAACCATATCCCCAAGAATCAGTTGCCCGGTCACCATCCAAGTCATGTGGAGCGGGCGAGGCATCATGTGGCAGAATGAACATCAACGTCATGCAACATAACATACAATTATCATTTGATTCACTTGGTACAAGTACCTTTGGTACTGCCGGCTACCTCCAACAAAGGAGGCACAAGTGGCACAAGTGGTACCAGCACCATTACCTGGCCTTCCACACTTGCATGTGTCTGGCTTGAACTACCAAAAAATAGCAACAAAGCCCCTTCCGACTCCTCCGTAGAGTCATTCTGCAACACTTCCGGGTGCAATCCTCCGGGGTTCATCGACATAAATTCAAGATGAAGAGCACGGCTGGTAGAGTGGCAACATCTTTAGATAAACCAATATAAACCAGGCATCTTCTTCGAAGAGTGGAAGATACCAACTGAAACTCCAGGCGTTCTTATTGACCTGCTCGGCCAATAGAAATGTTTGAAAGAAAAAGGAAAAAACGTCAGTGGACCTCTGGGACAAATGAGATGACATCGTGAGGAGAAACTATTCAAGTGATATTGAAAAGATTTTGTAAGTGTCACCGGTGGCTGAACAAGTGTCAGCCAAGCTTTTTCACATCAAGTCAGCAATGAAACTACAGTAGTTTTGAAAACCAAGTTTACTTTGACACTTCAAATTTTCCTTCACATTTTCACAGCTCCAACACCAAGCCACTTCCATTCAGTTCCCCAAAAAAAGGACAGTTCCCCAGTAGTAGTTTGGACTTCCAGCTGCCCAGCCAGACCTCGTGGTAGGACGTTGGCACGAAGCCGCCGGATCTCATCGATCATGTCATCCAGGCTTTGGCCTGGACCGAAGCTGCAGGACATGCAAAATGGGGTGCTGGGGATCAATTTTTGGAGAAAACATTACAAGTTTTGAACAATCTTAATAAGATGTTCTTCGTAAGAATTCGCCTTCCACAAGATCCATCAGGCATCATCAAAGCTGATCTCCTAGTAAAATGGTACTCCCATGATCAGCAGCCCGGGGGTGTCTTAATCCTTCAGCGGCCCACCCGCGCACCTACAGGTGTCTCAAGTCCGCGTGGTGGACTGGGCGCGCGCACCTAGGCAGGAGTGAAGCCAAATCGAGCTTGGGCGGGCAGAACACCCGAAAAAACTGGTTCCAGGGTGAACATCATGTGATACATCAATCATAACACTATCAAACTAAGATCTCAAACCAACTACCGAAATCTACAGAATGAACCACAATGCTCTAAAATCATTGCTTCAATCTTCAACTTGCAGAACCCCACTATAGACTCTACAGAAAGATCTACGACTCAACAGTTTGGGGTGGTTTTTGGGTAAAAAAAAATGTAAAAACACAGGGATCACAGGCTAGGCTTCCACACCACTTGTCGCGGCGACCTGGCACCAGTGCAAAAACCCGACACCAACTCGTGAAAAACAGGCTTTAATTCGGGACCGTGATGGGAAGATAAGGGGCATATTATGGGTGATGGGTGTATAAAGGGACATAGTCATATAATGGGGTGAACATGGTGGGATAAAACAAATATTAAGCAACAATACAGTATAACGTATAACTCCAAATTCTTATCTTAATCGGGATATGATTTGCTGACTAACAATTATACAGTATAACAAGCAGATTTAGATTTAGAGATACCATATTTTCCGACAAACCTAAATGGGATGCCTGAAAACTCGAGGAACCACACATTTGGTCATGTCAAGCACTAACTCGCCCAAGTCTGGTGGCTTTGCACCAAGTGGAACCGATGGAATTCCAAATTTGAAACCAACACTTCCAATCCAACAAAGGAAACGAACAGATCATCAACTTGGGGAGCCTCCCAGAATTCAGATTCCTGTCGAAATTGTCACACATCGGACACACATCGGACACACATCCCCAGGGCCTGCGGAGCAGGGCCGCTTGCAGCGGTGTAACCTGGTGGCCACGGGTGGAATCAGCCAGCTCGACACGCCACGGGGGTGGGATGCCATGATCGCACCTCATAGCTGGATCGCCATGCCATGAGTTTCCCGGACCTGCGGCTTGTGCGATTCACAAAGCGCCCATCTCCATGAGGTGAAAAACCCAGCAACTTAATGGGCATATGAAGGTTTTTCCACATGAGTCAGGTAATCAGTGGAGTCCCTTGGACTACGTTTAAAATCATGTGCATCTGTCAATGATTTTGGAGTTTCGAGAATGTTTGAAAGCCAGTTCAGGGACCACCTACATGAGGATTACAGATCTATATCAGCTATATATTGACTCGCTGCATCTTGATGTATACAGTACTTGCCCCCGGCAACTGAACATAGAAAATGGATGAAAATGTTACACTATACAGATTATACAGTAGATTATGCACCTACAGTATTCAAAATCATTTTCCATCACTGTTTGAAAAGTATCATGGAAAATCATAGTATATGGGGATTATCCATCCCATGAATTACTGGTGATGTTCCGTGATTTTCCATGATTTACTGGTGATTTTCCCATGATTTTCCCTGGATCGCCGCCTCGCCGGCCATGGGCGAAGCACCCCCACCCTGCGGCCGCCCCGCTGAAAGTGCCACACCAAGCGCTGAGCCAACGGCGCAGTGGGAAAGGGTTGGAAATAATATGCATATACATTTATATGCATATCAGTGCATATTATATATATATATTATATATACATATGAAAGTGTGTGTGTGTGTGCGTATGTGAATATAATGTTATAACTTCTGGGATTCACATCCAGAACACATGTTCTCCAAATACAGGGATGAACCATGATGAACCCAAGAAAGGCCTGAAAAATCGAAAAGATCTCAAACAGGCCGAAACCACAATCAGCAAAAGCGCTAGTGATCTTGCTTCGAGCACACCACATTTTTTCCCTGAAGCGGCGACCACTTACCCAGGTAGAATGCGTGCAAGGAAATAATTTAGGCAAGTTCCCCTCTGGCTCCAGTAGTTTTTCGTTTTTGCTTGTGCAACTAGAATACATTGGGATGACATCATCCGGATCATTTTTGGGCAACGCAACGGTAGCACTTCAGCCTGCCAAAAACCGAGCAAGACTGGCGCCTTTTTGGATTCCACACATGCACAACTTTGAGCTGATCCGTGGACAACCACGGAGAGCCCAGTCATGGGCCGAAATGCAGTGCAACAATTCAGTGGATCGCAAAGGTATCATCGGGTATAAGATGGTATATGCTACATGATGCTACATGCAAGCACTGTTCACTGCTGCAATTGGTCTGGACAATCGGTAAAATCTGTAAAATGATTCGGAGCGGCAGTGGACCAAGGATGGGCCCGCGACCCACCTGTCATCTGTTGAGCTCCAGAAAAGCCTGAGAGGCTGGGCGTTTCTACTGCTCCGCTGGTCCTGCAACTGCTTGCTGTTCCCTCAGTCTGCCAACCTCCGCGCAGCCCCTGCCTTTTTGCGCCACGTGGTGTGTCCAGCTCTGGGCCAAAACTCCCAGCCACGGACTGATGGCTCTGCATTTCTTGGGCAAGATTTTGACTTTGGCATAGATGTTGGTATGAGGCAAGAAAATTCGCAACAAACTGAAACAAGGCCAGCTGCAAACACATGAAAATGTGGAAGCTTCCGCATCTTCCAAGAAATGCAAATGCAGAAATGGAAGTGATTAACTTAGGCCTAGTGATCTTGGAACTAGCAGCTGACTCCCAACCTTCGGACAGAATGAGGCAATAAAGTTGCTCAATATGGTGTGATATATCCGAATACTTTGCTTAATTTCAGTGTGTATATATATATATGTATGTATGTATATATATATATATATATGTATATATATATATGTGTGTGTGTGTGTAATATATCATTGTATTGCCGTTGATGTTGCAACTGCTGGTTCTCATTGTGTTGTTCCCTTGGTTGGTTGGTCCAACGTTCGTTGTCCCCCCGGCTTTAGATGTCCTCAGCTTGGGCAACTCCTCTGCACCTTGGCAGAGAAGGGACTCGCAGTCACCAATGGCCTGTTGTCCCCTGCACCTCTTTGGGAGACACTGGCATACGGAGTGGAGATGAGTGGGGCATGTGAAGTTTTAAAGTTTCTTCATCTCAAGACGCAGTCCCATATTAGTGCAATTTATTACAACTCCAATGATGAGATCCACAGCTTCCAAAAAATACAGGCGCAAATGGGACTTTAGGAGACCATGTCTGGCTGCAGCTGGTGCGGGCATAGGCACTCCTTCAACAAATCTGTTAGAGCGTGATCTGCCATGATTTCCCGCATTTCATTCATCGTCAAGTAGATGGAAAGCAAAATCAAGCAGTCCCCTAAAAGATACTCATCCAGATTATATTCAATTCCGGGGTCTTGGGAAATTCATTAAAGTTGATCGGCTCCAAAAAAATGACTTCATTGACTGATGCTGGAATCTTTTGCCAACAATGCTGTTGGTGCTGCGCTGATGGTGCTGATTTCTTGCCTGTGCCCATGCCTTTCACCTTGACCTCCATTGGGTTCATGCTGGTGGCGTGGGCCAGCGCCTCGCTCGAGTTAGTCATGTAACATGTCATAACTACACCACAAAACACGTGGCAAGACCAAGGGTCCTCAAAATAACTTCAAGGACTCGAGCAGGCTGTGATATTGACTCAATATCAAGCCATAAATTTTAAACCGCCGCCTCGCTCATGATCAGGCCTGCAGGGGAAGCGAGAAACGTCCAATCAGCCTGTCGTGTCCTTTGATTGCGACTAGCGTCATCAATGGCAGCGCGCTGCCATCTGCAAGAACTCTTGCCAGTACCGCATGGCCTGCTTGAGGTCTCCAGTTTGGGCCAACACATTGCCAAGCTTGTGCAGAGTGGCTGCAATGCCAGGATGGTCACCGTCACCATGCAAGGAGCGCTTCATCTGCAAGGACTCTTGCAAGTACCGCATGGCCTGCTTGAGGGCTCCAGTTTTGGCCAACACATTCCCAAGCTCGTGCAGAGTGACTGCAATGCCAGGATGGTCACCGTCACCATGCAAGGAGCGCTCCATCTGCAAGGACTCTTGCAAGTACCGCATGGCCTGCTTGAGGTCTCCAGTTTGGCCCAACACATCCCCAAGCTTGTGCAAAGTGGCTGCAATGCCAGGATGGTCACCGTCACCATGCAAGGAGCGCTGCATCTGCAAGGACTCTTGCAAGTACCGCATGGCCTGCTTGAGGTCTCCAGTTTTGGCCAACACATTCCCAAGCTCGTGCAGAGTGGCTGCAATGCCAGGATGGTCACCGTCACCACGCAAGGAGCGCTCCATCTGCAAGGACTCTTGCAAGTACCGCATGGCCTGCTTGAGGTCTCCAGTTTGGGCCAACACATTCCCAAGCTCGTGCAGAGTGACTGCAATGCCAGGATGGTCACCGTCACCATGCAAGGAGCGCTGCATCTGCAAGGACTCTTGCAAGTACCGCATGGCCTGCTTGAGGTCTCCAGTTTTGGCCAACACATTCCCAAGCTCGTGCAGAGTGGCTGCAATGCCAGGATGGTCACCGTCACCATGCAAGGAGCGCTTCATCTGCAAGGACTCTTGCAAGTACCGCATGGCCTGCTTGAGGTCTCCAGTTTGGGCCAACACATTCCCAAGCTCGTGCAGAGTGGCTGCAATGCCAGGATGGTCACCGTCACCATGCAAGGAGCGCTTCATCTGCAAGGACTCTTGCAAGTACCGCATGGCCTGCTTGAGGTCTCCAGTTTGGGCCAACACATTCCCAAGCTCGTGCAGAGTGGCTGCAATGCCAGGATGGTCACCGTCACCATGCAAGGAGCGCTGCATCTGCAAGGACTCTTGCAAGTACCGCATGGCCTGCTTGAGGTCTCCAGTTTTGGCCAACACATTCCCAAGCTCGTGCAGAGAGGCTGCAATGCCAGGATGGTCACCGTCACCATGCAAGGAGCGCTCCATCTGCAAGGACTCTTGCAAGTACCGCATGGCCTGCTTGAGGTCTCCAGTTTGGGCCAACACATTCCCAAGCTCCTGCAGAGTGGCTGCAATGCCAGGATGGTCACCGTCACCATGCAAGGAGCGCTCCATCTGCAAGGACTCTTGCAAGTACTGCATGGCCTGCTTGAGGTCTCCAGTTTGGGCCAACACATTCCCAAGCTCGTGCAGAGTGGCTGCAATGCCAGGATGGACACCGTCACCATGCAAGGAGCGCTGCATCTGCAAGGACTCTTGCAAGTACCGCATGGCCTGCTTGAGGTCTCCAGTTTTGGCCAACACATTGCCAAGCTTGTGCAGAGTGGCTGCAATGCCAGGATGGTCACCGTCACCACGCAAGGAGCGCTCCATCTGCAAGGACTCTTGCAAGTACCGCATGGCCTGCTTGAGGTCTCCAGTTTGGGCCAACACATTCCCAAGCTCGTGCAGAGTGACTGCAATGCCAGGATGGTCACCGTCACCATGCAAGGAGCGCTGCATCTGCAAGGACTCTTGCAAGTACCGCATGGCCTGCTTGAGGTCTCCAGTTTTGGCCAACACATTCCCAAGCTCGTGCAGAGAGGCTGCAATGCCAGGATGGTCACCGTCACCATGCAAGGAGCGCTGCATCTGCAAGGACTATTGCAAGTAACGCATGCCTGCTTGAGGTCTCCAGTTTTGGCCAACACATTCCCAAGCTCGTGCAGAGTGGCTGCAATGCCAGGATGGTCACCGTCACCACGCAAGGAGCGCTCCATCTGCAAGGACTCTTGCAAGTACCGCATGGCCTGCTTGAGGTCTCCAGTTTGGGCCAACACATTCCCAAGCTCGTGCAGAGTGACTGCAATGCCAGGATGGTCACCGTCACCATGCAAGGAGCGCTGCATCTGCAAGGACTCTTGCAAGTACCGCATGGCCTGCTTGAGGTCTCCAGTTTTGGCCAACACATTCCCAAGCTCGTGCAGAGTGGCTGCAATGCCAGGATGGTCACCGTCACCATGCAAGGAGCGCTTCATCTGCAAGGACTCTTGCAAGTACCGCATGGCCTGCTTGAGGTCTCCAGTTTGGGCCAACACATTCCCAAGCTCGTGCAGAGTGACCGCAATGCCAGGATGGTCACCGTCACCATGCAAGGAGCGCTGCATCTGCAAGGACTCTTGCAAGTACCGCATGGCCTGCTTGAGGTCTCCAGTTTGGGCCAACACATCCCCAAGCTCGTGCAGAGTGGCTGCAATGCCAGGATGGTCACCGTCACCATGCAAGGAGCGCTTCATCTGCAAGGACTCTTGCAAGTACCGCATGGCCTGCTTGAGGTCTCCAGTTTGGGCCAACACATCCCCAAGCTTGTGCAAAGTGGCTGCAATGCCAGGATGGTCACCGTCACCATGCAAGGAGCGCTGCATCTGCAAGGACTCTTGCAAGTACCGCATGGCCTGCTTGAGGTCTCCAGTTTTGGCCAACACATTCCCAAGCTCGTGCAGAGAGGCTGCAATGCCAGGATGGTCACCGTCACCATGCAAGGAGCGCTCCATCTGCAAGGACTCTTGCAAGTACCGCATGGCCTGCTTGAGGTCTCCAGTTTGGGCCAACACATTCCCAAGCTCCTGCAGAGTGGCTGCAATGCCAGGATGGTCACCGTCACCATGCAAGGAGCGCTCCATCTGCAAGGACTCTTGCAAGTACTGCATGGCCTGCTTGAGGTCTCCAGTTTGGGCCAACACATTCCCAAGCTCGTGCAGAGTGGCTGCAATGCCAGGATGGACACCGTCACCATGCAAGGAGCGCTGCATCTGCAAGGACTCTTGCAAGTACCGCATGGCCTGCTTGAGGTCTCCAGTTTTGGCCAACACATTGCCAAGCTTGTGCAGAGTGGCTGCAATGCCAGGATGGTCACCGTCACCACGCAAGGAGCGCTCCATCTGCAAGGACTCTTGCAAGTACCGCATGGCCTGCTTGAGGTCTCCAGTTTGGGCCAACACATTCCCAAGCTCGTGCAGAGTGACTGCAATGCCAGGATGGTCACCGTCACCATGCAAGGAGCGCTGCATCTGCAAGGACTCTTGCAAGTACCGCATGGCCTGCTTGAGGTCTCCAGTTTTGGCCAACACATTCCCAAGCTCTGTGCCAGGATGGTTCACCATGCAATGTGCAGATGGTGTGGCTCATGCTGCAATGGTCACCGTCACCATGCAAGGAGCGCTTCATCTGCAAGGACTCTTGCAAGTACCGCATGGCCTGCTTGAGGTCTCCAGTTTGGGCCAACACATTCCCAAGCTCGTGCAGAGTGACTGCAATGCCAGGATGGTCACCGTCACCATGCAAGGAGCGCTGCATCTGCAAGGACTCTTGCAAGTACCGCATGGCCTGCTTGAGGTCTCCAGTTTTGGCCAACACATTCCCAAGCTCGTGCAGAGTGGCTGCAATGCCAGGATGGTCACCGTCACCATGCAAGGAGCGCTCCATCTGCAAGGACTCTTGCAAGTACCGCATGGCCTGCTTGAGGTCTCCAGTTTGGGCCAACACATTCCCAAGCTCGTGCAAAGTGGCTGCAATGCCAGGATGGTCACCGTCACCATGCAAGGAGCGCTCCATCTGCAAGGACTCTTGCAAGTACCGCATGGCCTGCTTGAGGGCTCCAGTTTTGGCCAACACATTCCCAAGCTCGTGCAGAGTGACTGCAATGCCAGGATGGTCACCGTCACCATGCAAGGAGCGCTCCATCTGCAAGGACTCTTGCAAGTACCGCATGGCCTGCTTGAGGTCTCCAGTTTGGGCCAACACATTCCCAAGCTCCTGCAGAGTGGCTGCAATGCCAGGATGGTCACCGTCACCATGCAAGGAGCGCTGCATCTGCAAGGACTCTTGCAAGTACCGCATGGCCTGCTTGAGGTCTCCAGTTTGGGCCAACACATTGCCAAGCTTGTGCAGCGCGGCCGCTGTACGAATGCTGTCACCGCTTTTTTCTGATTTGCTTTCCTGCAGCTGATGCTCGAATTCTTGCTGCTGGGTCAGGAGATCTCCACCTGGCATTGTCTCAGGAAGGTCAACAGCCTCCGCAACAATGGCTCTTGTGTCTGTAGTGACGCTCTCCTGGTCCAGTGAGCAAAGCTGGTTGGATGAAAGCATCAACTTGGGCCAATCACTTGAATGCACATTTTTGGGGACATGACAGTGATTTAACAGAAACAACATGAAACAACATCATTTGACTTTTACGAAGGCACGCTTGCCAATCATGATTGTCACCCTTGGACTTTTGGGAAGATGTTCAAAGATGCAGTTCCACGTCCTTTTCTTGTAAACAGCTCAAGCCACCAGCCAACACAAGAAGTTCTTCAAAACATGTCCCCATCATTCAGAACCAACCCCTTTGCAAGTCGAGCAATTCTGGCCATTCAACCTCGGAATGACTTGTCTCAATTTCTGTGCCCTCATGGGGACCGCATATGTAGCTAAAGGATACATGACACATGAATCATGTATCATACTATTGTACATGTGATATATGTGGTAATATAGATGCAGCATGATGTAACAGGAGGAAACAAAGCACCAGCTCCTTTGAGCGTGTTCCTGTTGGTCCACTTCGCGTTGGAGCCGTGAGGACAGCGGATTCTTCTTCCCACGGAGCAAGCGTAGCCATCGCAGGTGGATCAAAGATGGTGGAGGCGGCGTTGATCCCAGCAGCAAAGTCGACTTAGCTTTTGGAGCCGTTTGGGGCACAACTATGCGGTGATGCGATGACTTGCGAACGGCTCTACTTCCCAGCTGAACGCTGACTAGAATAGCATACATACAGTAACAAATCAAATCTATTCAAATCCAGTTTGAGCCTTACCAGGCTTACCATCTGCCACCGGGAAGGAACTTTCTTTGGCCCGCCAAGTCACCTGAAACCTCTCGGGTGACGTCGGCAACCTGTGGACGCAGCACCGTCTCCACTTCCCGGGTGGCTTGGATCAGCCACCGCGCTGCGCGGCACAGTTCTGAGCGGCTGGGTGCGTCCCTTGCACGGAAAGCTTCGGTGATGATGTCATTCCAAATCTGCTCCAAATCGCCGATGATTTGAATTGGATTGTCTGGATCTTGATGCTCATGAAAAGTCACTTCCTTTACTGATGCGGGGTCTTTGATGCACCAGAAACCAAACAAAAGACATCAAGAGACCCTGCCCCACAACACCATAATCAGTGAGGCCAGGTTCGATCAGTGACAGAATGTTCTTCGCCTGCTCCCTGATGGTGCTGATCTCAGGCCACAACGTCTGAAGGTCCGCCTCTTGAGCGTCATGAATGATGTCAAACAGGCTGTCTAAAACCCCTATTTCCACCTCGCGGCGTCGTCGTTCAATGTGCCCTTGACATGCCTGGTTCAGCGACCTGGAGGGCAATGCTGTGCAATGGTGGGATGGTGGTTTGGGAGGGTAGGGTGTGGCACGGTGCCACTGGCGCTCTGTCCTTCAAAAACAACATACCATTGTTATTATTATCATTATGATTACTATTATTACTATTATTGTTATTCTTATTATTATCATTAATATTACTATGTGTATATTTACATGATTATATATGCATGTGTAACATTACTCTGCCCAGCCTATGTTTAAAGATTAAAACGCAGAGTAGTGTTTGCAAACCCGATTGCAATCAGGACTCCTTGCAACTAAAGCCGGCAGTCCAGTCAGCACTGATTTTGCAATGATCTCAGGTGCAGCAACCTTGAAGATTACTGTATATAATTATATAATACTTTAATACAGTATAGAATCATCGAGCACGAGATGGCTCTATCACACAGTTTGTCCCAAAACAACCGTTTTGTTACAGCGAAACAATTTATGGATGTTTCATAAACCTGAGGATACCAACATCTTCGCGCCTGCTGGTCGTTCGGAGTTTAAATAACGGCACGAGTGTCAGCCGCTCAACGATGATCTTCACCAGCTCTGGGGGCAAAGTCATGGTGGATCAACCGAACAGGCTGTGGAGGCGTCGGGATTTGCGGTGTTGCAAGTGAAAATCCTGAATGTCTTCAGTAGTGAAGAATCATGACCGCGAAAGATAGCAAAAAGGGTGTGATGTTCAACACTTCTTTTCAAAGTGTGTTTCTGTGTGATTGCTCATCTTTCGTTTTCTTCTTTGGAATTTGTTGGTTGTGAGAACTATTATGATATATTATGATGATATATTATGATGCATTCTATGACATTGTATGATAGATGTGCAAATGCCCAGCTAGCACTGCTGCTGTTGCTGTGAAGGCACGTGGGGTTTGGGCACTTCGTGATCTTCTTTGGCCCCTGCACCAGCAGTGGATCCCAAGATACAAACGTCCCGAGCCAAGACGACCACGCGATCACGATCAACTTGCAAAAAAAAAAGGGAAGAGATCTTCCAATCTTCCAACCAACATCAACCAACTAGGCTGGCAGTTGTTTTGTTCATGATTCCACCCAGGTTTCATCATGTTTCCATGAAATCAAGGTCCTACAGCTCCACATCCAAGGCAAGGCCCTGGCTTGGCACCGTTCTTCCGGCAGCCTGTGGGTTCCGGCAGACCCCGGGCATGGGAAGATTTGGCAGAAAAAATTGGGGAATGATGGTCTTGGATGGTCTTGGAGGCTTGGAGGCTTGGAGGCTTGGAGGCTTCTTGCTGTCTTTGATGTGCCAGGGTGCAATCAATATTTCCGTGTCTACATGCGTAAACCCTTTGCGTAGCACAAACAACTGCAGCACATCGCCAGGGTTGGTGGATGGCATCCACGAATGGAAATCCATGAGAGAATCAATGAAAACTCGATGGTGCCTTAATCATGGATGTCGAATGATGCATCAACATGCATCAACTATCCAAAAATCACAGAGTACAACCCAAGAATTCCCAAACCCCGTCGAGTGTATGGCAACAGCCTCTTCCCATATTAACCAACGCCAAGATGCATCAGCAGAGATCCAGGAGCGACTTGGAGGATCGGCTCAGGTTCAGTTATACACCTGGCGGATGCTCTGCCGATATGCATGGCATATATGCATACATGAATCATACATGTCTGTGTGGTGTGGGGGGTGGTTGAGTCGCCCAATGTGGTAACAGTTGGTAGCCAGTTCATCGTATCTAATTGTCCTAGCTTGCTCCCAGTTGGGGTGATATACTCGCCCACCATATGACCAAATCGATCAGAATCACCGCATTTCAAAGTTCCAGGATCTTCAAAGATAGTGGTCTAAAGAAAGTCCAAACTGAAGCTCTGAAGTGACTCTGAAACACAGATCCAACAAAATGCCCACCGCCTTTGATGATCATGCAAGGATCGAAGAGAAAGATCGCCATGCGATGAATTTCCCGGACCTGCGGCTGTCACAAAATGCCCAGTTCCACCAGGCGCACAGCCCATTTCCACTGGATGGGGGTATGCTGCAACTACTCAATTGTCGCAAATTTTGGAAACCATTCAGCATCTTCTATCAAAATTCTATCCCAGTCACGTAAACAATATAAGCGATGTGGATCCTGACCTACTTGATATTTTAGATGTTTGAATAACTTTTGGGATCTAAACGCAACATCTTCATACCCAAGCAAGTACTTAATCATCTGCAACATGAGAGTTGTTATAGTTGTTCATTCAAAAACCATCTGATATAGTTGATATATGTTGATATATGTTGATATATGTTGATATACATCTGATATACAATTCGATGCACCTTCAATCGCACTTCACGGAACATTCCATGGATCCGACGAATCCACCCACCTCACCGTGGGCAAGTTGCCGCACGAGGAGCTGAGCCAATGGTGCGGTGGCGCGGCTGTGAAGCTATGAAGGTGGGATGTGATCGATGGCTGTGAGTCCTGAGGTTATTGGGTATCAAGAAGAGAAACTGAGTGACATGAATGACATGAATGATAGTTGTATATATGTGAAGGCATTGAGTGACTGAATGTGACTGAAGCGCTTCAGCGAACATGTCCACTGACTCTACAGGACCCAGTGACGTTGGACTCTCGCGGCTGGTGCAAACCCACCACAATACCCACACCACCGGCTGGATTGATTTGACCAACGCTACGAAAGGGTGTCAGCGAACTCCACCTACCACAGGGGATACATCGGGATGAATGAAGACCATTAGGATGCCATGCGCACCATGCAGCGCTAGGGTTTTGATCCATAGTTACCGGCTTTGTCTGAGAATGGGTGGCACTGCAAATAGCAAAATGTCAACATGGGAAATGAAGGGCAACCCCCCCATTTTATGGTCATGTTCAGAATATGATGTCAGGTTTGAACATGTTTGAACAGTGGATTTTGGAGATCCAATTGCCCACCATATAAATACAATATATATACAGTATATATATAATATATGGATATACTGATTCATACTGATTCATATGATATTGGGATCACATCAGTCCACGTCCTGGTACTTGGCAGGAGGCTGCCTCAAACGGACGCAGCTTTCTGGACTCCAACTTTCGCGTCCTTCCGCTACACTGGGCAACTCTGACCTGTTGACCCCCGTGAACAACCACGAAGGGTCCAGTCATGGGCCAAAACGGGGTGCCCAACAACATCACAATAAGCTGAATATCATTGAGATATATCAATCTACTTGGGAATACGTGTCCTTGGAAGTACTTGGGTGGTGGCTACAACATGCCACCAGCATCAACAACCACCACCAATCTGTTGAAACTGTAGGGGCACCCCATCTGGCCATGGAGATGATTCGAAGCAGCCACGGCCCAAGGGTAGACCCTGGACCCACTCATCATCTTAAAATGCACCGGTCATGGGTTGACCGGCAACAACCCCCAGGGCCAGATTCAGGTCTGGCACCGTGCAAAGGCATTACAAAGGCACAAACGCAGGTGCCAGAAACCATGACTCATCATGAATTGAGATGGCCTTAGTTTGGAAAGCTTTCCGTTGAATCTGTGTGGCCATGGACGCTTAGGTGAAGGGCGTGAAATGAAGCAAACATTGCATAAAAAACATGTTGACTTGACCTAGCTGAAGGTCTCCGGCATAGTCTTAGAGCTGTTTGCGCAATGAAACATGTTGACAAAAGAAACAACAGCAACTGCGATCAAGAGCAACTGCCTCCTAACCCCGCATATTGACAGCAATAATCCACAACTAGCACACCCACGATGATCCCCATGTAGCCTTAGAACCAGTCAGAACCAGTTCAAACCTACAACAAGCCCACCTTCCTTATGCTGACAGGCGTCATTGAACCCTGCCAGGATCTTGGGTCTCAATGCTTTTGGTTTGCCCATCAGGATTCCTGTCAACACAAGGCACCAGAGCAACCATGAGGTCTTATCATGAATTGGCGTGGGGAGTTCTTGTGTATTTTAAGAGCTTCTGCCATCAACTGAAATGACCCCTTTGCCCTCCAATAATATGTTGAGGACTGGACTTGAGCAAAGAACATATCATGGTTGGCCCGCAGGAAGATGTTGCACTACTCACAAGTGACACCATATTGGATGATGTGAAAGCAGCATGCATACTACCAGCACTACATTGAGGATATGAAGTTCGTCAAACACCGAAAATCCGTTTTTGTCACATGCCATGGCTCACCCACGAAACGACCATTCAAAATCTAAGAGCTCTCCCTCGAGCTTGGTACCTGAGCCACCTCTGCGGTTTCATCCTCAACCTGTGCACAGCTGCAGGATGTTCAACACCCAAAGTGGCATGATGTGTGTCGAGCTCCATCATCAACAATAGCATCGCGTTGTCAGGGTTCCAACCCAAATCCAGCACATACCTTAAATATCCTTAGAGTCTCATAAATTCTAGCCCTTAAAATAGCATTCGGAAAGGAACAGTATTCAATCCATTTAAATCCTACATATCTTGACTGTACATCCCATCAACCCATCCCCCCCATCGCTTCGTGCTCCGGGCACCTTGGCTTCCTTGCGCTTCTTGCGGAGCTTCAGCTCCTGAAACGTCGCCAGGCTGCCGTCCACGAAGTCCTGCAGCTCCGCCTGCGCCAGGATAGGCAGCAACGATCAGCAACGATCAGCAACGGTGAATCCAGGGGGCGGGGACGAAGCTGTTGAAAACATGGGGAGATTATGGGAATAGCCTAGGGCCTAAGGCTGGGCTATGGGCTGCTTACCCCTCGAAATGGGATGGAATGGAATTGCAGTCAATGTTGTGTGAATTCAGGTGTTCATAGGACTAGTTTTGCGTTTCGTAACGGATTTTGCAGAGACTTTTGCTGATCTGTGCAGGTTGAGCGAGGTCGTGACTTGTGCTGGGCCTGCTTCTCATCTCTGGTCTTGGTGGCGGATTTGTACTCCGTCTTGTACGCCTAAGGTTTGCAACCGGATTCTTCCACTGAACTCAAAAAGAACCAAAGTACCCGGATCTTTCTCAAGCCTTCGCACCCCAAGAATACATCAAAATGATTTGATCTCACTCATCATCTCATCTCGTTTCTACAGAAACAACACGAAATAAGTAAACCCCGTTTTTTCATTGGGTGTGCCGTGATCTTTCCATTTTTGAAGGAGAAATCCATCTGCAGCTTGATGCTGAAATCCTCTCGACGCCAAAGTGCTGCAACCGCCTCCTTCGCTTTGCTGACGCCGGTGGAGGCCTCTTTTTGTGCCTCCCAGTGAGCACATCAGGTGCTCCAAGATTTCCAAGGGGCTGGATGGCAGGGGTTTCAACGGTTGTGTGGGTGGTGAGCACGCCTAACAATCAAAAAGAACCAGCGAATCAAGTTGCGGAAAGGTATACTGAAGGAGTTTCACTTCGTGCGGAGCAGTTGACCGGAACGGTACAATGACCCGCTGGTGCCTCCTTCGCTGCACACAGGGCAGTGGAAGCCTGTTGCACCAAAATCGGGTCACTTGGGATCTCAGAAACATTCGGGTGATGCCCAGAGCTGAACGTGGAACAAAGACTCCAAAACCAAAATCTGTTTTAGGTTTTGGGTTGTTTATGTCTCTGTGATCCTTGTGGCTTCTGTGTTTCCCCCTTGTTTACGATTCTTGCGGATGAAGAACTGGACGAAGTACATGATTCCGGCCAATATCTATGGAGGCCCCTTTTGGAATGGCCCCACTTATCGGTGCCATCCCTCAATGGCTGGGCCTTCTGCTGAGCCTCCTCAGCCGAAGCCAGTTCCTGGCACCAAAGAGTTGCGTAGCCAACGGATCTCTTAAGGTGGAACGGTTTCCGACATGCTGCAGGCTTTCTGCAGTGTATATTAGTGTATCATGTAAGGGCAACTCAAATGTATAGGCGTTAGATGGCGTTAGATACATTCAATTGATTTACCTTCTTTCCAATAAACATATTTATGGAAATCGCATGGGTTCTTGGGAAAATGATCTACAAATGATGGGTTACCCGGTTCTCCATCTCCACAGGTGCCAGAAGGTCCCGGGTCCCTCCGTACTCTCCTTCTGTGCTCCATCCACTGCGCCCTGGCGCTCGGCGACTCCCGGCTGCGCTGCTGCGATGGCGGCTTTGAACCTCCGAGAATCTAACGTGGCTGGCTGGAAAATCTTCCATTTATCAATAGTGGATTTTCCCATTGAAACCTGAAACCTATTAAAACCTCCATTTACAGGGGATTAACCATGGTTAACCATAGGTTGGGTTTAACATGGAATACAGGGGTTTTTCCATTTGGGGACCGTTTGTTATAGGAAAATACCATGTGTAGTTGATTTTATAAAACTGGCGTTTTATCATGGTCCCAAAAGAACTTGGGTTGCATATATATATATACACATATGTCCACTTATGACTATTTGACTAATGGAGGTAATCCTGAAATGTTGCCTGATGGTGAAAAGATGGTGAAAACTCCAAACATCTCCATGTTTTTCACTGTGCTCTTTTAATGTGGTTGTGGACCCTTGAGGTTCTCATATGGTTGGAATGGACCGATATGCAATACCCATGGTGACATGTTTGCGTAATAAGCTTGAGAAATGATCTCTTTGAGGATGTTCTTGGAAAGTAATGGACCAATTCTCAAAGCAAAAGGTGTGTACTGTATGTTTGGCATCCCTGTTTCCAGCCAAAGCACTCAGCAATCTTGCTCTCTAGGCTTTTCTCCAGCTCGTCAATGACCTGCAAGAAAAGGCTTGGTGGGCATCATGGAGTCTCACCCTCGTCTTGCGATAAGTGAGATTGCATGTGTGGTGCACGGCACGCTTCCATTCAAAATGAGCCCATTCTTGAGAGCTCTGGGAAGGGGAAGGATCTTATGTATAGCGAAGTTGCGGCATGGTGAACAGTATGCAAGTAAGTCATAAATCAAGAAGGAAGTTTGTTTTCGATGGTTTAAGTACGTTGGCATGCTGATACTTGCATGCCACAAGAACTGGCAACCCTCCCAAGTCTTCCCGCATGATTCACAATATTCTACCTGTTCCTCCGTTTTAGTGCGAAAACCAAATCCCCTCCACGAACCCTAATTACTTCAGTGACTCAGTTGTCTGGGTGTCCGGGGCTGTGCCATCAAAGCTTCCCCGTTCGCTCGGAGTCTTGGTGAGAACTCCAGGCACCTGATGCAGTCATCAAGTGAGGGTCATGCTGAGGATAGCATGCAGGGTTTAAACCTACAAACAAACACATACAAAAACCAAATAGCAGTCTTGGTCGAAAAGAATGTGTGTCCGCCGGGGTCAGTTATAATGACGATGAAGAGTGGAAAGAGTTCAAAATGTGTGATATGACTCACTATCGCCCGGCCAACTATATGGCACCAGTCGAACCAGTGGAGCAGGGACCTGTATCGGAAAGATTTACACAGCCAAATCAGCAATCAAATGGTTGATTTCTCATGATTTCTTTCTTCCATCCTTATCCCCCCGAGCTTTCGACACCATAGATCCACCACAGCTTGAGCCCAGCCGCTGTCGTGCGCAGGCTCTTGTCCATCTCTACGAGCTTCAAGGCCGGCCTTAGCGATGCTCAGGTTTCTGAGTCCAAGCAGCGGCAGTAAATTAACATGGATGTGGAAAACCTACCGTTTGTAGATCATTTTCCACGTCTAATGATGTTCGTTTACCCTAGGGTATCACCCAAAGTCCACGCAGAAACGGTTTCATAATTTCTTCCTTCAAGTTTCACATAATTTCACATACTATAGTTTCACCCATCCCAACCTCTTCCACCTATACCCGTCCAGGTTAGGAAAATTCCTGATCAACAATGATATATCAATTACAGTAAAGGCTTCATACAAACAAGAATTTCCCGGATTATTTGGCTCAAATCCCCAAAAAAAAAGCTGGTTGGACCGCCATAAGATTCCCTTAAATCCTATCAACATAGTAAATCATCATTTTATGAACTCCCGTTCTTGTTGAGAATCCTTGTTGGGTACCAACCCCTTACCCCTTCGGGGGCTTCCACCCGGCCGTTTCCTGCCGCGCGGCTCCAGCTTCTTGAAGGCTGCCTTGGCCTCGGCGCCCGCTACGCTGCCCAGCTTCAGGGCCTCGAAGGCCTCGTTCTTCGAGAGCTCCAGCAGCTCCTGTGGCAGCAGGTCCCAGAAGGCGGGGCCTGGTGTAGAACAATCCATGGATTTTCTGGTGGATCTGGTAAGAAGAAACAAGTTTGATCAACTTTGTAGATGTTCTTGGAGGTGGTAGATCATTTGTGAAAGTTGAGTGGTTTGCTGGAAGAAATGAGGTGGATAGAACATCGGCAATTGAGAAACAAGAAAATGGAAAATGCTATACCAGAATCCATGTACGAACGCTCGTGGCCCAATTTTGACCTCACGAGCAACTCTCGAAGCCAGCTTGGTTCATTTGCCATTTGGGTACCCATTTGGGTGTGGTGTGGTGCAGAACCCAACATTTCAAAACCCGTCGCAAACAGCTTCCACGCCTTGTCTGCAACAGTCTTCTCGACATCTGCATCTCCTATTTCAGGAGTGGCGCTAGATCACTTGGCAAAGCAAAAGTAATGCCTCCTCAGTTCTCCATGTTTGGTTGGATAGCTGCTACAATATAATTATATATAATTATTTCACTTTTTATGAATATCCCCAAGCAAGGGACGCTACCTAAATTAAAAACGGCAGCGCTGGTCGTGGTGATGATGGATCGTGGATGATCATGGACCATCCGCCAGGTCCGCCAGGCCTTCTTTTTGTTCCTTGCTTCTCTGGGTCAAAGCGGCCTTTGCTTGCACCAGGGCCTGGGGGCAGCAGAAATTACAGTCGTCAACCGTGGTCACTTGGGATCATCTCAGAAGATGAACGTGAGAATATTGACATGTGAGTGTGGATATGCATCTTCAATATACATTATATTATATATATATTTATTTATTTATTTACATGAAAACAATAATATATGTCCAAAAAAGTCCACAAGAATGCTAGAGCCTAGAGTCATCTAGAGTCTGGCAGCCGGTTCCTGCTGAAGAGAGCAAACAGCATCTCATGTTGAAGGGAAAAGTGACTTGATTGTGTGGCCAACACAACTTCCTTCCTGATGCTACCTTCACATCCGCACACAAACAGGGACCAACCCATCCGCAAATCCCAACCCTTTTTGAGAATCGATAGCTCGGGCCCTGCCTCGGAGGCGTGCTGAAGCTCTTCATTTCTGCTGGCCGTGAAGGCTTTGGCTTCCTTCAGAGCCTCCTCTGCAGCCTGCAAGGGCTGCTTGGAAAGGGGCCCATCCCTCCACTGCAGCCAATTGGGGATGAGGTGCATCTGCACTAAGGTCCTTGTAAACTTAAATTTACCTGCGGAAAAAAATCTCAAAGACCATGCATAGACATGTTTTTTTTTCGAAACTGTTACCAGTATATAGCTTCATTATGCTTCATTCTTCATTTGGTATGAGCTTCATCTGCCAGCTTCATTTAAGGACATTGGTTGCATCTCTGAGACATCCCCATTGCAGTTTCCGAGTTGCAGGGGCCTTGCCCCCCCCCCGCGCCTGAAGTTTTCGTTCCAAGTCCTCTTTTGTTGCTTCTGCGCCTGCTATGGAAGGTTCCTTACTCTACATCTTTCATGCAACTTGGTAAGTTATGTAAACTACATATGTGTATGCATATATATATATGTGTGTGTGTGCTTATATATATATGTGTGTGTGTATGTATGAAAATGTATGTATAAGAAACCTGGGGCATCAAGTCCCACTCAAGCACGGCCATGGAAAACAGAGCGGCATACGACTCCCCACCGTGGCTCTTGCAAATTCTTGCAAGTTGGGGCCTGCTACCTTCTGGTTCTCCTGGTCCAAAGCCAGCTGCAAGCCGCCCAAGATCCTCAGCTGGCAGCCAAGTTTAATTGGCTACCCCGATTTCGGAAAGTTTTGCTGCGAATTCTGCTCTGTGATTTCTCACTGCTGCCGTACTTGTGCCTGCTAGGACTGTCAATGCTGTAGCAATTCCACACTGCTATTGCCTTTGCTGTTGGTCAACACGAACTTGCGCGTCAGGAGCCGAGGCGGTCTTGGAACTATATGGATAGGCTGGGCTGGGCACGTTTTTTCTGAATGATTTCACGTGATTTCACTAATGATTTCATGCACTGAGCTTGAGGTGCATTGCTTATCCGTGATCATACGTACATGACAAACACATCTAGAGTGAGTCTTAGAGATGCGGCTGGTCACCCCGCTAGGGACCCGCATAAGCATTCGCAAGCTACCGGAATTCATTTGAGTTAGGCCAGCATGCCACATCTGACATGGTCTATCAATATGGTCCATCAATGTTCTTGAAGCCATTCCGAACCATTCCGAACCCACATCTTCACAGGCTCCAGGCTGCAAGGCTTCCATATCACATCTGCAGCCAAGGCTCTTGGATAGTGCCTGGGGGGCGATGAACCAAGCTGAGCAAGAGAAATATAGCAACTAATCGCTGGGAGGATTAGCTTCATAGGATTTTAATGGATTTAAAATTTCCCGGGTCTGCAGTTTTTGGGAGCTCGGGGAGACTTTGCTAGCGGTGTTGGGGTTGGAAGCTTTTGAGCAATGTACAACTCGCTGGCGCCCTTGAAGGGCTACTTTGGTTACTCCATCGGGCAGAACTCCATGAACCCACCTGGCTGCGCAGCATCCACCCCGTTGCTTCCTTTGATCACACGGCACCACAACGAAACTGTCAAGGAGACCCGAGACGCGTCACTGATCTTCACGGGTGGCTTTTTGATCCTTGAGACCTTTCAGCGTGGCACCATGGCATGATGATCCCATCAACATATTGGGTTTGACCTGAAGGCCTGAAAGCAGTAGGTGTCTTGAGCAGGCAAGCCCTGCTGAGGAGGCATCCAAATTGGTCTCATCTGGGTCCGGTGCGAATTAAGAGCCGCAGCTCGCAACTTCTCTACTTAACAAATTAGAACCCTCTTCCTGGCCACCCCCATGTAAAGATTCCACTGGAAGATACTGGAAGTCAGTGAGTGGCAACATGTTGAGCGATCTGTGAGAGCATAATCGGTTCATTGTGAATCACTTTGGTAGTTTGGAAGCCCGTTTCCCTTACAATCTGAGGCAATCTGCACCTTCGGTGGCCATCAAAAGAGGACGGCCATCTGGCCCTGTTGCAGTGCGTCGACACATACGACGCTACAATCACAACCCCTGCGATTGCAACCAGATCTTCGAACTGTCACGAAACGGCGCCACCAAAACGCACCAAACGCCCCGTGGGAATCAGGGCCCACAGTTGGTGAGTCTCAGAGCACCGCTTGCCCGCTATATCCGTTACAACCAGGCATCAGCTGAGCAAGTGCAGTGTGGAAAAGATGTTAAAAAGGTGGAGGAAATGTTCGGATGGCTGGGTTTAGCTTCAGAACCATGGGCAAGTGTTGTTTTTCTATCCATTGTTGATTCATTCCGAGCCAACGCGCACACACGCAGACACATATACGTTAATCATTCATCTATACCTACCCAAATAGATCCAAATAACATTAAATTAAAGAGAATATGTTTATCCATGCAGGTAATGTAAAGATGTATAAGGGATGGTAATACCAGCAGGATCCAGCTCATAGCAATCTAAATATCTGCATTCCGGGGCGCACTTGAGGAACTAAATGTTGCCGGATGGCTCCTGTTCATTCTTTGCACTGCTTCAGCTGCCACACAAAAATTGCGCGGCCAGCATGGAAAGAGATAAACCCCGCACCGTGGTCAGCGCTCAGCACGGAGGTGGGATTTCCGGTGAGCCGGGCGATTCAACAGTGATCTTCGGACATGTTGTCATGATCTGTCATGCATGTCTAAAGTGTAAAACCAGTATTTATAATCATTATATAATAATATGATACTGATATATATATATACCAGTTATGAGTAGGCGGATTGAAGTCAAGCAAGTCTCCAAATGGTCTTTCCTTTATGGCCACGGCCCACCTTTGATCCAGACCCAATCACGAGATCTTCGGCGTCTTCGAAGGTCCGCCTGTGAAACTGTGGCTACTCAGCAGCCGCCGCCAGCCAATGACATGGCCTGAAAATTCACCAGATTTGGGATGAGTGAAAATTGGGGTAACTGGGGTCACTGGTGGCAAAATGTTTCAGGAAACCATCGATTTCAGCAGCTAAATATCGGGGAATGTCTGGTCAATATTCCCTTTAAACTTAAAACTGAAAGAATTGCAGGAATCATTTCAACTTCAACTATATAATTGCCGGCGATGAAAAAAATTGTTGATTCTCGAATCTGAAATTTGGACCAAGCACCAGATTTTGTGGTTTCGCTGATTTTCCACTGGTTTCCCCAAATATTTTATGAGTAACCCCGGTCTGAATCGAAAGATCACAGAGTTGCAGTATACCAAACTCTCTCAACTAGGAATCATCAAATTTCACCGGAGTCCTTGGACTCTAAGAGGTACATTTAAAATGAAGAAACCACCTCATGGAAAAACTACGCACAAAACAAAATACGTATACAATGTATACATGTTTTCTCTCTTTCCCACCAACATATCAAGACCCAATCAGGCACTTTCCAGGCACATTCACCTCACTCCATGCCCCGTATTTACTGCACCTCAGCCATCTTGACTCGCATGGCCTTGGCGGAAGGCTGCTGCAAATAATGACCATCAAGTTTTGGGAATCCCTAAGGTGAATCTAGAAATAGCTAGGACCATAATTAGTCACTAGTCATCATATGTCATAATTATCAATTGGATTCCACCAGCCCCCGGGATTCAGGTCCAATATGGTCCAATAACAAGGGTTTCTCATTGAAGGGGTCACCCTTGGGTGGGCGGTTGAACCTCATGAAATTAGACAAGCGACGGCAGGGAGCTGGTTGAGATATGCCTCCTTCTTCCTCGGCGCTGCGGGATGCTGAGAGGTCCACTCACCACCAACATAACAAGATGATACAAGATGGACATGGATATGTTTTGGATACACCAAAACAAGATGCTGGATGTTTGGTGGTTTTCCTCCTGTGGCAATTACCTCAAATGGTTTTAAATTACTGATCCAAAATGCTTGTCCCCCATCACATCAGGATGGTGAGGCACTTGGAGGTCTTCAGCTTTTCCAACTCCTCCAAGTGCTTCATGACGGCAGTCTTCCTGGGCCCGTGACTGCTCGATGATGATGGTGATGGTGACACTGATTCATGTGACATCATTACCTTCGCATCTGAAAGCGTTGTGTTTGTCACCTCAATATCCAGCATATCCAGGAGCTCCAGCATTGGCAGATCACAGAATGACTTCCACAGACTCAAGGCGTCAAGTTTGACGCACGGCTTCTCAAATCCATGGCTGTGCTTAAACACCACGTTTGTTCACGTTTGTTCATCCCCCAATATATGGGGAGGCGCCGAACCCAACAATCAATTCCACTTGGTGGGTATGGTCTAATTGGTAATGACAAATAACAGCTCTCAAATGGTTAAAATTCAGTGTGGTCGTCTATTCCTTGGCTAACCGCATTCCTGTAAAAACTAGCTTGCCCTGGACAACCCATTGATTGCATGGTGCGGTTTGCCAGTATCTTTACCACAAATCATTGGTTTGCTATCAAGTTTCGACTGGTAAATTATCCTTTTGATTCTGGATGATTCTTGAATCACCCAAATCCATCTAAATCCCATATCTGTTCCCTTCAAAATAAGATTACTGTATCCGTTTTGAGACTGGGAATTTCGGAAAAAAAAAACTGATGTCTTCAGATCCCATCAAAATCATCTAAAAATCTCCGTTCGCTTCCCCCTTCCCCAGGCATCCAAGGCTCTTCTTCGGCGACCCCCTGGCCTCCGCCTTCGCCTTGGCTTCGGCCTTAGCCTTTGCCTTCGGTGCCGCCTTCGCGGGGCCCTTGGAGCTGCTGGCCGCATCTGCGCGCAGGATGGTGGATGGGGTGGGATGGGGCGGGTGCCGGGTGGGGTGTTTTCCGGGGTAGGAAATCTATGGAAAATTGTAGGAACATGTAGGAAAATGATGATCAATATTTGAAGATGGAACAGTTTGGTGCACATGCTTCCAACCTGCATGAGATTAAGTACTTGAAGACTTGTCAAACGTATATCAAAATATTGGACAAATGATGGAGCCCACCTGATGCAGCCTTCTCATGGCGGGCAGCTGCAACCTGCTCGGCAACTTCCAGGAGTGTGGGAGGCCCCAACCTTGAAGGTGATGGAAGCGCCACCGCATGTTCCACGCGCTGGCGCATTGGGCTGGACCTGGGGGCAGAATGAAATGGTGAAACTTGGGAGAAACTAGGGTAACTACACTTGAACATACGGATTTTTAAATATATGAACAGGTATTTTAGACTACCTCCGGGGAGGCATTTAAACATACGGAATCCAATTCATTTAAACATACGGTAACTACATTTAAATATACGAACTGATATTTCATGCTACCTCCGCGGCGTCGCGGTCTGGCCCGCCCTCCACATATTTAAATGTCGTTACCGTAGCTGTGACCTACAAAATCTACACTCATCTGGGCCATGAGGGAAACACCATCTAGATCTTGACCTTGGGTGTCATTCCATCCACTAAAATGATATCTCCTTGCTCGCCAAAGGGTGGCTGATTCATCAATGGAATCAAGATGAATCAAGGCGAATCAAGGCCCAGGCAATTTGCTCAAGTACTTCTCCTTTTGCTTCTCAGTCTTGAGCTTCTTCACCTCCTCAAGCAGATCATGGAGACCGACTTGAAGCTACAGGTCCCATGAAGAGCGCGAAATATAAGTCACTTGGACTGAAAATCACGGGTGAATTAAGTCAAACCAAATCTTATTGGTGCCCCTAGAGTTTCCTCGTTCTAAACATCTTCCAGGCCCCAACCTTTTCCATCCAAACACCTTCCCCCATCCTCCACGTGTCTCTGGCACTCATCGACCTCCGGAGCACTCTCCGCCTTCTCGGCCGCACTCTCCGCCGGTGCGCTGGCGTCCTTGGTCTCCTCGGCCGCGGACATGAGTTCGGCCACCTTGGTCTGCATGTTCAGCGTCAAGTTGCTCAAGTACTTCTCCTGCAAAACATCTTGGAAAAGAAAACAACCTTGGAAAATGTTTGGGGGCGGAGTGCTGGTGATTTTGTTTTAGGAAGTTGATGGGAAGTTTATCTTTGGGAGTTTTGGCCGTCAGAGCGGGGTGGAATATTGAAACAAACCACAGTCAACCGTTACTAACAACTACACATGCGAGTCTTGCCGTCAAAGAAATTGATGAAACAAAATCAAGCAAACGCTCCGCCAGACACCCCTAAAAAGGATGGAAATCAAGCAACCCCCGTTTCTGACTAGTTAGTAAAACCATGTAAAACCCCAGATCACATTACCCCACTTGCTAAAAACATACCATTTGGGCATTTAGGTGGATATCTACAGTATGTCACGTTGATATAGCAGAAAATTGCAAGATTTTACCAATAAAGTATTGGGCGAGAACATCTGGCTGATGTCGTCGGACATACTCGATGTGGTGGGGTGGATGCTGTGCTAGGCTCCAAAAGGTTCAGCACCTTTCATGAATGATCAAGAGAAAATGAACATCCATGATGTCAACCCCGGATCAATGAGATGCAAATGAATAATTCAAAGCACCCTTTATCATTTCCCACTGTCTGGAGGTGAGCCCTAACATTTTTTTTTCTTCACTTCAGAGGCGAAACATGACACCTCAATCATCCCATTACCATCAACTCATCTCCAAGCAGGGTCATAACATGTCATAACACTCGCTGTATGCATATACTACCACTACCATATATGATATATTTTTGTACGGATCAAAGTAAGGCAACCGAAAATTTCAGGATGCTTTGAAGATGCTTCATATTGAAACTCACCAAAAAAATGGTTGATGTTTTAACGACCTAAAATAGCTAAAAATGGGGGAGAGGGGGAACAAAAAAACATGGTCCCTCCCTGGACTTTAAACTAAGATTTCCTAAAATGGAGGTACCCCCAAATCATCCAAGTCACAATGACCACTTTAGAATTGAAACCTATGGTGACCCTACCCCCCCCATGCCCGGTCCCTCTGCTTCTCTGTGCGCAGCTTCATGAGCTCCTAAAACGGAGGTGGAGCTCCGCTCAACGGGGCAGGATACCATCTTTTCTTGGAGTTTAAATGGCAAGTTGAACTTATGATGGGTCTACCCTCTGATAATCAACTACCTGACAATGAAAATTTGAACATACATCAATAATTATTTCAGGGGATTGAACATGGGGATTTCCCGTTGCCTCGTTGGATTGGTAGCATCTGGGAATCAAAAGTGCAAAACTGTTGTGCTTTCGATGATGCAAATGTTCACGGATTTTGAAGTGCCATGGTGGATTGCATGATTTCCGAAGGTCATAGAGACTTTTGAAGGATAACAATCCCTCTTAAGAATGAAAATAAAAGGGGGATTGAGCGACTCCCAAGTCGAGCCGAACATCTCACCCAAGTGAACATTCTAATGGGCCCATGGGCTGGATATCCACCACCAAAGTCTTCAGGAAATACTGGCATCTGATTCGGTCATTCAGTTTTGTCATTCAAATCAACCCTGCCAATTACCGACTTGGTGTTTAAATGCCCTTCGATCAGAAAACGTGGATACCCAATATAAATGAGGTGAAACTTCCAGTCAAGCAGAACTGGTATTTGGATGCGCTTTGCATCCTCCAAAATGATATATCCCAAGAAATAATCCTGATATGATATACACCATACATCCCCGTAAAGAAATTCCTAGAAACTACGAAATATATCGAAATATGATGATATATTGATATATGATGATATGCCCATTTCATATCATGTCATCCCATTTCATCTCATTTCCCACCAGTTTCCCATCATTTTCCCATCATTTTCCACCATTTTCCCACACCTTCACGTGGTTCTCCGCCGCCGTGGGTTTCTTCGCCTTCTTGGCCTCCGGCTCCGTGGCCGCCGGCGGCGCGGCGGCTTTGCGCTTACCGGCGGCCTTGGGCTCGGCATCGAGGCCTCGGCTTGTGATATGGGGAGACCTTGGATGTTCAAAACAGTGCTAAAGCACGTTAAAAGAATGTGAAAACCTCTGCAACTTGCAGCTTTTTTTAAAATCTCCCTTTCACCAATCCATTGAGACATATGATATATGCCATACCCAGAATATCAGAATATTTATAGTTCATAGATCTCCCTCTCTCTTTGTTCCTCTCTTTCACTAAACTTTTATATATCGTTCTCATGCATCATGCATAAAGATATGTTCAATCAAAAAAAGGAAACATCAGAAAACACGATTGCCAAATCCCCAAAAATGATCTTCAATTACCATACCCCGAACTAACACACCCTGCGAGATAGCGGGCTGGAAGACTACCGTCCTCTCAAAATTGGTGATTTTCAGGATCAAACTGTTAATTTTTAGAATTTCATAAACTAACTTACCCATTGGCAGATGGAACATCACCCATTTGTGGATGATATACAGTACCTTTTAAAACATGGCCATCTTCTATGATTATGATCGTTCATCATTGTCCCCATGATATTTCCAGTATCTACCCCTAGTGTTGATGGCTAAATCATAGTTCCATCTTCCATTTTCATCCATTTTCCATACTTCAAACATCTTCATCCAAGGAATCCAAGGCATCCAAGGCTCTCTTCTTGCCCTTCTTGGCCACCGGCTCCGCTGCTTCCTCCGCCTCCGCCTCTGCCATGACCTCCGCTGCCGCGGCCTCGGCGTCAGCGCCCGTGACGCCGTCGGCGGAGAGGGCCGCGGCCACCTTCATGCGCATGGCGTAGGTGATGCCACCCAGGTACTGGTCCTCTGGCGACTGGTGGTTAAGATATGTTAAGATCAGTTAAGTAAGTTACATGTGGTGAGATAAGACATATCTGATGGAGATTTTGTTCACAGAATTGGTGATGAACTGATGGTTTGGGGCCGGATGCAAAAATGAGCCCAGTGGTGTTGGTTGCAACCACCTTTGAATTTGAAAAGGGTATGTGACTTGATCCTTCCAATCAGCATGCGAAGATCAGTAAACCAAACCAAACCAACAAAATCCACGGTAACAATTATATAACAATATTTAAAAACGTGAGTTGCATCCAAGTTCTTCCCTCTCAGCACATGTCACCGTTTTGATCACTTCCATCCTATTACATCCATGGCCGTCGGACATGTTTCCATCCATCCACACTCATATACCCCATGCATATCTCCAAATCCATATGTAATTCATGTATGAATACCAATGCCTCAATATGCCTCAATACATCAACATCTCATGGTCAGAATAAGTTAGAATATCCCACATCATCCCATATCCTTACCCATCTCATCCCTCCTCCATCCCCCCATGTATCCCATGTCTCCTTCTCTTCCTCTGTTTTCAGTTTGCTGAGATTCTCCAGGTGCACGTCCACTGCGCTGCTGCCTCTGGGCTTCTTGGCTGGTGGGGCTGTTGAGGTGGAGGGCACCTCCTCCTCTGTGTCCTTCTTGTTCTTCCTGGAGCTGATGGACATTGGACCCCAGGGCATCATGGGTTTTCAACGGTAAGAATGGATGAAAATGGAACCTGAACCATCCAAACATGGAGATTTTACAGGGTTGAACCATCCAAAATTGCTATTGAGTGCCAACATTAGAATGGGATTTTGTAGGTACAGTAAATAATCTTGAATGGGGGATGAAGCAAAGTATGTTTGATCATCCAGTTACGACTACTGTGATGAGTTTTGGTTTCATGGGTTGTCACTACCGTTTGGGGTTGTGGGACCTCATTCTTTAAGTAGTAGAGGCCCAGCGTTGAAGTGGCGGCATCATGAAGGTTGGTCAACGGTTGGTACTGATTACCAACAAACATATGGAGATGATCAAGATGAAAGCACGCAAGAACTAGGGTACAACCCATTCGCCGGAAGACTGGCATCCCTGCATCGAAAAAGGCGTCCTTGAGACCCTCAGGTGCACAGCAGCCTTTGTCGGAGTGTCAGCCTTTGAGGCCGGGTGGAATGGAACATTTGCAATGGCAAATTGCAAGGACTATATGCAGACTTCAGATCTCTTGAAATCAATGGTTTGACACTAACATACACTAACTATAGACCCGGAAATTGGCGGAACAGAACCTCTTGTCTTGATAACATTATGTTTGACTCGTGTCCTGAAACACTTCCCAAAAAAGCAGAGAGTTGTTCAATGCATTCATGTGAATCAATGCTGCTCGCTGACGTGCAAAGAAAATCTCTGTCTCATCCAGCCGTCAAGCCGCAAATGTCCAAAATGACGGACCCAACAAAGATTTTTGAAGAACAAATTCTTAAATCAGTGGCTGAACGAATCCCAAATATCGATACATATCACAAATCCACCTGTGCCATGGGTCAACCTCACCCTGCCTGCTTGGATCCCTTGGGCGACTCTGTGACCTGGGTTGATGACGGGTTCATCAAGAGATGGAGCCATAATGTGCTTCCACTGTAGGCCTAAATCCTGAAAACAACCCCGCCTTTCCATGCCTTTCCACTAGAATGAAAGAGATTTAGAGTCGACTAAAGCTCGCCCCTAATCTGAAGCTACATCGTTTATGAACCCATCACCCCATCCCCACGCCTGGGCCTTCGGGGAAGTCTTTGGGGAGGTCTTTGGGGAGGTCTTCGCTCGCTTGGCTGGGCCTAGGGCATCCGTGATGGAAATCCAGGGCCGTTTTGGCCGTTGTCGCCACCTTTTGTGGAGGGGTATGCTCCCAAGTTCAACAGAATTCATCGAGCCGAAAACAGCCAAGTTCACCATGGGTCTGACCTGGATCTTCAATTATCTTCAAGACAATGCCCATATCATATATGCCCATTGCAGTAGCCAGTCTCACAGTGTCTCATGCTGGCTCCAGACTGCTAACAGTCTAATTATGTCTAATTAACCACTTTGCAACAGTCTTGGAACAAATTCCGCCTAACCCTGATGGTCCTAGAGTCCCTAGAGTCCCTAGAGTCCTAACCTTCGATTACTGGGCACAGAAAATCATGGATTCGCCATGATTCGGCCCCAGTTGGCGCCAAGCTTCGGGTCACCTCTTCGGTGGGCAAAACTGAGGTCGGCAGGGAAGCGGCCGCCTCAGGTGCCGAGGGAGGTGACTAACATCGATGGGAGGATCAACGGGGATCATTTGGGGATCATTTGGGGGTTACTTGGGGAGGTTTACCCTCTGACAATCTCTTGAAGCTGTCCTTTCTTGACTATGAAGTTCTTTTCTTAGTTGATTTCCAGAAAGAATCCCAGCAAAGTGACGAATTGCCTCAATCTGTTTAATACCTCCGGATCTGGGTATGTGTAATCTGTATCTATATCATTTATATCATTTATATCGACATCTGCATCTGTATCTTTATCTATGTGTATGCTTATATGTCTATTGTCTATCTGCCTATCTATCTACAGTACCTATCTGTCTGTGTGTCTGTCTAACTTTTTCTCTATCGATCTAGCTATATAATGCTATATCTATGCATATCTATGCAATAGTTTAGTTTGCCTCCTCTTCAACTGAACGAACGGGTTCATTGATCTGGGTGGAGCTTCCTTCTCATTCTGCACGCTTCTGGTGGGAACTTCATAAAATTTAAGTCCGAGGGGTGCCGGTGCCTTTCAAATACAGTATATAATGAGTCGGAAGGATTTCCCTGAATGGGGCTTCAACCGCTCGTCCAAGCAAATCACTACAAGTGAACTTGAGCAGCTGCCATAAAATGACCAGCCAACAAAATGCAGAAAATGGCAGAAACAGAACCGAATTCTAAACATTCTAAACCAACAAGAGTCTGAGGTTACTCCGTGCCCCTGCCCATTATCACCATTATCGTGCCTTGACGTCACCAGGGGCCTCTGCGACTTCCGCGACGGCAGCGACTGGCCTGGGGCAAACTACAGGCACTAGAACTCTCCAAAGGATGCATCTATTTTATGTCACGCATGTTGTGTCACACATGTTACACCTGTTGATATTTATGCGCCAAATAATCCACATATAGATATCAAAATGAATGAAAGTATATGACACAATATGACACACATGTTCATGAGATCAGGACAACACATGAAACTATATCTCATACTGGCCGCAAACCACTGCGACTGAAGTTTCTTCCGACCAAATCCCTGAAAATCCTGAGGCCTCTGAGGCCCCGTCTCGGATGCCGTCTCGGGCTCTTGCACGGCGTCATCCTCCTCCTCTTCCTCCTCAGCCTGGAAAGTTGGGAAATTCCCCTGAAATCTCAGCCACCATGGGATCATCCCCCACCTCCTCAGCATCATCCCGGGCTGGGAACCTTGGCTTTCTGGCCACACTGGGTCAGAGATAACCTCTAAGCGGATGAGGAAAATATAGTTGCCTTCACCAGTACCAAATTGGGAGTTCAATTGGATTCAACTGATTTCACAAACTGAAATTGGGTCTTGAATGGTTTGCCAAGCATCGAAAACACATCAAACGTGGAAAGAAATGGGCTTAAAAATGCAATAGATCTAATAAAACCCGGGATGGAAAGCAATTCCAATGCCCAATCAGCAAGATAGCGGGTTCCAAAAAATAGAACAAATCGCCGCTCCATCATGATGGCATTTCTTGGTTTCCTGAAACACGCCTTCACATTCTTGGCTATTGAATCCATTCAAATCCTCATTGTGCTGGTTTCTATAATCCTCCTTTTCTGCTGGTTAACATTGGCTAACACCTCCACTTGGGCCCATCTGGAAATTGGGTAGCACCAAATATGCTCGTTCATGCAATGGTTGATCATCATCAATCATCAATCATCAATCATAAATCATCAATCATCAATCATCCACCATCAGCATCATCATCATCATCATCATCTGTCCAATAAAATTGCCATAAACTACACCTCATTTTTGCTCCTTTTGGGCCGGAAATGGGCAGATTCCCATCCTCCACAGGCTCCACAGGCTCCGCAGGTGCCACGCCACTGGTCCAACTGGCTCTTCCTTGGCCTCTGCGCGGCGCGGCGCGCGCGCTGCCGCGCACGTTCCAGCTCTGGGGCAGCGCCGCTGCCAGGCGCCAAGGCGGTACCTTCATTTCGGGGCCCAAGAATGAAGGAAGTGCAGGGGGGGATGGGATTATACGGGATATATATATATATATATTAGTAATAAAAATAATACATAATAATAATAATAGTAATAATAATAACAAAAATGTAAGTAATAATAAATAATAAACATAGTTAATAATAATAACAACAACAACAACAATAATAATAATATAGTAATATATACTGGGTTATACTCGATTATGTCAAGTCAAATGGTAGAAGATGGCAGAAGTATATATATTTTTATAATGCTGGTTTGCTGATACTTATGTATACTTGTGTGCTGTAAGAATCTGTGGGAATGGCAAGTGCTCGCCACCAACAGATCCAACAGACTGGTGCTTTGACTATCGGCCTGCCACAGCTGCAGTGGCTTCGTCATCCTTCTCTCCTTGCAGTGGCCAGTGGAGGATGGCGGATTTGCCACGTGTTCCGCCTGAATCTACCATTGTCATCATGATTCTACCTTATAATGCACACAATTGAACATCATTTTCAGGAGTCAAATGTCCATCATTCTTCAACAATTTATCTAAGGTGATAACTTAATTGTCCTTAAGCTGGAATGTGGAATCACCCCAAACCCCACCTGGATTTCGCGCACGCAGCCGCTCCGCAAGGGTGCGCGCACCGCGCATGGGCGAGCGCAGGGTTTGACCCACTGCCACCGTGGAGGCCTAAGGAAATTTCTTTTTGGGAAGCTCCAACAATCCTGGAACCATTGGAACCTATCCCACAATTTAAATATTGAACAATCAATGGATCTATGATGATCTATGTGTATAATAATTGTATACCATTGACCTACAAGATCCCTACATATCGCAATAAAAAACGCAAGTAATGGATCCCAACTGCAGAGAAGGTCACCTGAGGCCCCCCCTAACCCTGGTGGCAATGGCAAGATCCCATTATCCCATCTCCCTACCGGGGTTAGTCAACGAATTGTAGCTATACAACCTACGAAAGAGTGGTGTTGAACCACCAAACTACCAAATAGAAAGTGAGTGGATGTGAGCCCATCTCCCCCAATAATGATTTAATGGGGGGTAGTCAACAACAATTCAACAATTGCACATGATCTGCAACCATTCTAGAACATTGGTGTCATGACATGTTACAAAGAAAAAAAACTGGATATGATATAGTCCGGTCACATCCCCTTCTAAACCTCCCCGAAATTCAACGGACCAGAAATGAACTGATCCAGATCCTGTACGTTCCGCCAGGGATTCTGCGGGTGGCCTTTGTTCTTGGGGGGACAGAAGAGAGAAGGTAATGTGGCACCGTGGTACCTGTATAATGACTTGCCATTGGGGCGTTGTTCAAGCCTTTTGAAAAATTGAAATAAAATGTTGAAGAAACACAGGCACCGCAGGTTTGGGACATTAGCAGCTAATCATTAGCATCTCCCTCTGAACAGAAGAGGTCATATTTTGAGGCACTTTTCATGGCATTTCATGTTGTGGACTCTTCAGAAACCAAGAACTACCAAGGCACATAAAGCCAACCGAGTCCAGATTTCTTGCCATCGCCCTGAATCGGAAACGGAGAAAAGGCATGAAAAGGCCATCTTCAGCGACCATTCTCCGCGTGTCTTTGGAATATTTTCGAATGGGATCAGTCTCCAAATCAGTCAACAAACAGGTTCTTTGCAAAAAGAGGAGCTATACAACAAACATCAACAAACAGTGCTGGTACAAATCCTTTCGCATGGTGGAAGGTTTAGAACCCGAGTCTTATTTTTAGGACCAGAAGAAATTGAAAGAGTCGTAGAAAGGTCTTCAAATGACCAGCCAGCTCAGAATTTCCAGAAGCAATTTCCAGCTGTAGAAGTTTTGCTGAGCAAATAAAGGAACACGCTGGCTTAGTCTCGGCTTAGTGGTCATATTCCAACTGAATAAGTCATATATATATACCGATACCGTGTATTTATATTTATTTATTTATTTATTTGGGCACGTTTCAAAATGATCATGATGTGAATGGTTTAGAGAAGTGATTTCTGATTTCAAATGACCAGCCTCTTGTGGGGCCGCCTCGCCGGCGTCCAAGGATGCGCTGGCCTCGAAACGAGTCGCTTTTACAGATGGACACCTATCAACAAGGTGGTTCTCCAGAGCTATGTAAGAGGGAGAGGGTCATGGGATTACCCATCTGATATGGGTATATTCAAAGAGAGGGATGAGCCTCCAAGTTAATTGACACTAAAACATTGGGAAAATGCATGAAAATGCATGAACATGTTGCTTGACCATAGCATGGGATTTCCGGTACCCTGTTTTCAGAGCCATGACAAGCCCAGATAAGGTTTGGGACACGAGTTGTTCCACCATTTGCGGCCTCGTCCGCTGCGACATCCTTCTCAACTGGTGCCTCTGCAATCCTTGAGCTGGGCAGTCGTGCAACATGGTTCTGTATGGCAGAAAGGGCAAATCACAGTGAAGTATAGAAGCATGCTCAGCAATCAAACAGTGGAATGTTCTGTGATGTGCCCCTCCTGCTAGTAGTTGCAACTGAGTTTCTCTCATATTTTAGCTTACAGGGGGACTCGGGGCCCTTACCATATTTTACATCAGTGAAGACTGATATAAAACCCCAATGATAAGCCCAACGAGGCACTGGTAACAACAGTCCAGCCAGGATTCATGGCATCAGCAGCGCCATCGGCCACGGATTGGGGCAAACCTCAGCGAGCTCAGCTGTGCCAGCAACCACAAGTTTCGATCATACTGAAGCATATATACTAAAATACCAACCATCACATACCATGGATCCAGGCCCCATCCTATTGCTTTCTAGCAACCTGAAGCCACTTCTGTGGCATCAGCCACAGTCTCCTCAGGCTCTGCTACATCCTGAAGGACCATGTGGCAAGGAAAACGTCCGGAGAGGATAGGTCAACCCACATGGCTATGGAAGTCGGAAGAAATGGAAACTGGAACAAATGATCCTACAATCCTCCAACCTGGCAACGGAAAATCCACTCTTTACAGAGATAAGTGTCACTTTGCCAAGCTATTTTCTTTTGATTCTATTGAGCCTCCTATTTTCTGAGAAACTGTACCCTCTTTTCGTTCGCAACTTTTAAGTTACCATCCCTTGCCATCCCTTGCGGCTTCAATGTGCCGGAAAAGGCCACGGCGGCCACGGCGGCCACGGCCTCAACTGCAGTGCCTCCCTTGGACGCTTCAGCTTGCCTCGGGGGTGGCCGAGGAGCGATGGGGCAGAATCGCCCAAAAAATCAGAAACGATCTGTCTCCAAAGCTTAAAATATCCATTATGGTGGTGGTATCACAGAGAGAGAGAGAGAGGGAGGGAGGGAGAGAGAGAGATATATTATATCTATATGTGTATATACATATATATATATATATACACACATACATACATACATTAATATACTGATAGATAGATAGATAGATAGATAGAAAGATAGATGGATAGATAGACAGACAGACAGATAGATAGACAGACAGACAGATAGATCGATAGATAGATAGATAGACAGACAGATAGATCGATAGATAGACAGACAGGCAGACAGATAGATCGATAGTTAGAATAGATAAGATGAGATAAGATAAGATTGGATTGGATCAAATTAGACTAGATTAGGTTAGATTAGATTTAGATTAGATAGATAGATAGATAGGTAGATAGACAGACAGACAGACAGATAGATAGATAGACAGATAGACAGATAGACAGATAGACAGACAGACAGACAAATAGACAGAGGGTCAGACAGATAGATAGATCGACCGTATACATATACTGATGCTATCATTGGACAAAATTAAAACGATTCCTTTCAACACCAGCCGGTGACAGAAGCGACAGAGGCAGCAATCACGGAATTGCATAGCAGGCACATGGCATCCGGTGCTGCATCTGCGGCTGGCAGCTCTGCTGATGGTTCTGCACCAGGGGCTTCGGCCGATTCGCCTTGCAGAAAAGACCCAAGAAACTGCCAAGATGGGACTGTTGAATATTACTCCGTGGAAAGTGGAATAATTATGAATAATTGATGACAACAAGTCCATTGGGGAAAAGAAGCTTTAGGGTGGCTCTGGGAGTGGAAAAAAACCCTCTACAACCAGCCTATGAGTCTATGACCTATGACAAGGACCCACAGCAGGGAGTCACTCTTGTTACCAATCCACCTACCCTCCAAGAAATTAAAGTTAAAGGTTGAGGGCTGCTGCGTAGACGATTTGTCCAACAATTGGACGCCATCAAGGGTCATCATTGGGTTTCCTTTTGGCATCGAGCATCTGTGGGTTGTAACGAGGGATGCTGAATTTTTAGTTCTATTCCGATTGGAGTGGGTACATAGCTTCTGGCTTGCTGACCACTATGGAAGCGACAAACAGGCGCAGGTTTCTTTGCCCCGGCACAAAAAAGCATTGTGCTGGCCGAGCATGACAAATTTGCTAAAGCTTGCCCTTCCCCTCCAATGACCATTGTGAATACTGTAATGGTTAAAGGGTTGCTAAACAGATATGTGCGTATACACATACAAACAAAGTATTATGATGATTTATTATGTGTAATGATCATATATGTATGTATGTATGTATGTCTGTATGTCTGTCTGTCTGTCTGTCTGTCTGTATGTATGTATGTATGTACGTATGTATGTATGTATGTATGTATGTATGTGTGTGTGTATGTATGTGTGTGTATGTACGTACGTACGTACGTATGTATGTATGGATGCATGCATGCATGTATGTATGTATGTATGTATGTATGTATGTATGCGTTGATGTATGTATGTCTGTCTGTCTGTCTGTCTGTCTGTCTGTCTGTCTGTCTGTCTGTCTGTCTGTCTGTCTGTCTGTCTGTCTGTCTGTGTGCGCGTGTGTGTCTGTCTGTCTGTCTGTATGTATTGTATTGTATTGCATTGTATAGTATAGTATAGTATAGTATAGAATAGTATAGTATAGTACAGTATTGTAGTATAGTATAGTATGGTATAGTATAGTATAGTATGGTAACGTATAGTATGTAATGTATGTAATGTATGTAATGTATGTAATGTATGTGGTGTAATGTAATGTAATATAATGTAATGTAATGTAATGTAATGTAGTGTAATGTAATGTAATGTATGTAATGTATGTAATGTATGTAATATATGTAATGTATGAAATTATGTAATGTAAATGTAATGTCAATGTAAACGTCACTGTAAATGTCAATGTCAATGTAATGTAATGTAATGTATGTATGTATGTATGTATGTATGTATGTATGCATGCATGCATGTATATATGTATGTATGTATGTATGTATGGATGGATGGATGGATGGATGGATGTAATACATGTAATGCATGTAATGCATGTAATGCATGTAATGCATGTAATGCATGTAATGCATGTAATGCATGTAATGCATGTAATGCATGTAATGCATGTAATGTATGTAATGTATGTAATGTATGTAATGTGATGTATGTGGTGTATGTGATGTATGTGCTGTATGTGCTGTATGTGCTGTATGTGCTGTATGTGATGTATGTGATGTATGTGATGTATGTGGTGTATGTGATGTATGTGATGTATGTGATGTATGTGATGTATGTGATGTATGTGATGTATGTGATGTATGTGATGTATGTGATGTATGTATGTGATGTATGGGATGTATGGGATGTATGGGATGTATGGGATGTATGGGATGTATGCGATGTATGCGATGTATGCGATGTATGCGATGTATGCGATGTATGGGATGTATGCAATGTATGCAATGTATGCAATGTATGCAATGTATGCAATGTATGCAATGTATGCAATGTATGCAATGTATGCAATGTATGCAATGTATGCAATGTATGCAATGTATGCAATGTATGCAATGTATGCAATGTATGCAATGTATGCAATGTATGCAATGTATGCAATGTATGCAATGTATGCAATGTATGTAAATGTATGTAATGTATGTATGTAATGTAATGTATGTAATTTTGTATGTATGTATTTATGTATGTATGTATGTATGTATGTATGTATGTATGTATGTTGTATGTGTATGTATGTATGTATGTATGTATGTATGTATGTATGTATGTATGTATGTATGTATGTATGTATGTATGTATGTATGTATGTATGTATTTATGTATGTATGTATGTATGTATGTATGTATGTATGTATGTATGTATGTATGTATGTATGTATGTATGTATGTATGTATGTATGTATGTATGTATGTATGTGCGCTACAATCGCTGCTATAACGAGCTGGAGAGGCTTACCAGCATCGTGAAAGTGTATTAATAAAATGTATACATGAATGCATCACATATCGGTGTGTGCGTCTAAAACCTCCACCCCTAACAGTGGCATATCACAAGCTTCAGCATTTAAAATGGTCACCCTCAAGTAGTCAACCATGGTAACATACAATGGAAAATCCCATTTAATTCATTTTATATGTAGATTATGTAGGTAATTTTCCCATTAAAGCCTCCATGTGTAGGGCGTAGGGGATTTCCCTGCTAGCCATGCTTGAATACCCAGGGGTAGCTCAGTGAAATGGTACCTGGAGGCATAGGGATCTGAAACTCATGGCACTGGTGGCACATGAGCCACGAAGAACGGCGCAGTCCGCAGATTTGAAACTGTAGCAGAGATGGGCCCCGCAGCTAGCACCAAATATTGATTGATGGTTTCAATTACGAAACAAAATTGAGGATCATCATGGATCGTCATTCCAAATAGCGACGGAAACCAAAGAATGCTCCGAACCAGCGTGCAAATGACAGGGCATCAGTTTAAAGAATATAGATTCATTTATTATTTATCTTTTTGTGCACTTGTTTTTCCTAGTCTATTTATAGTTATGCATCTAGATTATGTCTGCACATGCAAAACTATGTATATAGATGTATATGAATATGTAACATATGGATCTACTTTTTGGAGGGCTTACAGCTTACAACTTACAACTGCTCGTTTTGTCCTGTGTTTTGCTTGGGATTTGGCCGGACTGCGGGCTGCAACGGCCCATCACTGTGGGCAGAGCTGCGCTCCGAAAAGCAGCCGATCCCACCATGTGGTCATGTTGACATGTCAAATTTGAGGCATGTATAGCCATTCACATTAGGGTTGACTGATTCAATCTCTACATGCCAAAGTTCGCAACGGCCCAAGGAAAACTCGATGCCGCTGCATTTTGGCTCACAGCCACCGAACTCTGCATCATAGCAGGGATCTCCCGTCTGTGCAGCACAAATCGCCTTGCACTCCTCAATGTCCCTGATTCCATTAATGACCTGGATGGCATCATCCCTGGCAAAACTTTGATTCTCAGTGGTTATGTGGAAACTCCCATATCAAACCCAAAAACACCAAGAATCTAAGTGGGGAGCTGCAATCCACCAAGTGACTGTATAATGCTTTGGGTGGTTGTCCGTGCTTGATCGGCCACGGCATGGATGAGATGTGCCACTTGGACCAGCAGGAACTAGCTTCTTGGTGGGCCAGCCAAAACGAAGGCATGTAAACTCACCCTTCTCTTTGGGGATCTCTTTGACATAGTAAATGCCACGAGACCTTTTCCAGATCTCGCAGCGGCCTGCACTGAACTCAATCCCTTTGCAGTAGTCTGTGCGCTCACAGAAGTTCTTGCACCCCCAAAGTGATTTGATTGTTGTGTGGACCTCATAATGCATTGGGTTGTTGTCAGAACTGTTGTCGCCCCTGCATGCATGGTTTCCTGAACCACCAACTGTTTCCCACACACGAAGGTCTGGTGGGTACTCCCTTATGGACCCATTTCCAACCGGGTGCGGTCTTTTTCCAGTCGTCAAGTTGTAGGCACCATTCTGGACAATGACGTACCCTGGGAACTTCTCCGGAATGCATTGACCTGGGGGGACAGTTGCACACCAGCAAAGACGATGTCCACAAACATCTGAGGTGTTCCTTGGATTCGGTGTTGTGTACAAGCAATTCCCTGTCAGCCCCAAACAATTGCCAGGAATATTCAAGCAAGTGTAGGTACTGCTGGGATACATCTCCCCACAGAATTTCACATTGCACTGCGCGGTCCGGTTGTAACTCCAGCTGCTGTGGATGAGGCTCTTCTCGGTGGTTCCAGCGCCGCTTCGCTCACTGCCCGTCTGTAGCAGGTCGCAAAAATTGTCGCCAATCCCGCCACAATGACACCAGTTGTAATCTGAGTAGCTTGGGACCCAAATGTCCTCCGAAGACTGATCCGGAACTTCTGGTGACTTGTGCATGTGACCCTTGTGAGCCAAGAGCGACAACCCGGCTGTGTTTCTGCGCTTGCAGAGCGGGGCTTTCTGCCCGGAAGCAGACAGAAACCATGCCGCAAACGCTGCCAAGAGCACGCTGTGCATCTCAGCAGTACGGTGCCACCTGAAATACAACAAATCCTCCTTGGGCCAAGACAAATTCAACGGTGATGAAGGGACTGGGAGGATTAAATCACTTGTAAAGCCAAGATAGGACTAAGTCCGACTTCAAAGGTGATTCCAGTTGCCCAAATTGATGGTATTGCCTACGTACTGTAAGATATTTTTCCCATCTGCCGCCAAGTTTTCATCACTGGTGACAGGTTTGAAAGCACCTATATGTATATATATCTATATATATATGTGTGTGTATGTATGTGTGTGTGTTATGTGTGTATGTATGTATGTATGTATGTATGTATGCATGCATGCATGCATGCATGCATGCATGGATGGATGGGTGGGTGTATGTATGCATGCATGCATGTATGTATGTTTCCCTCAGAACCACTGCGATACAATGGGTATATCAGAGCCGCTTCACCAAAAATAACAAAACACCACACAAGTGAGACATTGGGTCTACATCAATCGGGCACTCAGGCACAGCAAAACAAATTAGCAACGAATCGGCAACCCTCCTTTGTTTTATCATTTGTTGTTTGTGAAGTAGGAAAAATAGTAATGTTTTGGCCAAAAATCTGCGGCCCAAGAACCTTCTGCAGTCTCTTCAGCTACTTCAGCGGCTTCGTCAATCTGTGTTTCCTGACGCTGCAAGGGCCCTAAGCCAGCATGGTTCACTATCAATTTTGGTGCATCCCGGCGTGTATAAATATATCTATATATATATATGTATGTATGTATGTATGTATGTATGTATGTGTGTGTGTGTTTGTGTGTGTGGTGTGTTTTTGCAAAGTATATTAAATACATACATACATACATACATACATAACAAAACAAAACAAGACAAAACATAACATAACACAACACAACATACATACACACATACACACATACTTACATTACATTAACTTACATTGCATTACGTTACATTACATTACGTTACGTTACGTTACATTACATTACATTACGATACAAACATACATACATGCATTACATTACATTACATTACATTACATTACATTACATTACCATACATTACATTAATACATTGCATTACATTACATTACATTGCACTACATTACGTTACATTACAAGAATACATACATTACAATAATACATACATACATACATACATACATACTTACATTACATTACATTACATTACATACATACATTACACACATACATACATACATACATGCATACATACATACATACATACACAGACATACATACATACATTACATTACATTACATTACATTACATTACATTACATACACATACATTACATACATTACATACATGAAATACATGAAATACATTACATGCATTACATACATTACATACATACATACATTACATTACATTACATTACATTACATTACATTACATTACTTACATACATACATACATACATTACATGCATACATACATACCTACATACCTACATACCTACATACCTACATACCTACATACCTACCTACCTACCTACCTATCTATACCTACCTACCTACCTACGTACGTACGTACGTACGTACGTCCATTGCATTGCATTGCGTTGCATTGCATTGCATTGCATTGCATTGCATTGCATTGCATTCATTACATTACATTACATTGCATTACATTCCATTCCATTCCATTACCATACATACATACATGCATTGCATTACATTACATTACATTACATTACATTACACTACACTACATTAACATACATTACATATCATTACATTGCATTACACTACACTGCACTACATTATATTACATTACATTAATACATACATACATACATACATTACATGACATGACATGACATGACATGACATTACATTACATTACATACATTACATTACATTACATTACATTACATTACATTCCATTACATACATACATACATACATTACTTACATACATACATACATACATTACATCACATATCAAAACATTACAAAACAGAACAAAAAATAACAAAACATAACATGCTTACATATGTATATATATATATTGTTAATCTTCAAGGGGATCCAATCACCCAAACCACCTGCCTGACCCTGTCTGGCAACACCCACGATCCAAAGTCCCAGACCATCCTGTGCCGTAGCTTGTCCAGGCTCAACTGCCACGCCCTCCCACCACTTGAGAGGCGTCGGATCGGCCAGCGAAAGGCTTCACTTGAAATGGTGGCGCCAACATGGATGTGAGGTCCAACGGTGCCCAAAGCGGTTTCACACTGCTCAAAATCCAAAAATAATTTAAATCACTGATTTTCACATCCATGTTTCTTAACAGTGGTGCCATTTCGCAGCCATTGCAATCGCTCACGCTTCGAAGCTCTCAGCTTGAGACCTTCATCCTCGTCGAACAGAGTATACCTCCCCGTACAGAGACTTTCACGTAAACTCCCCGAGTGAGTGCTTATCCAGCGCATACCGACATTTTCTTGCAAACGTTCTCCAATTAACAGACACTCCAATGTTGTCCGATATTCGCTGCAGACTGGGGTAGAGTTTTTGGTTGCAATGTCACAGACACTCTTACAGTCAGTCACGGCACTTGCAGTGGGAGCTCGAGACAAAACTGCACTGGGATCAGCCCCACTCCCAACAGATGCTAAGATGCTCCAATCTGTCAAGGGAAGAGCTAAATGCCATGGCCTCTCGGGATTTTCCGTGAGCTCCAGGCGATGGGATTTTCCGTGAGCCCCAGGCGATGGGGCAAATCACAGTTCTTTCATTCTGTGACAGACGGGTGTCTGTTGCAAAGATGAAGCTTCCTTGTCGCGATGACAAGTCTTTGGAAGTTGGGAAGGAGGCATCTGAGAAAACGCAAAAAGCAACTTGGGCCTCAGGAATCGGTACCAACATCAAACACACCGGATGGACCTTACCTTCGTAGAGAACTGTTGGCTTCCAACAAGTGCTTCACCTTGGCCTTTGTGACCAAAGACTGCAACTGACCTGTTTTCGCAGCCAGATCCGGTCTGGTATGCGCTGCAGCATATTGCAAACTGCCGCACAAACGTCTTAATTGCTGGCGTTCTGGCTCTGAAACTTCAGACTCAGGTTCGCTTCGGCGAGACCGTGGAACTTCAATGGGTTCAATCTTCTGTAGGTAACCAACCTGATCCATCGCTATGGAGTAATCTTCCCATTGCTTGTAGTGAACCCCACAAAAACCAAATTCCTTTTCATAATAAGCAACAAAATCATAAACTTTTTGCAATTTTCCAATGGTCTCTTTGAAGTATTGATCCCCAGCCCCGATGCCATCGTCAACATGAATGCCAAGAACTCCTCTTACAAGAGGCTTTGTCGATCAGGGGTAACAAGGGTAAAGAGACAGCCAGAAAACCAAGGGACTCCAAAGTGCGCCTTAGGGCAAGTAGGGTGCATCCACTCGACCATACGCACCACCTTCCAAGCCACACTGATCCTGATCCCCCATTCTCAAAGCCCTCTTGATTTCCGGGGGCGGGTGGATTCCCAAAGGACGGCCATCCCCTTCGCCTTTTAAGAAGGCCGTGGAAATGTCAAAATTGATAAGATCCCATCGGCGGCTTGCAGCTTTCTGCAACAGCAGCTGCTTGGAGTCTTTTGATCGAGTTGGAGCATCATTTGCCACTGCTCCCACTCCGGGATCTTCAAAGCCTAAAATGACTAAACGGGCCTTGGCACGTTTTTCTGTGCTGCCAAGCAGTGGATCTTCCCAGGTTGACAGCCAGCGACATCTCATGACTTGTTCGGCCGTCAAAGACCCTTTTGAAAGTTCTTGGCTGTTCCATGGTCCAGCCAGGCTTTGACCTCTTTTTGTTTGGCAGCATCAAAAAGTTTTTGATCCCCAGGGCTTAACCTTCGACAATCAACCTCCACTCGCTGCTTAGGATCCCCAGAAGCAATGAAAATCTCCTCAAACGCTGTTGGTTCTTGACACAAGAGGTCAGCCGTGGATATTGCCAAATCCTGATCTTTGATTTCTATTTCACCAACCCTAAAGGTATCGAGGGAACTATCCAAATCATCCCCAAACAACAAATCATCACCCCATCATCAAGTACAGGAACATGTCATTTTCTTTGGGGTTCCCCAAACCATTTTCCCCAGTTAGTTCCCTTTGATCCTCTGATTCACTGGGATTTGCAGGGTCTCGTGGAAATTCCTCTTGTTCCGGTTGGCTTTCCAGCGGAGTAGTTGGAGCATATGAAAACTTTGAAGGAGCACCTCCACCTTCAACAGGGATTTCATCAGTTGAATCACACATGGGAGATACCTTCCAATGAACCGTCATTTTCGGGGGTCCCCATTCCAAGGTCGATATACCCCCTTCCCATAAGCTGTTGTCCACCACTTTCCCATCAACCCCTTTTGGTAAGAAGGAGTACTCTCGCAACGAGGCTGGCCGAATCTGCTCAGGACTTGCTCGGATGAGTCTTCCCAGGTGACTCAACCACAAAACTCGAGGCTGCTGAACAGTGATCACTTGTGCGGGCCCATGCCACCTGCCCCGTTCTATTCTACTACCCCCCTTTGTCTTCCGCCAATACAAAACCCAATCCCCAGCTTCATACTCCACTTTGCCTGGTCGACTCTGTCGAAGCAAGGCCCTTCGGAAGAACGAGTCATTGCCGGCCTGTACAAATGCTTTCCGAGCATGTTCACGCCGCAACAAATTTTCTTTGAATCGAACCCTTTCCGGCAGCGAGCTTTCAGCTAAACTGTGGCTGCTGGCATCTGAATCAGCAGTCAAGGATCCGGGCAACTTTCGAGATTTCCCCAACAAACACTGTTCCGGGGTAAAACCATTAACCCGACTCAAAGAATTCTTTGCAGAAAAAGCATGTCTCAAACAATGTGAAAACTCTTCGAGGGTGTCTATTGCCCGGTCCTTTTCCATTCGAGCTTCAGCAGCAGTCATTAGTCATTGACACGTGAATGCCCTCTCCCTGGAGGGTTGCGGCCCATTCATCGCTTATATACTCCCCAGCGCGATCCAAATACAAAACTTGGCAGGGTCCAGCCCATTGAACCCAAGTATTCAGGAACGTTTGGAGAGTAGCCTCATCGATGAAATGCATGAAATGAAAGGTTGTACCCCGCTGATTTGTCCAAGAGGCCCCATGAGCCCCAACAACATCATTGAAGTCTAAGGCTTCATGTATTTTGCCCGGTTGAGTTCCTTTAGGTCCCCTTTTGGTTTCAACACACGTGTCACATGCCATGTCTTTTGCCCCCGTGATAACTGCTGGTTTTGCCCCTGCTCCGTCAGAAAAAACCGTGCCATTTTGGTGGGGACAGGGTGCCTCCTCAGTTCAGATTGCTCCCCACTAGACTGAGAAAACCAGGCCCGGATTTTGAGATAATTCTGGGCCCCCATTCAGCTACAGTTTCAAGGGAGTCCAGGTGTTCTTCCATAGTCTGATCATCCGCAACTGCCGGTGGCAACACATCGCCTGGCACTTTGGCCTCACCATGGTGATCCTGCGGAGGCTGACCAAAGACTGGCACGGATGAGATAGAGACAGCTTTGCTGGCCCCGTTGGCCGAATTTGCTTTGCCAGAGGTAATTTTGTCCATGTTCTGGGGGACCCAAATCAACAACTTCACCACTATCCTTCCCCACAACTACAGTCTTCCTCCAGGGATATGTCGCACAACCAGCTACCTCGGGTTGAAGCCATTGTTGAACCATTTTCAAAACAGGATCCCCAACATCACCCTTGAAAAGGGCGTTGCCAACCCTCGAAGTGGAATACCCAGCTGTCCTAAAGATGTCTTTCCATGTTGGTGCCTTTCCGTACAGAGATGGTTCTGGTCTGGTTGTTCCAGCTCCACCCTACGCCACTTGATGGCCTCCTGTGCCACTTCGGGTCTTTCATGATCTTCCAAACCAACCAACAGCTCTTCCAGCATGAGGGGATGTTCAGGGTTCTTCCTCCCACTTAATATTACCCCAGCAACACTGCGTGCAAAGTATGTGGTGTAGGCTTGTGCATAAGAGGAAACGTTTTTCCACCCCATGCGTTTTGAAATTTCCTTTGGTTGGAGTATGGATATGATTTCCTGAACAAGTTTGAGCATGCAACTTCATGAACATTTGCCGACTAGCGGTCAGAACCTAAGTGCGTTCCTGGAGATACTCTGAAGTGAGGGGCAATCTAAGCTTCCCAACTTGGCACATGTGGAAGACAGCTGGCAATATACCCAGCAGCACATCGGATAGTTCCGGCTGAGTACACATCTCTGACCCTCTGGGCTATTCCAGGTGAAAATGGCGATCGTGACTGACTTGATGAAGGTAAATTTGATTGCATAGTACTAAATTTGGCTTATCAGACGCCCTTCCCCTTTGAATTTGGTCATACATCTCAAGGCTACATCCCACGTTGAAACGTGAAAAGTTCCCCCAGTGACGACATTCGGGTGCTACCCATACGTTTTTGGGTTCCAGAAGGTGTATCCAGGCCCATAGTATCTCTTGTCCTTCAGGGGCACTAAGATCTCCATCCCTTTTGGTGAATCTGACAGCTCGTCCCCCTCTTTGAATCACATGTTTGGTCAATTGAGACTCTTCATCACAATACGCTTCAAGGAGGTCTACTCCCTCAGGGCTCATCTTTTTTACATTGGGCCCTTCCCTTTTACCCCGAAATCCCCGTGAAATTTGAGCATGATTTATCACGCTTTTCCATTTTCGGTCTGGCCAATGGCCAACATAGGCAAAATCAATTTGGAGTTTGGACAGACCGTCCTCAATTTCGTGGGTTCTCTTTTGCAAACGGTCCTCGACATGCTCTGGTCGGGCACTGGCGTGTCGGTGGGGATCTGAATCCATCCCTCTCTCACTGAATTCTCCCCTTTGCCCTTGAGCTTGGCATGGGTCATAGGCTGAGGTGCCGTGGCCTTGGGCATCACTGGTAGCTGAGCTGGGGTCCCATTGTTGCTCACCATCTTGAGCACGGCGGCGTCGAGCTTCTTGGCTCACTGCACGTCTCTCGGGACACTACGGCTGGAAGCTCCTCACCCACGTGGATACTCCACGTCTGTTCCACATCTGATTGACATAGCTTGGCACCTGCTCGTAGCTGGCCGCAAAGGTCTTGGCCGCATGCTTCCGGGATGGGACGGTCAGATACCCCCAGTCTGCGAGGGAATTTATCTGAGGAGGTCGAACTTGAGCAATCGGGAGCTTGTTGTGCATCCGATAGGTCTGCAGACTGGCATCCGCTGGAGTGGTCAACATGCGATCGAGATAGGCCGGCTGAGCCATGTGTGTCAATCAACGAGTCGCGGACAATCCCAAGGGTATGACTGGCTTGGTCACTTAGAAGTGCTGCATCGTGCAAGCCGTCAAATTGGTTCACAGAGCTCTTTCCTTGATATTCATTAACGTCACTTTCCTTAGGAAACGTGTGATGAATTGACTGTACATGTTCAAGCATGTGGTGGAGTTAGTTGACATCTGTTTGAACCTGACCTGAACCTGTTTGCGTTTCACCGTTTTCAGCATCATCAACAACTGGTGCACACAGATCCATCATGTTGAGAGGATGAAATCACAACACCTTGAACCATCAAACACTCCCCCCCATGTACACTTTTCCCCAATGTGACAACTGAACCTAAGATGTTTCCCAAGTCCTGCCATGTTCCATCTAGAACCTGCGCATCCACCAGCAGGTCGTCATAGACATCCGCCGAGAGTGCGGGCCCGATCACATCATCATCAACTTTCTCACAGAGCTCCATGTGCATGATGCCCGTGAAGGACTCTGTATCATTCCCCTTTTTCCCCATGGAAGCTGTAATGGCCAAAGGGCACTCTCGCTTCCACCGTCCTGCCTGGCCACAACGACGGCAGGTTGAGTTTGCAATCCTGTCTGCCAGGCTTCGGCGGCGAAAACCAGAGGACCCTCCACTGCCACCTCCTTTTGCTCCATCACCAGCAAAGCCACGGCTCTTCTTTCCTTTGCCTCGACCTTTGGCATTCGAGATCGGCCAAAAGCCTCGCTATTTGACCTTTTCCCGAAGCCTTTGGCGGGCTTCCTAGTAACTGGCAAGGCAGGCCGACAAGTCGGCAGACTCCTGACAAGCTGCAAGAATTTGTTCCTCAAACTCCTGAACGAAAGCGGCGTCCTCGCCCTGCTCCAGCAGCTGCGTCATCAAGGTCTCTTCGTCAGGTTCTTCTTCTTCTTGCAAATAAATAGATGGATTCTTCATCCACCTGGTGAACATCATAGGTCTTCCACTTGATCACATTCTTGCCCTGAGATTGCAATTCTTGAAAAAACTTGCTGCCCAGAAGTCGGATGCTCTTCTTGGCCTGGTCGTGGGTGAGGGACCCCCCGCAGTCCATCACAATCCTTTTGGTCTTCAGCACTCAACACCGATTGGCGCAACATCACATAATAGGCCCGGGTTTCTTCTAGTCCAACCTTTCTCATCAGCTGATCTTCGAATGCAGCGTCGTGTCGGGCAATGTAAATGTCGTTGCTCTCATCTTGCTTTGTCCACCAAGGGCTTCCACCAAGCATTTTACTCCATCAGCACTCTTCAACTTGCTAGGATCCAGCCTGGAGATCCGTTGGAAGGCGGCTCCCTCCACCAAGAGAGGGGCTCTTGGAGCCAATTGGTCCAAGTAATGTTTTAGCCTTTTGACCACAGATCCCGCAAGAATCCGCAAGAATTCCGCTTGCGAGTGTTAGACCCGCAAGTCCGTCTCACCCGGTGTGAACCGAGGGATCTGATTCCGCGGCACAGAAGTGGAAAAGGTCCCCGATCCCGTTGCTTGCGCAGCCTCATCCATGGCTCAGGCACCTCCTAAGGAAAAGGTGTTTCCTATTTCCCAAAAATAGGCAATGCCCCTTAGGAGCCTGTGATTAAGCGGCAGCCCAGCGCTCCGCTACCAATGTTAATCTTCAAGGGGCTCCAATCACCCAAGCCACCTGCCTGACCCTGTCTGGCAACACCCAAGATGCAAAGTCCCAGGCCCTGCTGTCCAATGCCTTTATCCTGTGCCGTAGCTTGTCCAGGCTCAACTGCCACGCCCTCCCACCACTTGAGAGGCGTCGGATCGGCGGGCGAAAGGCTTCACTTGAAATGGTGGCTCCAACATGGATGTGAGGCCCAATGGTGTCCAAAGCGGTTTCACAATATATATATATATATATACATACATACATATGTGTATATAGACATATATATGCGTATATACAGTATACATATATGTGTCTCTCTCTCTCTCTCTCTCTCCATCGCCCTCTCCATACACACACACACATAATATATATATATATATATATTTATATTTATTTATTTACTTATTTACTTATTGATTTACTTATTTTTAATATATATATATATATAGCTGTGCATAAGAGGGTGGACAAAAAAAAAAAACGTGGATTCACCGGCCAAATATGAGGATGCCTTCAATCCTTGAAAACAAGTCTGCGAAGCCAATGGCCTACCCTGCGATAGTTTTTGATAACGGAAATCACTGCCGTGCCTCCGCAGCTCCCTCGGCATCTGCCCTCAGTACTGCCGGGATGACATATGAATTTAGTGAGTATAAAATGAGTTATATATATATATATCATGGGCAAGTGGTCCATCCCTATACATCCTAGGTATCGGTGGTTGGGATTTATGGCGTTGAATTGCTGGTGCCAGTACTTGGGGTGTGTATGTATTATATATATAATTATATCTCTCTCTCTCTGTGACATTTATCTGCCATTTTGGTTTGGGCATCCCCAAGGTTTGAAAGCACCCACATATTGAAAGAGCTGGGAGACCCAGCAACAAAATGCCAGCACCCCCGGCTCCATCCCCAATTCTGGCCCCATGCGCATTAAAAGACTTATTAACGCACCAAACATGCCCCAACACCACAAACAAACACTGGGCAAGAAGGATAAAGGCACTCAGCGCCAGCTGCTGGCACTTCTGCCATGTCTGCCGCTTTCTCGGCGGCATCCCGGTCGACATCTGCAGATTCTGCAGGGGCTTCTGCCTCCACGCCTTCAAAGAAGCGTTGACAAACCAGGGAGGTTTCAAAAACTCTTGGCCAGGAAAAGTTGCACACCACTTGAGGTCTTAAGCCTTCAGCTCCATGCATCTCAGTGCAGCCAAAAGAGGCCTTCTTGGACTTCTTCGGTGGCAGCTGCCTTGACATCTTCAGCGGCCTCCTCCTCAACAGGCTCCTCTGCCTCCCGATGTGGCTGTCATATCTGTCATGAGTTGTGAGTCCCAAGCACAACTAGGTTGATATGTTGCTTCAACTATTGCAAGAACGATGGGAAAACCAAACACGTCAATGTGTCCCATGCTGAAGTATGCCATTCAGCTGGATTCCATACCTCTTCCGCCATGGCGTCAGTCTCTTGGGCTGCATCAGCTTCCGCAGCATCTGCTTCCACAGCATCTGCTTCCACAGCATCTGCTTCCACGGCATCTGCTTCGTCCCTCAGATAAATTGCAAGCCATGAACACGTTGTGCACTCTTTCCGTCCTTCTTGCCACCAAATGAGGAAGGAATCATATGAGCTGTCAAGCAACTTTAGTATCCACTGCCACAGGGCACGCACAAGTGTGGCTGCAAAATACCAGACACATCCGGACACTATTCAAAATTGTTGACATAGAACCAGAAACATGCAGCAAGATTCCAAAGGTCAAATGGGCGTCTAAAAGTGTGACAGCAGGAGGGGGCGAATACCTTTAAACTTTAAACATAGCACACATGAGTGCTGCACCCAAAGATGTGCAAAATGTGCAAAGGCACTCGGCGTCCGCTGCTGGCACTTCTGCCATGTCTTCCGCTTTTTCAGCGGCATCCCCGTCGACATCTGCAGATTCTGCAGGGGCTTCTGCCTCCACGCCTTCAAAGACGCGTTGACAAACCAGGGAGGTTTCAAAAACTCTTGGCCAGGAAAAGTTGCACACCACTTGAGGTCTTAAGCCTTCAGCTCCATGCATCTCAGTGCAGCCAAAAGAGGCCTTCTTGGACTTCTTCGGTGGCAGCTGCCTTGACATCTTCAGCGGCCTCCTCCTCAACAGGCTCCTCTGCCTCCCGATGTGGCTGTCATATCTGTCATGAGTTGTGAGTCCCAAGCACAACTAGGTTGATATGTTGCTTCAACTATTGCAAGAACGATGGGAAAACCAAACACGTCAATGTGTCCCATGCTGAAGTATGCCATTCAGCTGGATTCCATACCTCTTCCGCCATGGCGTCAGCCTCTTGGGCTGCATCAGCTTCCGCGGCATCTGCTTCCACAGCATCTGCTTCGTCCCTCAGATAAAGTGCAAACCATGAACACATCATGCACCCTTTCCGTCCTTCTTGCCACCAAATGAGGAAGGAACAGTATGAGCATTATCCCACCTACTATCCATTACTATTCACTGCCACATGGCTTGCACAAGGATGGCTGCAAAATACCGGACACTAATGGAAATTGTTGACATAGAACCAGAAACATGCAGCAAGATTCCAAAGGTCAAATTGGCGTCTAAAAGTGTGACAGCAGGAGGAGGCGAATACCTTTAAACTTTAAACATAGCACACATGAGTGCTGCACCCAAAGATGTGCAAAATGTGCAAAGGCACTCGGCGTCCGCTGCTGGCACTTCTGCCATGTCTTCCGCTTTTTCAGCGGCATCCCCGTCGACATCTGCAGATTCTGCAGGGGCTTCTGCCTCCACGCCTTCAAAGACGCGTTGACAAACCAGGGAGGTTTCAAAAACTCTTGGCCAGGAAAAGTTGCACACCACTTGAGGTCTTAAGCCTTCAGCTCCATGCATCTCAGTGCAGCCAAAAGAGGCCTTCTTGGACTTCTTCGGTGGCAGCTGCCTTGACATCTTCAGCGGCCTCCTCCTCAACAGGCTCCTCTGCCTCCCGATGTGGCTGTCATATCATATCTGTCATGAGTGGTGAATCCCAAGCACAACGAGGTTGATATGTTGCTTCCACTATTGCAAGAACGATGGGGAAACCAAACATGTCAATGTGTCCCATGATGAAGTATGCCATTCAGCTGGATTCCATACCTCTTCCGCCATGGCGTCAGTCTCTTGGGCTGCATCAGCTTCCGCAGCATCTGCTTCCACAGCATCTGCTTCCACAGCATCTGCTTCCACGGCATCTGCTTCGTCCCTCAGATAAATTGCAAGCCATGAACACGTTGTGCACTCTTTCCGTCCTTCTTGCCACCAAATGAGGAAGGAATCATATGAGCTGTCAAGCAACTTTAGTATCCACTGCCACAGGGCACGCACAAGTGTGGCTGCAAAATACCAGACACATCCGGACACTATTCAAAATTGTTGACATAGAACCAGAAACATGCAGCAAGATTCCAAAGGTCAAATGGGCGTCTAAAAGTGTGACAGCAGGAGGGGGCGAATGCCTTTAAACTTTAAACATAGCACACATGAGTGCTGCACCCAAAGATGTGCAAAATGTGCAAAGGCACTCGGCGTCCGCTGCTGGCACTTCTGCCATGTCTTCCGCTTTTTCAGCGGCATCCCCGTCGACATCTGCAGATTCTGCAGGGGCTTCTGCCTCCACGCCTTCAAAGAAGCGTTGACAAACCAGGGAGGTTTCAAAAATTCTTGGCCAGGAAAAGTTGCACACCACTTGAGGTCTTAAGCCTTCAGCTCCATGCATCTCAGTGCAGCCAAAAGAGGCCTTCTTGGACTTCTTCGGTGGCAGCTGCCTTGACATCTTCAGCGGCCTCCTCCTCAACAGGCTCCTCTGCCTCCCGATGTGGCTGTCATATCTGTCATGAGTTGTGAGTCCCAAGCACAACGAGGTTGATATGTTGCTTCCACTATTGCAAGAACGATGGGGAAACCAAACATGTCGATGTGTCCCATGCTGAAGTATGCCACTCAGCTGGATTCCATACCTCTTCCGCCATGGCGTCAGCCTCTTGGGCTGCATCAGCTTCCGCGGCATCTGCTTCCACAGCATCTGCTTCCACGGCATCTGCTCGGTCCCTCAGCCAGCTTCACTGGTCACAATGGATATTGAGGACCAATCACTGACTTTGTGGCCTATACGTGAGAACTTGCAGTACTTTCATTGGAAACAACTTCGTTCTTTTGTGCCACCAGATGAACACACCACACGGTCCCAACAGTACCTTTCATGGCGTGATGGACGTCTCCTGTATTCACAGAGCGGGACCGCAAGTGTGGTCACGTATCATTAGGAACAATCGATACCATTCCGACTCAAAGTTCCGAATTCCCAGGTTGAAGTCAACCCAAGCAAAAGTTTCAGGAAAAGCAGTTCCAGTGCTTAATGATCTAAAAAATCTCGCCAGCGCCTCAACCAAAGTACCCAAACACCCCAAATCATCCCCAAACATTCCCAATCATGCTCAAACCACCAAACCACCCAAATATGCAAAGGCACTCAGCATCCGCAGCCGGCACTTCTGCAAAGTCTGCCGCTTTCTCAGCAGCATCACCGTGAACATCTGCAGGGGTTTCCTCCGCACCTTTAAAGAACCGTCGGCAAATCAAATGAAGGACTGAAGAGCATGTCACAACTGCTTGGCCATGAAGCCGTGCCATTTGACAACAGTGACTTCACCAAGAGTTCCTCGGCTAAGTGCTGCCAAAAGAGCCTTCCTGCGCTTCTTCTGTGGGAGCTGCCTTGTCATCTTCATCAGTTTCTTCCTCAACGGGTTCATCTGCCTCCCAAGGTGTTCCAGGGTCCAATTCTGCTTGTGATGGGCTGTGAGCTACCCATCCCACCTCTTCTGCATCAGCGTCGCCCTGTTCTGCTGCATCAGCTTCCACGGCATCTCCCTCTGCTGTTTCTTCGTGCCTCAAGCGCTCACTTGTGCCCACACCCACCCTCATCCACTGTTTAAAAAGTTAATTTCATCATTCCTGCCACCGAATCAACACGCCAGCTTTCATAGCATTATTATGACCTTAAGGAGCCTGGTCACATCAACTCAAATTCAATCAATGTAGCACCTCGCTTGTCTCACCTACCTCTGCAGCACAAATTCAAGTTTGGTTCCGAATGTCATTCAAAATCATTGACACCTTCCCGAATTCAAGCTGAAGATTCGAGCAAAGAAGCAACAACGGCATGTCAAACATCCGGAATCCTAAATCATCCCCAAACATTCCCAATCATGCTCAAACCACTAAACCACCCAAATATGCAAAGGCACTCAGCATCCGCAGCCGGCACTTCTGCAACGTCTGCCGCTTTCTCAGCAGCATCACCGTGAACATCTGCAGGGGTTTCCTCCGCACCTTTAAAGAACCGTCAGCAAATCAGATGAAGGACTGAAGAGCATGTCACAACTTCTTGGCCATGAAGCCGTGCCATTTGACAACAGTGACTTCACCAAGAGTTCCTCGGCTAAGTGCTGCCAAAAGAGCCTTCCTGCGCTTCTTCTGTGGGAGCTGCCTTGTCATCTTCATCAGTTTCTTCCTCAACGGGTTCATCTGCCTCCCAAGGTGTTCCAGGGTCCAATTCTGCTTGTGATGGGCTGTGAGCTACCCATCCCACCTCTTCTGCATCAACGTCGCCCTGTTCTGCTGCATCAGTTTCCACGGCATCTCTCTCTGCTGTTTCTACCTCATTCCTCAGGCCAGGTGCTGCCCTTTCCACGAGATAGGTCCTACCCCTTGAAAGTCGGTTTACTGAAGCGTGGGCAATCACTGCATTTATCTCCACGTTTGAAGGGAAGACCTCGGGGAAATCATGATGCCTATCAACGTCTACCAAACAACAGTCTTTCTGTCTGTCTGTCTGTTTTGTACCGATGGAATTGGGTATACCCCAAGATTGCCATTCAACTTGGAAAAATGATGATAAACCATCAAATTTGAAGGTGCCCCATTTTTATGGACCCTTGTTAGTTTATATCCAAAATTACACCACCGTAGACCCCCAACACTGGGTGGATTCAAGAAATGTTTTGACGAACAGGATCAAGCACCTGCAATAGCACCGACAGGCATCGTGAAAATGTTTGCAATAAGCAAGACCACTTCACATTTATATAGTTTTCGGTTTCGCGTGCTATCGCAACGTTAGATGCCGAAAAACGATGAAAGAAACATCCGATAGGGGTATCTGGATCCAAACACTCAAATCAAGCAGCATAGGAGTGTCAAATTGGATGTAATGAAAATATCGGAGGATAAAACTGAAAGATGACATCATTCTCAAAACCCTAGCCCACAGCTTCCAAGCGGGCGAGCAACTTCACGCTAAAGTATTCATTCAATATTTCCAAAGCATCAATCAAAATGCAAAATGATACCACTCGCCACAAAGGGAAACTGACAAGCTGGGCGACAAACTGGGAAACAAGGGAGACAAGGCTTTGGGAAGGCTGACACACCATCCAACAAAGGAAAACAAGGAAGACAAACTGGGAGACAAGCGGGGAGAGAAGCTGAGAGACAAGTTGGGAGACAAGCTGGGAAACAAAGGAGACAAGGCTTCGGAAAAAACCACACCATCCAACAAAAGGAAACAAAAAGTGACACAATGGGAGACAAAGGGAATGCGGACACACCATCCAACAAAGGGAAACAAGAAGGAAGACAAACTGGGAGACAAGATGGGAGACAAGGGAGACAAGGCGGCAGACACACCATCCACCGCAGGGAAACAAGAAGGGAGACAAGCTGGGAAACAAGATGGGAGACAAGCTGGGTGACAAGCTGGGACAAGTTGTCGGTCAAGGGAGACAAGGCCTCGGGAAGGCGGACACACATCCAACAAAGGGAAACAAGAAGGGACACAAACACAAGGCCTCGGGAAGACCATCCAACACAGGGAAACAAGAAGGAAGACAAGCTGGGAGACAAGCTGGGAGACAAGGGGAGGCAAGCAGACAAGGTGGGAGACAAGCTGAAAGACAAGCTGGAAGACAAGGTGGAAGACAAGATGGGAGACAAGGCCCCGGGAAGGCGGACACACCATCCAGCAAAGGCACACATGTGGGGAGAGAGACAAGCGGAGAGAAGATGCCGGGAAGGCCGGCACACCATCCAACAAAGGGAAACAAGCAGGAAGACAAGCTGAGAGACAAGATGGGAGACTGGGAGACATGCTGGCAGGCAAGCTGGGAGACAAGCTGGGAGAGAAAGCCAGAGACAAGATGGGAGCATAGATGAAAGACAATTTTGGGAGACAAGACTAGATGGGAGACAAGCCGGGAGACAAGCTCGGACATAAGTTGGGAGACAAACCGGGAGACAAGGTGGGAGACAAGGGGGACATGGTGGAAACACCATCCAACAAACGCACACGTGTGGGGAGACACGACCTGGGAAGGCAGACACACCATCCAACAGGAAGGGGAGACAAGACCTCGAACACGCCAACCAACACAGGCACACATGTGACAATGGGAGACAATGGGAGACAATGGAAACAATGAAAGACAATGGGATACAATGGGAGACAATGGGAGACAATGGGGGACAAGGGGGGGAAAGCGGAGACAAAGGGGAGACAAGGCCTCGGGAAGGCGGACACACAATCCAACACAAGCGGCAAGACAATGGGAGGCAAGGGGAGGCAAGACCTTACAAGGCTGACACACCATCCAACACAGGCACACCTGGGAAGGCAATGGGAAAGAAGGGGAAACAAGACCTTGGGAAGGCGGACAGACCATCCAACAAACGGAAACAAGAAGACAATAAGGGGAGACAAGGGGAGACAAGACCTCCGGCAGGCGGACACGCCATCCAACACTTGCGGGGAGACAATGGGCGACAATGGAAACAATGGGAGACAATGGGAGACAAGGGGCGACACGGGGAGACAACGAGAGACAAGGCCCATCCAACAAGGGAACAAGAAGGGGTAATTACAATGGGAGACAAAGGTAGACAAGACCCTCGGGAAGGCGGACACACCATCCAACAAAGGGAAACAAGAAGGGGCACCTTTTCGTTGCGGACTAGGCACACAGGATCCGCCGGCTCGCCAAGGCCCGCAGAAGCTGCAGCTTCCACACCTCTCCCGTTTCGGCTCCCATGGATGATGTGTATCTGGGGGTTTCCCACGTTGGATTCCAACAAGCCTTGCTAAAATCATTAAGAGTCATATATCTTGTAACACACAAGGATCACAATTCAATGCCTCAGAGTATATTAGGTAAAACCCTTGCTGAAGGATAAATCACCAACCTGGAAAAAACAAATGTTTGTGGGTGATTCACACATCTATATCATATATATATATATACACATATGGGTGTGTAATTAAGATTAAGTCAGCACTTTTTACAACATCATTTGCAGTGACCCTGAGGTGAGGTACAATTTACCTGCTCTGCTGCTTGGTGGTTCATTGGCTCAAACGAGCTTGCAGGCGTGTGGATTGTTGCAAAGAAACCGCAACAAAATGATACCAAACTACTGGTTGTCCCAAAATAAAAGCTCTTCTTGGAGTGTTGCAGTTGTTCGGATGGAGCATGCTGGAGCTACCTTCGAACTGTATGACCTGCGAGCCTTCTTGGGCTTCAGTGGCAGCATCGGCATCGTTCGCAGCTTCAGCATCAGCCGCATCCTGTGAAGGCTCGTCCCTCTCCTCCTGCTGGCAGTTAAATTCAAGCCATTTGGGGGTGGTTTATACAACCCATTTACGGTGATTTTGGTGATGGTTTATTATGGCTTTACCACATTGGCATGTCTGGATATGAGCCAAAGACTAAATGCCTGCGGAGACATCCTGGTTGCTGCTTACCATCCCGCTAAAAAATATGGACCAGTGGGAATGTGGAAATCGAAACATGAAACCACATGAAACCACCACCAGCACAAATGACCAACCTCAAAAACCATCCCAAAAAGAGGTAGTGAGATATGACCTTCCTTAAGTTCTCTCACTGAGTTTCACGAATTCAGTCAAGCACAAATGACCAACCTCAAAAACAATCCCAAAAAGAGGTAGTGAGATATGACCTTCCTTAAGTTCTCTCACTGAGTTTCACGAATTCGGTCAAATTATTTCTGTAGTTGCAGGAAATGCAGCCAATAGCGGTCAGTTTTTTCCTTGAGCCGTGCAACAGTATACGAGTATAAGGTTATATACATGCTATGGTTATACCCAAAAACACCCCCCGCCGCCCGCAGTGTTTCAGCGGAGGCAGGAAGCCGAGGCACACCACAGCGGACCTGGGCAAAAACACGATGCAAATGTACAGAACCTCGGAACTGTCGCAAAATGAAAAGTTCAGCATGCGAAAACTGTCGTCAGACTATGCATGGAAAATAGGCTATACAAAATGCACAACGGATGCGAAACCGTCGAATGCAACGAAGACTGCAAAAGCGTTTTGATGCGGATGCGATCGAAGCAAGTCAGGCAAATGACATGGCCGTGCTCCGGCCACAGCTTTTACTGCTCATGGCATAGCGATGGAACCGTATGGACACCGCGTCAATTGGGCGCGTGTTGCGCCCTGGGCGATAGGCTGGCGGGTCAGGAGCGGCAGCGACAAAGCTCGAAGCAGCGCCACAGCAGCCTGCATCATGGAGGGTCCGTGGATAAGCCTTTACCATCGTCTCTTGCGCTGCTCATGTGCACTGAGCCATGAAAGGTTAACCCTCTGAGTCTTGTCGGTGTGTCTAAAAGTTGGTGACTTGCCATTTTCCAGAATGCGAATTGTCACCTGACTGTCTTCGACAAACACTCCTTCGAGGCTCTTCGGGCGAAATAACAATACCACGTTGTCCCCCATGCGTTCCATACCAACAACTTCCCAATCTGTGAGTGCTTCCCTGAGCTCTTGAGCTTCAACTCTGTAGTCTACCTCCTGAGGCCCATACATACACCCGAAAGTATGCTTTGCCTTCCCAATATTCACCCATAGGGGATCCCCACTTCTTCCTCCAATGGTCCTGTGTGAAGTCAATACCTGCCCTGGTGATCATCATCGTTGTCCTTGCGTTGCCAAGTCGATGAATTGGCAGTGGGATAGTTTGACATGACGATGGGTCGAACAATGACGATTGCTTCTTGGGGTGGGCTCGCACAAGTAACCGTCTATGCCTTATGAACTCCCAGTATACTCTATCCTTTTCGGCCTGAGTGGTTATTGATTTGAGCGGCAATCCTCCCGGAGTGCTGTTTCCCTTGGCCTCATCTCCCTCCGCGTTCTGGAGGTACGCCCATAAACCGAAGGAAGACCTACAGCACGCACGGATATGTTTGCTGCTACAACTTCAGACTCTGTACTGGACATTGACACGGATGTTTGCTTCTTGGAGAATGCAGTCAATGGGAAGTATGTATTGGGGCCTATCAACGCGAGAAAACATCCAGTGGCACTTCGATTGTCATACTCTCCAGCATGATCAGCAATCAGCAAAACACCACACTTTGACAGTGAATCCCCTATGAAGGCTTTGAGTTTTACGTAGACAATGGAATGGATGTAGCATGTAAGCCCACGAAGTGCCTTATCGCAATCACTAGACCATTTCGTCACCCTTGCTGCCAACCCTTGGACAGTTCTGAGAAGATCAAAGCGTGCCATGCGCGCTGCAAAGGGTATCTTCATCAGCACCCTGGCAGCGATAGGAGCAAGAAACCCCTTCTTCTCGTTTTCATCGGCAACCGGTCTTGCGATCCTTTCTTCATGAAATCGTGTAGTTGCATGCGTCAACGGCTTGGCATCCATACCTCCGACGAAGTGTGTCAAAGCTAGTAATTATTACATCTCTAGCCGTTCTCTGACCACTGGGGTAGATATACATGAAGTTTGCGGCAACATCTTTGAAGACCATGGCAACCTGTTCCCCTTCGAGACCTGTTTCGTCCTCGGTCGATGCGATGAGAAAGTCGGCGGCGAGATGCTCAGCAAACTTCTCAGCTTCAATATGCATCGCCCCCCCGGATGCCCGGGATGAAGGTTTCAACGTTTTGGCCTGCCGACAGGGTTTGCAGAATGTGTTCTTCGGCATGTGACACAATAGGTGACCCTTTGGTTTGGCTTCTTCCCTACTCTCCTCCCGAAGGGCGGGGTGACTTATCGCCGGAACCTTTGTTCCCAGACACGTCAACTTGTACCACATCAGGCCTTGGTCCATGGGATTTTGTATCTCCCTTCGTGCCATCCGATGAGGCTAATTCTTCCATCTCAGCCACGAACTCATCAATGTTTGGTGGGGCAACCGGGACCAATTTGTCATCTTCAATAAGTTCCCATGGTGTCTCAACGATAATGTCTTCCTCGTCTTCACTGACCAGGTCGACAATTGAAGATTTACCACAGGTACTATTGAGATTCCTTCTGCTTGATCACACCCCTTTCCTACCCTTTCCATCACCTGAATCAACGTCGGCCTGCACGGCCTCCCGGCGTGCGACCTTCTTGGCAGGAGCGGCAGTGAGATGGCCTGGCTTGGCTGCCAGGTAGGGCACACAGTCATTTACAATTTACAGTCAATGGAATGAGCATTCCATCCTGTTTGACAAGATATGGATCCTCTCCTCTGGAACTCTTCCAAACAAAGTCATCTCCGTCATCAATGCATCTCATACCTACAGACAAAACCGCAGGAATGGTCTTGCGCAATCGAGGAACGAAAACCTTGCCTTGCTTTGTGGATGAACTTTCACCGTTTGCAGTCATCATACGGATAGGGTTGGATGAATAATACCCAAAGTCGTCCGGCAACTCTCCCTGAGACATAAGGTCACGAGCACTGCCTGTATCGGCGATCCAGTCCAACTGCAAGTCAATGGAACCTTCAACCAATTCCCTGGGTTCGGCGGGGACGGCAACAATGCCTTTTGGAATGCAATAGTCACACCCAAACTCAGTGTCACATCCGTAGTTACACTTAGCTGGAATACCTTTGAGGGGATTCTCGGCAGCACCTGATAACATTGTGGCAGACAAATTGACAAAGCACTATCGCTAAAGCTCTGATGATCAACTTCCAATCGATGTCCCCATGGAAAAGTGGTTCTATTTCCCGGCTCTTTATTAATAATTGGCCACATGTTCCCACGGGCAGGAACCCTGTGCACATCGACTTCATCGGAGAAGCGGATGCCAACACTCGCAGCAAACCTTCGCAGGGATGATACAAAGACCACTTGTCACGGATGCCAACATTGAAGCGACCAAACATACTGCTGCTGGCGAGGCTTTGCTCGGACCAGAGCCTGTCTTATTTCCCCTCCGGTGATCTTGAATTGCTGGCACTCTTGGACTTGCCTGGGCTGCGCCATATTTTCCTACCTGGACTCCTTGATGACTTTCGACCCGGAAAAATTGCAATCAGCACCCCTTTCGCAACGTCCTCGTTTCTAGAAAATGCATTCCTTCTTTTTGCCCTTGCCTTTGGGAGATTGGGTTCTTGATGGCAAACGTCCCCTGCTACTATCACGCTTGGGCTTGGTAGACCGGGGTCTCTTGGATGGGACCTCATGCTTGTACGTGCAATTGTCATTAGTGCACCCTCCCTTGTTCCACTTCACACAGCACCCTCTCAGAATGAAACCAACCTTGCCTTCGACTGCAGGAGCGGAAGGTTTGGCTGTACCTGAAAGATTCCGAGCAACCCTCTCTCAGTTCGTCTCCAGGCGTTCACGATCGAGGTGCCTGCGAACAGCGGAAACAAGGAAGTCATATTTTCTCTTTTCTGTGCCTGCATCAGCTCGGTGATATTCATTCTAGATCATGGGCAATCGTCTTGCAGTTCTTGGCCTGGTTGTAGAACAACGTCTCTAAGACTGATTCCTCAATTCCTGCTGAGGCTTGATCCCAATTCGAAATGAAAGTCTTCAGGTTCTCGCCCTTCAGGCGAATGCTGAACAGATCTTGGAGGGCAAATGTGGGGCCGTGTTTCATGTTGGTACTGAAATGGTCATGTCGCATGAACAGCACCTGACGACCTCGGACGATGCGTTCCTCATTTGCTTCTGTCTCTTTGAATGTGTCCACCTTACGTGCGGAATCTCCAGTAATGATGCTGGTATCAGGGCTGACAGCAATTTCGCAAACGGCTCCACCTTCCGGAGGGCTTCAATCACCTGACCTTCCTTCTACACTACTTCCCCGATCCATGCAAATGCTGAATCAGGGTTGGATAGGGTTGGTGGATGCAGCGACAATGGCCTCTCTGGTCTTGATACGCCAATTTCTGTAAGTCTCGGGACCTGGGATGGCCGGAAGCTAGATGGTGTCGGCTTCCTTCGCTTTGGGCTTATCATTTATCATCTGAACCCCCAACATTGAAACCACCCCCAAGGAACTTCTTCATATATATACGTCGAACAAACTTTTCATCACTGTCGTTTGAATCCTTGTCAGGGTCGTCATCACCTCGCCCATCTCCACCTCCGGGAGCAAGAAGGAAGAAGGCTCTCTTTCTTCTTGTGAGCGGTCGGCACCATCGATAGCGAAGGCGGTAAAGATGGATCATCATTCCCTCACCTCTCCCGTTTCCCCCGTTTCCGTTCCCATCCCCATCATCCCCATCACCGGGTCCATCACCTCCTCCACCGGATTTATCGGGCCTTCTATCCGTAACTCCATAAGGCACGGTGCGTGTGACATTGGAGTAGTATTCCCATGTATTCCCTAGGTTCGGTGGCATGGTGAATGGTGGGCCTGATCCACTTACTCCTCCTACTGCTTTACAGTATGCAATGTTGATGCCATCATGTGGAATACGGTTCATGGCAATTTCAGCGGCATCGCCGTCTATGTTAGACTCACACGGACCTGACAAATCCGGCGGATGCATATGCGGCGGAGCAATGGGCGGTTCGGCGATCGGAGAATCAACGGACGGAACAGCAGAGGTGGGAGCATATCCTCCACCCGTGATCGGGATAGTGGCGGACCGGACAAACGGATCAACCGTCCTCGTCAAAGTCGCTGTTTCAACGACTTGGACAGGAGGAGGCTGCGACAGCTGGGAGTCCAACATACTCTGAAGTTTCTGATTTTGGAGACTCTGTTGCATGACCAGCTCTTCGAGCTTCTTGATGCGCTCTTCCTGTACACGCTCCTTTTCGGCGGCCTGATTCCGAAGTAGTGCAAGCTCGCTCTCCTTCGAGGCCATGGATTGTCAGAGATTGGCATCGAGAACTCTCTGGTACGCCTGAACCATTTCTTTACACTGAGCCTCATGGGCACGGACATGCTGAACAGCCTGACTTTTGATGTTCTCCTCATTCTCCCTCAGAAACATCCTTGCCTGGTTGATCTCTTGGTCACAGCTTCATGTCTAAGAGCGGCCTGAGCTTCCGTCTCAGCGATTGCCAGTTGGTGACGCGCTGCTCAAGCATCTCCGTGTATGCTGGATCATGGGTCTGGACCAGTACCTTGCTGTTCTGTACAAAGTGTTGCTGATCAATAATCACACGTTGATCGTGGTTTACATTCATTTGGTTGAACACTCTCATTCCAGAATTCCGGTGCCTTCAACATTCGGGCCACCCTCCCGGGTAGCGGACGGCAAAACACCTCTGCGAGAAAATCCCGAGTTCTGTGGCATGAGCGCGATTGCCTCGATGCCCTGCGTGCCCGCTTACTCTTGGATCGTTTGAACCTGGAGGGGTACTAATATCGATCGTCTCTGGGGAGTTCTCAATAGGCAATAAAGGGGCAGCCATGACTTAAAATGCGGCAAGGAAAATCCCTATAACTCTTGGAGGAAGGAATTCCAAGAGCAGACACTACTCGTACCTACGGGAAAACAAAAGGCGGATATGGCTGATAACCTGTATTTACAGGAAATGCAGCCAATAGCGGTTAGCTTTTTCCTCGAGCCATGCAACAGTATACGAGCATAAGGTTATGTACATGCTATGGCTATGCCCAAAAACAATTTCGCAGTGATTCGTGGTGAACGATCATGGCCAAAATGTTATCCATTCACCCGGATTTATGGCTTGAAAATCATTCATGCATCCAGATAAAAATGGCTAGAATTGCCGCTTCACCCAGTTCAAGGCCCAGCTTGCCCAGCCGGTTCCTGTGGAGCTTCCTCTGCCCTGCAAGGAGTCGGGATGGATCCATCCCTCACAACTATCCCAAGATGTGCAGAAGAGAGAGTCCCACCTGCCTTTTTGCAACAAACCTTCCTGAATGGAGACCAAAAATTCGAAGATACCATATATACTAAACCCTGGTGTCATTTTGGGGTGTAACATGGTGTGGCTCTGCTCTTCAGTTTTATTTATAGGAGGGGGAACGGATTCATGAGGCAGGCAAAAAACCATGATCGTTCATCCTCAGGAAATCTAACAAAGTCATCGAGCTGTCCTGCTGGATGAAGTCTTGAACGACCCCCGCGCAAATTAAGATTCAAATTGGAATGTGCTAAGTGAATCAAAAGTAATCAAAAGGAAACCAATTCCAAAACAGGACGCAACTCTGACGTCGAACATGGAAGCTAAAACTGACAAGTTGGTTTTTATGTTTCATTCGTTGTTGGGGTTTGAAAATGTAGGTTTCCAGCAGTTGACCCTCCAAAAGACAGATCCAAGAAACGCAGCATCTCCAGTCTCGGCAGTCTCAGGGGCTTCAGCATCTTCCATACCTTAGAGAGTCCATTCGCAGCTCTAAGTGAGCCGTATAGGTTTTGGAATGCTTGGAGCATCTTGGAAGCCAAACCAGAACATCAACTCGCTTCAACTAACTTGTCAATACTTGGACACATGATTGATTGATAATTATAAGATACAGGTGCTACATGAACGAATGACAGTGTTGCACTTGCCATCATGAGCCTCTACTCAACAACGCTTAACCCCAACCAACTCCACATACAAGTCATAACCCGATCAAAATGGTCTAATAGTTCTATACCTGGTGGTTCATCCTGCTTAGTCTGCATAGTCAGCAGCTTGCAAGCTAAGCTATAAGCCTGGCTAATCTGGCTATAAATGAGGTAAATAGGGCTAACATTGGCTGACCCCCGTGCAACTGGGATTAAATTTATAGTACCTTTTCTGAATACTTTGGGCATTACTAGACTTACTAAGCATACTAAGTACAATAAACCTCAATAAACCACCATCGTCACCAACCCATCCCTGTCCAAATTCCCGGCCCACCTTCCTCGGCCTCTTCGACCGCATCTTCGGCCGCATCCTCTTCCTCCTCCTGGCAAGTGATCTCAGGGATGGGCCACATGTTGAGCCACCTTACAGCCCTCAGAAACATGTGAAATGTGCGAACTGGTTCCAGCATCAAAATATCCGGAAAAAGTTCTTGTATCATTTGTAGTTAGAACCACTAACGACCATGGGGGTGACAATGACGATGATGGTGGTTGTGGTGCTCATGATGGTGATAATGACGACATTGAAGCCATCTATAGCCATCTGGGCAGGTAGTACATCCTTAAAGGTTCTCAAGACATCTTGATTTGGGTATTCACCTCATGGTTCGATCATGGCCTGGGTTGGGGCAAAACTGGGGCCAAGGATTTGAGGATTCCCCCGGGTCACAGCCACCATCACGGTTGTTTCCATGATAGACCATCATACTCTGCAAGAATATGTAAATTAAAAGCACCAAAAAAAAATGTAGATAGAGTTTTCTTCTAATCTTGCGCTTTTCGCGTTGAAATGTACGCCGAAATCATCCCATTCCACGGTGCGATGCCTCTTCCATCGTTGCGTCTGCCTCCTCTGCGGCCTCTTCCCTTAGGCCGAGCTATGGATGGTTCCAACAGATAGTGCCCGGACCAAGACCCCAAAACATTGGATCACTCGTTAGGGGTTAAAACCCGTATATGACCCATGCATAAGTCGTGGCATTCCAAGTATATGCATATAATTAATTGTAGACATATGTATATATAGACATATGATGACATATGACTGTGTGTTTGTGTGCACATATGCCTGCATCTTCAATTTTATAAATGGATTTGTTTTCAGGAATTGTCTATACGAAACCATTCTTAAGAAAAATACAAAAGGATCAAAAATCAAATGTGGGGGTTCCTGTGTCGTGTTAAGTTCTTCAACGGAAACCATTGGCAGCGTGCTTCTCCCCTTCAGCCACAGTGGCGCAGCTTCTGGCTCCGCAGCTTCCGGCTCTCCAGACACGATCGGATCCGAACCTCGGAAAGCCATGGATGCCATGGATCCAAATGTCAAACCCCCAGAATCCACCAGTGAGTTCGCTGAAAGACGGTATATCATGTTATATCATTAATATTGGCAATGAATGGCCATTTACGATGTCCAAATCAGAAATCCTGTTCGGAGATTCTCAGCTCCAGCACCTTCAGGCTCCTCAACTTGCTCGTCCTAGTGTCGAGCCAGGGGACAGGTATCGAATGGATTTGACATGCAAAAAATCTTACTTACTCTGGCAAAATATTTACAGTAGCTGCTAAAGTGTGCGCACAGACACAGAGAGAGAGAGAGATGCATATATATATATATATATATGTACATTATGTACAACATACTACAGTATAGACTATACACTACAGATTACATACTATACACTATCTACTATCTCTTATCCACTATTCACTATCCACTATATATCTACTATCTACTATTTACCGTATACCATATACCATCTACATCCTTATGCCACATACCATAAACCATGACCATATCCCATATATACTATATACTATATGCTATATACTATATACTATATACTATACACTATATACTGTATTACTATATACTCTATACTATATACTATTATACTATACACTACATACTATCTACTATAGACATATGTATGTGTGGCAAAAGGTTACATATAAGTTGTATAAACTACTCTGGGCAAACAGTTGCCTCCATGGAGCCCTTCTCATAGGCTTCCTCTTCGGCCTCCTGGCGGGCAAAGCGGTGACTTGCAATGTCATACCATTGGGTGTGGTTTCCAACCTTAGATGATCTCTTAACCACTATGACTACGGGACCTAGTTAACCTTAGTTTATGTTTAACCTTAGTTGATTTTTCAACCATAGATAAGATGGGACCTAGTGACTTACTATGTTTGGTGTATGTTCAAATCAAACGTAGAAATTTGTGAGGGCCATCGAAGGGCTTACCCCAAACAAATGAATCCAAACAAATGGGATGGTTGAGTCAAGTAGCTAGCTATACCCCGAAAAATATCTGCAAAGGCAAAGGGCCAAAACTGTTGAATTGCGCCTCCTGGTTAGGTCACAGGGGAAGTAGGATGTCAGAGCATCCATCTACGGGATCATCTAATATCTTCAGGGTGATGTTCCAATTTCCCCAAAATCCAAGATGCCACCGGCTGTTTCAGTACAAGGTCTGAAAAGAAGGGTGACCTGTTCAACCAGCCCCAGGCACATGGGACCCCCTGGTACAACCTTGGACATCCCAGGTGTAATCAGACTGCGCGGCTCCTTTTCCATGTTCACATCTTGGAAAGTCTGGCGCGGCCGCGGGATTTCAGCGGTTGGCATCGAATCAGCTTTGACAACATGACGGCCACTAAACAAGGCTGGGGCGTTTCCCTACCCATTCAGGTCACTTTCTGCATGGCAATCCCTGGATTGCCTGCATTCCCGCCAAAAAAGTTGGCTGGTTTCTCTACCCATATTTGCAGCAAGAGATTGCTAAATGAAACCACTTGAGCCCCAGCAACTTCCATTTCCTGGGGGTCTCCCTGCCTCTTCAAACGAGGTCATCACGTAGGTTGTCCTGAAGCCCCCCACCAATTCAACCACCAAGAATGCAGGAGGGTCATCCGTCATCCATTCTTGGTTGATATGGCTCAATGCCTTGGTCACCACATATCACCACAGGACCTTAGATACAATCCATAAAGTGTTGAATTTTAGTGTATGAAACGTTGGTCTGTTGAGTATATCACCAAGAATGAGCCCATTAACCTAGCAAACTAATCCAACCATTGTCTCAAGGGCTAGAACACTCACCCCCAACCGTCTTTCACCGCTCCTGCCACAGCAGTACGCTTTGCACGGTTGGTTTCCGCGGTAAAAAATCACCAATGACGCTCTTGAGCCAAGGCCATGGATCGTCCGAGAACCTCACCTTCAACAAGGCGCCAAACGGGGATGTTGTGGTCAACCACATCCCAGCCATCCCCATCAACCATTTAAGCTTGGAATAGCTTGGATCCCAGTATATAAATCTTACGATTGAATATTTGTTGGAAGTGGTTAAGAAATATTTTGAAAATATGGTGGCAAACATTGGAGATCTAAAAAACATGTGATATGCAACTTGAGAATCTTTATTCAAAAAAAATGCAACTGATTAGTGGCCCAATTCCTGATTTGAGAGCCATTTAGGGATCATCAAGCTACGATACTTTGTGAACAGTTTGAGCGTACTGGGATCTGAGGCTGGAACTGATCCTCAAAAGATCTTTGTATCAAACTCCCTTGAAATTCAAACTTTTGAAAATCTTGGGTGTCACTTTACATAGAGACAGAGTTTAGCCATACGCCTCCCGAGAAACGGTACAAGAAGTCAAAGAAACAAGTTCTACCTTGTCAGGGGCCCTGGACATGTTGATGCATGGCAGAGCAATTACGGCTTCGGGTGCCACCAAAGAGTATTGGTCTACCAGTTACATGCTACAAGCCCAAGGAACAAAGGTGAAAATCTGTGACAACCATCACATTGTGTAAAAAAAATAACATCCCCCATGGCAGCAAACCCCCACTGGACAAGTCGTGCCTGTTCCAGCATCCCAACCACGATTTCTTGTACATCATGACCTCGGATGTGGTGGATCAGCCAAGAGCTCGGCTTGAAAACACCTGCGGTGGGGCCGATTTCCAAAGGTGGCTGAAATCCTTTTTCAGCGATTCTTCGGAAATCTCTGCCATGGCTGTGCCATGCGGTACAGTGCAAGAAAACTTTTGGCAGTGGCCGCGCTGGCGAGGGTAATATGGTCTTCGATTCTGCGGATTTCCTTTTCGATCCTTTTCTCTGTAAGATATTTGGTACGGGTCAAAGCCATTCAAGACAGTACCGCGCGTAGTGTGACCCATACATTCAAAACCCTTGCACCCTGATGAATTGCAGCTGGTACTTGTGGTGGTTCATACCCCCCAAAACTGGCTCATTTTCCAGGTATCAAACCCTTTGAAAAATCACTCCTTCCTGGCAGACCATCAACTACAGCCAGTGCCAGTCGATAAAGAGACCCCGATCAGACCCAGCACCAAGCAGGACCAAGTGCTCCTGAGCCAGCGCGTGGCGCGGGCGTCATAAAGGCCTTGGGCTCTGACCAAGGCTACATGAGCAAAAAGGGGTTGGCTCCCCGAAGGGCTGTGGGACCGCCTAGCTGGTTGATGTTTCGGATGTGAAATGCGCACAATGCACAGTGCAAACATGTTCAAACACTGCTGGCAGCTCTGGATCTCCTAGCAAGCGAATGCAATAGATATTCAAGGCTGTTTCTTGAGGCATCACTCTCAACCGGTTCATTCCATGTCGGACTATCATTCTCAAATCAGCAGTCCCACAGCCACGTGGCAAAAGGGAACTGCCCCAAACGAGCAGTTGCCGGTCAATCTGTGGAACCTGAAGCCCAAAAACTCCAGTCCCACTCTGCAGGGCCATGGCTGCCATGGCCCGCATAGGTAGCTCGTTCTCTCATAACACGTTTCTGACACTCTAAGCCGAAATCTGCTTGGGCCTAGGACCTTTAACAGTGTCTAGCCATATAAATTTAAGTATTTAGTTGAAGCACAACCTAGGGGCCAATGTGTTGTGTACTCAATATCTCAGTGATTTTCCTCTTTCCTCTCGCCACTTTGAAGGCTCGAATGTTAACTTTCAGGGCGCACCTACATACTGTCATATGGCCAAAAAAACATTAACGAACCATCCTATACTAGCCAACCATTGGTAGGATCAAGTAGGGGAACACTGCTATATCCAACAATAATGCTCAATTAGAGATGGTTTAGGGGGGTTGCCTCATATGTCAGCAACACATTCAGCATAAGATCTTAGCCTGTCACATGTCCCCAGGTATTCCAGGACTGTCATCGACGCTACCTTTCGGAAAATGGTTCAACAAAAACCGACCAGGACACTCACCTCGGCATCGCCGGAATCAGCGGCTGGTCCGGTGGATATACTTCAATGAGTAAAGCACAGATGCAAAAATACATATCAATAAGTTCAATTAGTACAGTAACACACACGCACATATTATGTTTATATTTGTGTTGGTGATATATAAATATATGTGTGTTACAATTTTAGTACCGCATATGCATATACATCTATAATATCATATGATTATAATCATCACATTTAAATATGGATGGAGAATTATTTTGGAATTTGTTTTTCTGCGTTTTGGGATTTTTTTTTGGATTCTGTCTTGCGGGGCGTGTTGTTTGCTTGTTCCATGGCGCCAACCGGTGTATTCCTTGGCTTCCATTCATTTTCCAGAGTTTTAAACGTTTTTTGGGTGTTTAGTTTGCTTTTCACCCGTTTTTTTTGGCTTTGAACGATTTTGTTTTGTTCTTGCCGTTTTTGGACGTGTTTCCCGCGACTTGCATACATGTGATCACTAGTGGCATGGACGGTTCTGTGTTGTTTGCCGTTGTATTCATCGTGCATCCACTGTGTTAAACAAACAGACATGATTGATTGATTGACTGATTGGTTGATTGATAGATAGATAGATAGACAGATAGATAGATAGATAGGTAGATAGATAGATAGGTAGATAGATAGATAGATAGATAGGAAGATAGATAGATAGATAGATAGCGTCACATAGTCATGATACATTCATTCGCAATGGAGGTGGGCCTTATCATCCACCTTTGTGGCGTTGTCACAGCACACAGCGGTAGCGTAATACTAGACGTAGCAGTTGGTGGGCCATATCATCCACCTTTGTGGTTTTGTCACAGCATGGCAGCAAAGCACGCACTTGAATTTTGACGACAAGTTTGATCACATACGCTTGAAACAGAAGGTGGGCCGTATCATACACTTGCATTTTGTCACAAGCCGCAGGAGTGGCTCTAAAATAAAAAGGCGGGAGGGGGGCGCGGGGGGAGGGCCCGGAGCGGCCTCCCCACGCAAAGCGTCACATGGTCATGATACATTCATTCGCAATGTAGGTGTGCCTTATCATCCACCTTTGTGGCGTTGTCACAGCACACAGCGGTAGCGTAATACTAGACGTAGCAGTTGGTGGGCCATTTCATCCACCTTTGTGGTTTTGTCACAGCATGGCAGCACAGCACGCACTTGAATTTTGACGACAAGTTTGATCACACACGCTTGAAACAGAAGGTGGGCCGTATCATACACTTGCATTTTGTCACAAGCCGCGGGGGGTTGCCTCTAAAATAAAAAGGCGGGAGGCGGGCGCGGGGGGAGGGCGCAGCGCCTCCCCCCGCAAAGCGTCACATGGTCATGATACATTCATTCGCAATGTAGGTGGGCCTTATCATCCACCTTTGTGGCGTTGTCACAGCACACAGCGGTAGCGTAATACTAGACGTAGCAGTTGGTGGGCCATTTCATCCACCTTTGTGGTTTTGTCACAGCATGGCAGCACAGCACGCACTTGAATTTTGACGACAAGTTTGATCACACACGCTTGAAACAGAAGGTGGGCCGTATCATACACTTGCATTTTGTCACAAGCCGCGGGGGGTTGCCTCTAAAATAAAAAGGCGGGAGGCGGGCGCCGGGGGAAAAGCGTCACATAGTCATGATACAGTCATTCGCAATGTAGGTGGGCCTTATCATCCACCTTTCTGGCGTTGTCACAAGCCGCGGGGGGGGGCTTTAAAATAAAAAGATTCGGCATGAACACATTCAAAAGAGGACCGGGGCAACATGTAAGAAGGACCAAGCCAGAGCGGAGAGGACAACCTCGGCAAACCAGGGTAGAGCTGATACTGCACATGCACGTGAATGACTTGACAACATTATACAAACGCTGAGCCATGCTGAGACTGTGTGGCATCTAGCTGCTTCAAAAAATCTTTGCAGCGTCTGTGATTGTTGAAAGTTTTTGAAGCGTTGGTTTATCATTTGTCATGATATGAATTAAAACATTTTCAGGACACGATTTAAGATAAAAGTTTTTACACGTTATCTTATGGCTTAAAGTTGGTTTACAACCTATTTCAAATTAGCTATTTAGGGTTGGTTTAAAGTTTAAGTAAGACTGGTTCAGAATCTGATGAAAATGTCTTTCAGGTTTGCTACCGGTTGATCTCAAGATATTTCAAACGTATTTTGGCAAGATGTATATGTATGTGTGGGCTTTTTGAACGGTAAAATATATAATGGTGCATTTGCAGGTGCGCAGGCTTGGAATCAAATAAAAACCGAAAAGGGTGATTTGGGGGGAGGGCTGAAGAAAGGCAATAGCGTCCTTCAAGTCTATAAACGGTCAGCTAGAGCGCCTTCACACGCTGCAAGCATTGCTTTTCCTCTATGTGCCAATTACCTCATATGTGCTGTGCCAAATCTACAATGCTATACCTCTATATCTCTCTTGGGCCACGACCTTCCTTCCTTCCTTCCTTCCTTCCTGCCTTCCTTCCTTCCTTCCTTCCTTCCTTCCTGGCCTCTCCTTCTCAAGACAGAATCCCAAAATAAAAAACAAAGCACAGAAAAAAAATAATAAATAATAATAAACATCCATTAAATATATATATATATTGCATCTGTCAAGCCCTTGGATAAACCCCCAACAACGAACGGATATAAAGTAACGAAGTGGTGCTTGCAAGGGGTTGTCCCAAGTCTTTCGCAGTTCACGCTCTGTTGAAATGCCGCCAACCACCAAACAAACTCTCTTCATCCAGGTCGCAAATGTCCCTTTCCATGGCATCCGCTGCATTTGCTGCAAAAGAAGCATTTCTCATCCCAAGGCTGGCGTGGAACATGGTGGAACCGAACATCTGGGGTCGTCATAAAGCGTATTGCCATCTAGTGCCAGAGCTGGTGGGATCACCAGGGTGTTCACAGGTGCTCTATTTATAGATTCAGCCACTTAAATGGAACATCGAAGGAACTTCCAAAATGTCAGGGCGACATCCCTCCATCCGGAGTCATAGATTCATAGATGTTCTGTACCGAAAAACACACGGCCTGCCTTGTCGTGATCCATGGAGGACTCATGAGACCAGCCGCGTCCTTCGCACTTGTAGCAGCGTCCTGCATGATGCTTTTGGTAGGTGGCGGCCATTGCATCATTTCAGGGATCATCCCTGGTCCTGTCCAACACCAGCAATTGGTACGGATTTACGTTTGAGCTACTGCAATCTTATTTCTGCCTCATAGCCTCATAGCTGTAAGGTTACTGCCAGCCATTCCAGGATGCAGACCAGAATTCCCGGGCCATCTACACGTTCCTCCTCCACCACCGAAGCCAAAACCACCACCAAAACCGCCACCACCCTTGATGTGTCCAGAGCCGTTGCAGCCTCAGACGGTACGGAAGGGATCTGGAAATTTCAGTGGATTTCAGCAGCTGATCGACTGAAAATTGAGACATGAAAAATGTTGAGAATTCAATGGGGTTCATCTGGAACCCACCGAAAAATTGCGACTTTGAAGAGGGCCATCATTTTCCAAACCAGCCCTTGGAAGTTCGATGGCAGCACATGAGGGTCTTAATGGCAGCGAAGACTGGGAAAATCAACCAACCAGAAGATCCAGAAGAAATGGCCACATCAGCCAACCAATATGTAGTGGTATGTTGAGACGATTACCCTCTAGCCGAAAGAAGTTTAGAAGTCAAACTTCTGACAATATGGACAGATGGAAAAGCAGAGATGGGAAGAGTCAGAGAAGAGAAGAGAAGAGAAGAGTGGCCAGATGAGAAATGAAAAATTGCACGCCGTTGTGGCGCGAAGCACAAGTCCAAGTCAAAATGTACAAAACACACCCTTCTCGGAGCACTTTTAGGACACGCCGTTGTGCCGCGAAGCACATGTCCAAGTCAAAAGTGTAAAAAACTGATGGGTTCGGACCACTTTTGGAAGTTGAGATGTCGAAAAAGTGCACACCGTTGTCGCGCGAAGATGCGCGAAGCACATTTCGAAGTCAAAATGAACACGTCAGTGTCGGAGCACTTTTGGAAGTTGAGCTGTCGAAAAAGTGCACGATGTTGTGGCACGAAGCACATTTCGACTTCAAAAGTATTAAAAATTGGTGGTCCCGGAACTTTTTTCAGGTTAGGATGTGGTTTTGCGTGGCAAACGCAAAGGATTGTGCACCCCGTCAAAAGCGAGCAAAACGTGAAGGTTTAGTACCCTACCCCTCAGACCAGGGGGGCAGAAAATTGTAATGGCAGACGCAGTACAAGAGACATGTTCATCAGAGATGTTAGGAGGTCAGGGCGCTGACTTCCTGAGAGGGGTGACATTTTGGAGCATCAGATCTTCAGATTTGCTAAGGTGATTGTGCGTGACAGGTGTAGCACTTCGTATGACCTGGCATCACTTTTTCGTGGCAGGCGCAGCACTTTAGACAGATGGAGTGGAAAATTCGCAAAACGCATTGGTACGAGGCCGTCAGCTCTGCACTTAACTTTCCAGTATTGAAGGAAATCTCGCAGAATTGCTTCGTTTTTGATGTTATCAACTTCAAAAATGGAAGAAGTCTCGTACAATTCCCTCGTTTTTGACGTTGTCACGTTCAAACATTGAGGAAATCTCGCAGAATTGCTGCGTTTTTGACGCTGTCAACTTCGAAAATTGAGGAGGTCTCGCAGAATAGTTTCGTTTTCAAGCTTGCAGGTGACACTACACTATGCTACACCACGCTACAGTACCCTCCACTACCACAACTACAGCTACAATACAAATACAAATACAAGAGCTACACTACACTAATTACACTACACTACGCTACAACTGCAACTACGACTACAATCACAACTGCAAATACTACTACACTACATTACAATACGCTACACTAATTACACTGCACTACAACTACAACTACCGCTACAACTACAACTACACTACTTCACACTACACTAGACTACACTACACTATACTACGCTACAATACACTACATTACAATACACTACACGACATTACACTACACAAATTACAACACCCCACAACTACAACTACAACTACAACTGCACTACACCACACTACATCCAGCAGATGTGGGTGAGGTGACCACTGCAACCATTGCAACCATTCAAAAAAAAACACAACTCCAACCACCTTTCGGTCCATCAGTGACTTCGACTTCGCTCTGCCATACATGCATCACAACAACTTACCGCTCCTATAGTGTCCTACCCCTGAAACTTCCACCACCGCCTTGCGCGGTACTCTTGGTAATTTATAATGTTTGATAAGGAAATCATCTATAAATGGGCCACGCACCATAGCCAAAAATTCCCAGAGGGTAGCAATCACAGAATATAAGAATATAATGGAATACCTTATAGTAGTGATATCATCAGTATGGTGCCTGCAAATGCAACACCCATGATTCGAATGAACCCATGTGGGTCTTACAAATGGCTGGCCATTGATCATTCTACTTTTGCTATCTATGTATGTACTGTATGTATGCAAGTGTAAAAGTAAATGTAAAAGTGAATGTAAGTGTAAGTGTAAATGTAAATTATGTATTGTATTGTATGTAACACTGTACGTATGTACGTACGTACGTACGTATGTTAAGATAGGTAATTACCTTTCGGGCTGGCTGGTTGAACCCTCCATTTCTAAGGTACCCAAATTGGCTCAAGCCATCCCCACAGCGGAGCAACCATTGCATTCGCTGCAGAAGAAGCACTTCTCGTTCCAATCCTGCAACGGTTGGTGGTGAATCTATTCTGGGAGGGGGTTGTATTTCGGGAGAGTTGTATGACCAATGACCAAAAATAGGCGATGAAGATTGGATATGTGATATGACTCGACTAACCAACACAGATCTTCACTCCAAATTGGCCGTTCCACCCACAAGATCACAGCCTTGTCGTGACGCATGCTGGAGTCATGGCACCAGCCACGGCCCTCGCATTTGTAGCATCGTTCCGAGCCTGAAGCCGATCCACATGAAAATTGGCAAATAGTATGAAAATCTATGTCAGTCCCAGTTTTTTGCATTTTTGGGGCTACATCCTGATAACTTTACTGAAAACATGATGAGACCCTTTCAAATGTCCCACGTTTGGACCTTCCGACACTAAGTGTTTCCTAGCCAAGCACTAGGTGCGTCCAATTGCGTCCGGCACGGATGCCATGACACAACCCGGACGGCCTCCACCAAAGCCCATATTGGAAATGTCCATACCTTGGACTGGATCAAAATGCTGGGGGTGATTCCGTTTGGGTTTGTCCAAAAGTTGGCGCCCCTAAATCCATTGGTTCATCATCATTTTCCCCACCACATTGTCGGGGTGTACCGCATTTCAGACACATCCAGTTAGACACATCCAGCTGGTGATCTTGGAAGTGGAACTCACAAAATGAATGATCATGGGGGCCTATCATGGACGTGGACATGGATTGAGCTGGGAACAATTCAGCCGTGTTCTGAACGATTCTTTCAAAAAATCAAACATCAAACACCAAGCTACGTTCCCCCCCACTCCAGCAACAGAACGGTTTGTTGACAGCACATTGCACTGCCACTGATGTCGATCAATATTAGCAATTCAGCAGTATAGGACACAAACGAAGTTCGGCTAATGATTGACGAGGCACCGCCAAACCCAAAGCCGTGATTGTGGTGATTGTGGTGATTGTGGTGATTGTGGTGATTGTGGTGATTGTGGTGATTGTGGTGATTGTAGTGGTCGTGGTGGCCCTGGTGGTGGTGGTTGTGGTGGTTGTGGCTATCATGGTGACCGTGACCACCTGGCGGGATGGCTTGTCCCCACGTGTCCGTGGGATTCCAACTGGTCGAAGCCATTTGGGTGTGAAATGGGGGATTTCCCTCCAAACGGGGTTCGAAACCCCCTCAAATGGCAAGTTTCCAACCGGGAAAATGATGATAGTAAGCCAACCAGGTCAAAGCACTCCCAAAACGTGAGTCGGCTGGGGTTGAAATCACCATAAGCCACCGACCATACAATTTTCATTATTGGGTCATAGATGATATTGTGCATCACTTACATAACAATTTAGTCATTTTTTTTTTCCCTCCCGCACCTTTTTTCAACCGCGCGGTTGGGGTGAAACGTTACCGCAGGGGCAGGCGGCTG